GATTTTCATGCCAGAGCCATCCTGGATACCCAGGCCATGCCCCTCTAGACTGCTAAATTACATAAATTTAAGCTTTGGGTAAAATGCAGTGTTATTATACTGTACATGAAATAATACAAGGGCCACAGGATGGGTGTCGGGCTGGTTTCACAGCGACTGCTGCATCTGTCAGGTCTGAATCCCAGAAAGAATTTGTCCTCTGCCTCTTATCAGTCTCCTGACTAGAGCAGGTAAAGATTTTTCTCATTTTGGCTTTATACAAGTTTTGGACAATTTGGGGCAAGAATGCACAGCCCTTAGTAGAGTTCTCCTGGTAGCTCCGCCCCCTTGCAGACAACATACATTTTCTCTATCATCTCCCAGCACTTCTGGAATCAGCCTGCACCCAATCCATGCTCTCACTGAGCAGTGATGCTACTTAACCTTTCCAGGTCCCCATGGTAAAATGTGGGTAATAATTATACTTGCCTCCAAAAGTAGCTATGACAATAGTTTTAAGTAATTGGATTTAAATGATCTTACTTTTGCAAATTTTAGGACAAAATATGACAATGTGAATCCATGCATGGGTCCCACCTGGATCTTGAAAAAGTCTGCATCACACCCAGGTTGGTATAGCTCAGTGGACTGAGCACAGGCTGTGAAGCAAAGGGTCACCAGTTCAATCCCAGTCAGGGCACACGCCTGGGTTGAGGACCAGGTCCCCAGTGGGGGCCACGTGAGAGGCAACCACACACTGATGTTTCTCTCCCTCTCTTTCCCTCTCTCTAAAAATAAATAAATAAAATCTTTAAAAAAAGTCCGCGTCACTAGCTCCACAGTGGTCCTCCACTGCCTACCTCACAGGGCCATGAGAGGCGACGTGAGAGTCCAGGGCCAAGTGCATGTAAGGCACCTGTGTAGTCACTACACAAGGGAGCCGCCTCCAGACTGGCACGGGCTCAGGGCTCACCCAGCAGAGCAAGGCGGGATGTCAGCCCTCTTCCCCCGACTGGTGCCTCTGACCTTGCAAAAACTCACATACATCGTGCAGGTAGCGGACTCCACAAGGCGCCTGGCCGCCAGGATGGACGGGAGTGGGAGTTAAACTCAAGTTCCTTCTCTGACCAAACTGTGTGCCAGCACGCAGGTCCCTATGCCTGAGCACAGGGCATTTTGGGCTTCACACACAGACTCTCTCTGCCCAGCCCCCCACCCACATTTTGCTAACGTGCACAGAGGTCCCTAAGCATGGTGGGTGGCCCAGCACATGACGCTAGCACAGGTGGCGGCCGTGATACCGGGCTCACAATAAGCACTCTGCACATACAGACACTGCTCTGGGGCACCCACCCTTCCCAACCATTTTTCCTATTCGTGTAACCTCCTCCTTACTTGCTCAGTCTTGTCTAACTCAAGGTCACTTAAAAAGTTAATTTGTGCCCTGGCTGGTGTGGCTCAGTGGATTGAGCCTGTGAACCAAAGGGTTACTGGTTTGATTCCCACTCAGAGCACATGCCTGGGTTGTAAGCCAGGTTCCCAGTAGGGGGAGCATGAGAGGCAACCACACACTGATGTTTCTCTCCTTCTGTTTCTCCCTCCCTTCCTCTCTCTAAAAAGTAAATGAAATCTTTTTTAAGTTAATTTGAATATTTTCAAGAAAGCAGTTGGAAACCTAAGCTGCCCCGTGGACTGCTTTACCGCCGTGTCCCTGTGTTTTCTGGGGTGGGGGACCCACAAAAGACAGCGCCTTTTGGGTTTTACCATATTCCTTGGCTCTGCATCAGCACACGGGTGGGTAGGAATTTGGGGTTGCGCTACCCAGAGAACACCCAGATTCTAGGCAGATTCAAGCCAGGGAGCTGTTACTAGCCAGTATCAGAGCCTGGGGGTGGGGAGGGAAGTGGCCGAGGGCAGTGGGTGGAGGGGTCCTGGGGGAGGGGTGTGGTCACGCAAAAATGCCCTGTGATAGCAGGGTTACCTTTGGCGCCAAGCTAGGAAGGCTTGAAGCACATTCCTGAAGGAGCCTGTTTTCTAAAAAGCAGCCACTAGAGGGCTCTTCAGGGTTTCCCTGGGCAGCTTGTCCTGCTGGAAGCTGACAGGTTCAGGGAGAGAGAGGCTTTGGACTTTCGCAAGACCCTCTGTGGGACTGAATGCAGCTCCACCGTCCAGGTCAGGGTGTTGAATCGAGTTCTGTCGTCTAGGTTAAGGCAGAGAGCCGGACAGCAGAGGACCTCATTTCTGCTCGGTGACTTACTCTGCAGCACAGGGGCTCCTGAGAAGCTCAATTTCTCCATTAAAGTAAGCATACATTTAGTGTTTTGCTAATTAATGTTGATGTAAGAAACATTCAAACCTGTAGAGAACATTTAGGAGCTTATTTGAACCAGCTGGATGACAATTGCCGGGAATCAACAGCCTGAGAAAATGCTCCGGAGAATGGCAGTTTTTTAAAAACATTTTTTATTAAATATATTGGGGTGGCACTGGTTAATACAATTATATAGGTTTCAAGTGTAGAATTCTATGGTTCATCATCTGTGTGTCACCTTGTGTGTTTACCAGCCAAAGTCAAACCGTCTCCCATCACTTTGCATCTGACCCCCCACCCCTTTTCTCTGGTAGACACCGTTGTCTGTGTCTGTATTTGTTTGTTTGTCTGTCTTGTTTACCTGTTGCTTTCAGTTTTATATTCCATACATGAGTTTTATATCCCACATTTATACAGTTCTTCACTTTTTCCTTCGGACTTATTTCACTTAGCAGATCATTCTCAAGACCCATCCATAGTCACAAATGGCGGTGTTTCATCTTTTCTTATGGCTGAGGAAACTCCACTGTTATATGAGCACCATGTCTTCTCTACCCAGTCCTCTGTCGAAGGACATTCCAGTGTCCTTGTCTAGGCCACCATGAGTAATGCTGCAGTGAACGTGGGGGGAGGGCACACGTTCTCACAAATGAGTGTTGTCAAATTTGGGGATTAGATGCCCAAAAGAGGGGTTGCTGGGTCTTATGGTAACTCTATTGTTAATTTTGAACCGTCAGCCATACTGCTTTCCCATCTACAGTGCCACCACCAGTGAGGGAGGGTTCCTCTTCCTCCTCAACCTCTCCGACACTTGTTATTACCTGTCTTATTAATAATAGCCATTCTCGCAGGTGTGAGGTGGTATTTCAACGCGGTTTTGATTTGCACTTCCCCAAGAGCTGGTGAAGATGAGCATCTTTTCACATGTCTGTTGACCATTTGTATGTTTCCTGGGAGAAGCGTCTGTTCAGGTTCTCTGCCCATTTTTTAGTTGCATTGTTCTTTTTTTCGTTGTTGTTGTTCTTGAGTTGTGTGGCTTTTTATATATTTTGGATATTAACCTTATTGGAGGTGCTGTTTGCAAATATCTTCTCCCGTTCAGGTCGTTGCCTTTTTGTTTTATTGACAATTTCTCATTTTTATTGACAGTTCTCTTTTACCGTGCATAAAATGCTTTTTAGTTTGATGTAGTCCCATTCATTTATTTTTGCTTTTACTCCCCTTGCCTTTGAGGTCAAATTAAAAACATCCTCTCTGGGACCAAAGTCCTAACTTACTTTTTTATCTATGTAATTTATTGTTCCGAGTTTTATATTTAGGACTTGGATCCATTTTGAGTTAATTTCTGTGTATGGTGATAAGTAGCCATGTAGTTTCATACTTTTGCATGTGGCTTTCCGATTTTCCCAGCAGCATGTATTGAAAAGGCTTTCCCTGTTGAAAGTCATTTGCCCATGTACAGGCGGGTTTATTTCTGAGCTCTCAACTCCGTTCTGCTGGTCTGTGTGTCTGCTTTTCCGACAATCCCATGCTTTGCTTACTCTCACGTTGTAGTATTATCAGAAGTCAGGGAGTGCGACTCCTCCTGCTTTGTTCTTTTTGCTCAGGATGGCTTTGGCTACTGGGGGTCCCTTGTGGGTCTGAACAAATCGGATGATTTTTGTTCTACTTGTTTAAAGATGCCATTGAGATTCTGACAGGGATTACAGTAAATCTGTGTATTGCTTTGGGTGATAGGGCAATTTTAAATATGTTTATCTTCCAATCTGTCAACACAGAATATGTTTCCATTGCAATGTGTCTTTTTCAATCACTTTTAATAATGCTTTGTAGTTTTCAGTGTCTAGGTCCTTCACGTCCTTTGTTTATTCCCAGGTACTTTATTCACTTTGCTGCGATTGCAAGAGGGATTTTTTAAAATTTTCTTTTTCTGAAATTTCTTCTTAGTCTACAGGAATGCAGTGGACTCTTGTACATTGATTTTGTACCTTGTGACTTTACTGTAGCTGTTTGTTGTTTCTGATAGTTTCTTTTGGCAGCATCTTTAGGGTTTTGTATATAAGAAATCATGTCATCTGCAAAAAGTGACAATTTTGCTTCTTCATTACCAATTTGGGTGCCTTTTCTTTCTTTCTCTTGCCTGACTGCTCTAGCGAGGACTTCTGGAACTGTGTTGTGTTGCAGTGACCTTGTCTTGCCCCTGACCTCAGAGGAACAGTTTTCAGTTTTTCACCACTGAGTACATTAGCTGAGGGTTTGCCATACTGGTCTGTATTATGTTGAGGCACTTTCCTTCTATAGCCATTCTGTTGAGTGTTTTAATCACAAATGGATGTTGCATCTTGTCAAATGCTTTTCCTGCATCTATTTGTATGCTCTTATAGCTTTCCTTCTGTACTTTGTCACCGTGGTGCATCTCATTGATGGACTGGCGTATGTTGAACCTTGTGCCCTGGAATGAACCTCTCAAACCTGATGTGAGGGGACATAAGGATGGTTACCTGAAACCCACTGGTGACAGATTAGGGAGGCAGGAGAAAGCAAAGCAGAGACATCTCTGGGACTGGATAAAAAGTAAAACGGAGAGACCCATCCTTCTTTTCCACTGGCGCGTGCCGGGTAGGTACCGATGAACACTTACAGCACCCAGAGATGGGACTCGGGGGGTGAGACAGCAGGGAGGACTCTGTGGTTTCCGCTCCGTGCTGAGGATCTGGAAAAGAAGATGATTCTGACATTTCATAGGTGTGTTATCTTAGATGCAAACGACCATAGACAGGCTCGCCCACGGTAGAGAGAGACTTTGTCAAGGAAGCTGCAGGCCTAGGACGTGACCGCCCACCACGACCAGCTTTCCGAAGGGAGTTTTTATGTTCAAGCCATCACCTGTGGTTAATGTTCGGTCTCCGAGAGTGTAGGGCCCACCACGCTGGCCTCCCCAGAGCCCGTCAGGTTTAGCATGTGGCCGCTTTTTCATCCACGCTGATATAAAGTCTGACTAATTTACACTCGCATCAGGAGCACTTGAGAATGAACTGGGCAGCCCTGCCCTCGTTAACATTGGACATGATCAGTCTTGTCAACGTCACTGAAAAGATGGATTAAAAATACATACGGAGCAAGTGTTTGTAATGAGCTCCTGCATTCTGTCTGTTCCTGTCCCATCAGTGCTCTCTGCCCAATGTGGACATTAATAAGTGATACGCATTTTAATCCATATGTATAAAAGAAAGATGGCTCCCTGTATAAAAGAAAGATGGTTTCCGGGCAGTCCTTTCCTCCTGGCCCATCTAAGCGCCCTGGCCCGGCCCGAGTTCTCTCCCACAAGCACCGAGGCTGTCTTCTCATGAGGACGTCTTCTCATGAGGACGTGTCCGCTGTGTGCAGTGCTCTCCTCTCCCGTTGTGGGACTGAGCCTGTCCTTACGTTCGTGCTGCCTGCTGTAGGTTGAAACCTCTGGGAAAGGCGGACCTGCTGTGCTTATTGGCTCTGTCCAGCAAATGTGTCCCTTTCATTGGGACGCCATGGACAAAGACAGCTTTCAGACTTGGCTCCTCCTCCAGGAGGAATAGATCTAACGCATGGTTTGACCACAACATGGCAGCAGGGGACATGTCGAGCATCCATGCCATGAGAAAAAGTAAGCGCTGAAGCAGAGAGTGGCATTGTGCCGCTTGAAAAAAAATCCTTCCTAGCATAACTTCATATTCAGAGTCTGTAACAACTTACAGAGGACTTTTAAGTGTCAGCTCTGGTTTCAGATGATCTGAGGAATTTGCTGGTCAGATTAGACATATTTCTTTGAAAAGCATAAAGTTAGCTAATTCTTCAAAATTATAAAAATGACTTATAACCCTACCATTTAGAGATAACCACAAATAACATATTTTTATTTCCTTATGAGCACACACATATAGGAATGTTGTGTTTTTCAGAAATTAGAAACATAAGATTCTGTGTCTTGCTTTTTCACTTATCATTGGCATTTTCCTGTCGTGAAATACTCTTTGAAACCTGATTTTCAACAGCTGAATGACATGCCACTGAAAAGGTTGTCATAATTTATCAACGAACTTCCTTCCTTCCCCAAACGATGCCCTCATGCCTCCAGGCTATTCGTGTCCCCTCTCTGGGCACACAGGGCGCTTCCATTTCCCAGCCTCCCTTGCAGTTCGGTTAGGACCAGGAGACGGAGTTCCAGACAATGCAGTGTGGGCGACAGTGACAGGCCCTGGCCCTGAGACCCACCCACGTCATCCTCCTGCCATCTCTCCTGCTGCTGTAGCCGCTTGGAAGCCACGTGTGGCAGATGGCATGGCTGGAGCATGGAAGCAGCCTCTGCCCTTGGTGTCAGCCTGGAAGAGGAAAGAGCACTAGTCGGCATCAGACTGTGGCCCGAGTGCAACCCGGACCCCTGTGTGCTCCTGCCCACAGCCCGGCGACGCCCTGAGAAGTAAGCACGGGTAAGACCTGTGCAGGTTGCTTCTGACTTTCCCTTAGTGTCAGGGGATACCACCACTTGGGGTCTTGCCAGTTATGTTGCTAAAATAAGTAAGACATACCAGTTTGGGTTTGCCCCCTATTTTAAATAAGTAGATAGCTGTTTTCTCTTTTATATTTTGGTATGATTTTCTGTTCTCTGCAGAAGGTTATTCTTTAAAAAAATGTGTAAGAGATAAGCGGAAGGGTCTGGAGGATGACCCGAGAGGCTGAGCTTGTCCGGCCAAGGACTGCCCGGCACAATGGCTCACTCTTCCCCTGGGAGGGCCTGTGTCCCCACCCGGCCCTGTGGGTTGGGGGCTCTAGTTCCCCAGGCTCTCAGAAGCCAACTTCTAGAACTCACCAGGTGCCAGGAGCCGGCACTCCCAGCCTGCTGCTGCACAGTCAGCATCTCGCAGACACCTGGAGCCCAAGGCCTGTCTGTCACCCTAGAGGAACCCTGCTAGTTGACAAGCTTGGCCCCCACACACTTTAGATCAGGATCTCATGTTCTTCATCATGGGGGCAGAGGAGGTATTTTACCTTTTCTACCTACTGATACCTATATTCATGTGGATAAAAATTCAAGAAGTACAAAAGGAGAGTTGGGACTCTCCCTTGGACCCCTCAGTCCCGCAGTTCTCATTCCCAAAGGCAGTTGATTTTGTTCCTTCATGTCCTTAGAGAGATTATAATTGATTACAACTTGCGCATAACAACAACAACAAAAAAAAAGAAATGAAAGAACAAATGATGTCCTTTCTGAATCAAGTAATGCATTCTTTGATTTTTTAAATTACTTTTTAAAAGTGAAAAACACATGATAAAAAGTAATCTGCAGTCTAAAATGAAAAGTGCAAGACTTCCTTACACACCAGCCCCACTTTTACATATTCATTCTCCTCGAGAACAACCGCAGTTGGCTTACAATCCGATGCAAAACATGCTTATGTACGTATCTCATAAATATTAGCAACTAGATGTGTGAACATACCAGATACACATTTCTGGTTCTTATTTCTGTCACTTAATTATATATCTTGGACATACTTCCATAACAGCAAAGAATCTTCCTTCTTTTGATTTTTGTGAATCATAAAAAGCTTTCAGTCTTCCATTAGAAGATCCTTAGCTTGTTACTAGTTTGTTGTTATTACAATGCTCTTTTTTCCTATCATTTCGCCCATAATGGTTTCCTAAGGAGCATCTCTGTGTGTGTTATGAGTTTGCATATACGAATGTCTGCAAGCCTAAATTTTTAGTCAAGTAAAAATTCTTCTTTTTTCTAATAATGGAGGGGGAGGGGAGTTTTCAAAAGAAATGGTCTATGAGTGACCTTTTAAAACACATTTACACCTTCATCCTCAATACATTCTAGGAGGACAAGTTCTTACAATTATTTTTGCTACTAGCTCTGGTAACATTGATTTAATATGTCTCTCTTCCTTGGGTGTCTCATCTTATCCTAGTTTAGCTTGGTCGCTTCACGTGGAGTGTGAATAAACATTCACCCCTGGCTCGTTCCCCACAGAGCGCCTCAGAAGTGTGGAAATTACCTGCACATTAGCCTGGAGTGACTGAGCATCTTCTGATTGTACGCGGTAATGGACAGAGTAGTTGCTGCTGTGTTAGGACGGGAGGAGAGAGGTTCTAGGTAGGAAACCAAGGCTACAGATGAAAGTGAATGCCTTCGGGAAGTGTTCAGTTTTACCTAGATAAAATTAATTTAAGCACAGATGGAGTCAGAAAGATGAAGATGAAGCTTACTGTAACTCCTTCAAATAAAATTTGTTTTTGCCATTTGAACGAAGTTCAGGGGGAATTCAAAGACAAGTAAACAGTAAAAATTAAGGATGCATATTATAATTTATAGAGCAGATATCAAAAATCCTGCAAAGAAGAATAATAAAAAAGGCTAATTGAAATTGAATTCTAAATATATATATATATTAAAAGAAGGCAGAAAAGGAAAAGTAGAAGACTAAAAATGAGGAAACAAAACAGAAAACTAACAGTAAAATGGGAGGCTAAACTCAACCATATCAATAGTTGCCTTGCAGGCAAGTGCACTAAACCCTTCCTCCCACACGAAAATGCAGACATTTACAGAGTAACCTTTTTAGGGTCCCAACTACACATTGTCTGTAAGTGATGCTGTTTAAATATAAATACAAGAGGGACTGAGCGAAAAGGAAAAAGGACTCATGGGCATGGACAACAGTGTGGTGATTGTGGGGGGAGGGGAGTATAAGGGGTATAAGTGGTAATGGAAAAAATACAATAAAAAATAAACAATAAACAAGTGAAAACACAACTATACGTATTTTCGATCAAACTTAGCAAGCAGTTTTCAAAAGTCCCCAAAGTTCCCATCTAATTCCTCCCCAAAGTACTTCCCCCCTCACTGTATTAATGTTCTGCTTTTTAGCATTAACTACTGCATTCATATGTATTAATTCCCATAACCATCGTCCAAGAGAGTCAAAGCAACTATCTAAACAAACATGTATTCAACATTCTCCCTAAAGCCCAGGGGGGAAAACAATAAAAGATCCAAAAAAGTTCTCCCCCATTGTCTGGCTTCCAATAATTTCTGGAAGCAGGTGTGAACACAATTATAATATCTAGGAGAGGAAGAAATGTGTAAAATCAATCCATCAGTTAATCTTCAAGTAATATCTACTTCAAGCAAGAAAGTCCTTTAGAACTCTTAAGGATGATGTTATACCTAATTTAAATTTACTTTACAGATATTGGAAGGGGATCAATTCATAATGAAGTAATAACAGGAAATCCCTAAAATCACTAAATGTGAAAGTTCCATGCAATTGCTGGCTCCCTCCACCCTTTTTTGGGGAAAAGGGGATATTTGGAAGTGATACATGTCTCTTAACTAATCAAGCTTTATGATATATTTTAGACTTAAAAAGTTTCAGAAGGCCTATTTAGTTTTTCACAATGCAAAATAATGTTAATTTCATTAAGTTTTCTTAGAAGTAATGCCAGTATCACCAACAGTCATAATCAGAGCAGCATGCTTTAAGGCCTAAAAATGAATCTTTAAAACATCAAATGCGATAATACGCACCCCCCCAAAAATTCTTATCCCTGTGGGTGATCGTAAATCACCATCTACTACTTGATGAAGCCACATTCTTCAGAAAACTCCCAGTTCCTTCACACTCTGTCAGTTTGGTTATCAAAATCTGCCAAACATGTGATTATAGATATATGTAGTAGATGAACAAATAGAATCATAATTAAATAGCTGATTTCATACATCTACATCTGTATGTATACTTGTACCCATATCTATGTTAATATAATGTTATAGCCAACATTACAATTACAGTTTTAGAACGATTTTTCCCTGAGAAGTTGGACAGGGTTGGGATCTATTCCACTGAGCCTCACCTGTGATATGACAGTTACATGCGTGAGACTTTCCCGTGGAAGATGAAGGATGATGGAGGATGGATCAAGGATCATTCCCAGGCTTTTCGATTTGGTGTCCATATTAAAGGTTGGGTCGTTCCCATGATATAAGAGAATCAGATGGGGGAAAGTGATGAGTTTGTACTTGGCCCTACTGCCTTTGATGTACAAAGTTGGTCTGGGGTTCAGATGAGATAATTGCAATGGAAAGGAAGATTCTAGGGTCATCAGTACACAAGTGATTGTGAAATCAGGACCACGCGTGTGGTCATTTGGGAGACCGCGTTCAGAGAAGAACGTCAAGGATGGAGTCCTGGGACACACCAGCACTTAAGGGACTCGTAGAGAAAAAGAAACCCAAGCAGGTGACAGAGAAGAGAGCCAGAGAAATGGAGGAACGTGGGGAGAGCTGTGCCACTGAAATCGAAAGCAAGAGGGAACATCAGAGGGCTTCAGTCCTGAGCTCAGTGAGAGGCTGGTATTTTTCATGTTTCCACTGAGCCACACCGCCAGGACTCATCTTTCGCATTTCAGCTGTTTTCAAGCTAATTGTTAAAAAGTGACCTTTAGAATATGTGTCATGTGCACACCTTGCGAGAGATGCTGTTACAAATGACCACAAATTGAGTGGCTTAAAAATTACAGGAACTTGATTTCTCAGTTCTAGAGTTCTACTGTCTGAAATCAAGGTGAAGGCAGGTGAAGTCCTTCCTAAGGGCTGAGGGCGGGGGTGTTGCGTACCTCTCCCCTAACTTCTGCAGCTGGCCAGCGATCCTTGGCGTTCCTTGGTGTGAGGCCAATCCCTGCCGCGGTAGTCACATGAGTGTCTTCCTGGTACTCTGCCTGCGTGTCTGTGTCCAAACTGCCCTCTTCCCGTGAGGACAGCAGTCATTGGATCCATCCAGTGCGACCTATCTTGACTTGATTAAATCTGCAAAAACGAGCTTCTCAAGAAGGCTCACATGCTGAGGTTCTGGGTGGACATGAACTTTTGGAGGATGCTGTTCAACCCGCCATCCTAAGGGTGTGATCTCAAATTTACAAGTACTACAGCAACTAGACCCTAGAAAAAAGGATAAAAGGCAATGAGAATGGTGCACATGATAACTGAATTTTATGTGGGCACCTGCTGGAAGTGGTCAGTGAGAGGACAGGATTCCCACTTGACCCCAGGCCCCGACCTAGGCAATAAGACGCTCCTCACCCCTTCCTGTTTCCTTAGGAGACACCTAAAAGGACTCTGTCTCAGGAGGGACTGTGTTACTGAGACCAACTGCTGGGTGGAATACTTCACTGAGCCCACTAGGACCTCCACACACCCTCTTTAGATCCTGGTGGGAGGGTGTGGAAATGCGCATGCCCCTGGCCGGCCAGACAGCTCTCATACATGAGTTCCCTCACTTGCTAAAGCTGCTCTTACTTGTCTGGAGTGGCCTGCCTCTGGGGTTGGAGGTCAGTTTCTTTTCCCTGGGGGAACCCCTGAGGCTTCACACCAAGAGCACTGCATTTTTTTTTTTTTCACCTTCATTGTGATAGAAGACCAAAGTAAGTTAAGATTCACTTTGTAGAAACTGTTCACACTCAACATTTTTCTTTGGCATCTCACCTGCTCTGGGAGACACCCTACTGAACTCCACCAAGAAGAAAGTCACTTTTTTTTCTCAGTGAAATGTAGTCAAAAAGCCTTTCTGGCCGGTGGGGACGGGTTTGCCAGTGTCCTCATCCATGCAGATGGCTAAACTAATGGACCCTTTACGACTCTTGAAGTAATGGGAGGTGTGGCCGAGGAGCACACATTTATTTAGACAAAAGTACTTTTTCTTCATTATCATCAAATATTTACTATGCACAATAGTCTTCGTGGCACCACAGGTATTAAGCGTGTGTTCAGGCATAAAAGGAAGTCTTTCCCTGAGACGACATTAGGGAGGAACAAAACGTTCCGTCAAACAAAAAAGTAGCGTTTGGAGTAATTCTGACCTTAATTTGAGCCATCCAATTTAAGAAGTCTTTCTGATGCATGATTGATTCGGGGCCATCGTTCTCCATCAGTCTTGCCCCCCCCTTCCACCACTGTCCCTGCCATTTGTGATACTTGCCAGGGTCCCCAAGCCCCAAGAACAGGCTTAGCCGGCTAGGAGCAGTGCCACGACCCCGGGCGCCGATGCTGTCCTGTCTGGGTCCCAGCTGCCGAGGAAGCGTTGGCGTTCGGAGTTCCACACCGGCTGCAAAGCCGATGTGCCTCTTGACCGTCTATCATATAACCGACCATAAAGAGAGGGCAGATCTGTATTTGAAAGGTGCTGGATTTGAAATGTGTGTCTCAGAGATCGACAGCTCTTGTCGGAGGAAAAATAAGCCTCGAAGCGGCACCCACAACTTCGTGAAACGCAGGCTGGCAGGGAGTTTCAAGACGCAACGAGGACCAGGAGCCTAGGAATCTGCTCCAACACTATCACTTCTCTGAACACCAAACGAAGCCCGCGGGTCCTGCCCAGGTGGGGACAACAGGCGGCCCCGCTGGCTCCCCGACCCTCGCAGGCCTGTCGCCCCCCCCCCCCACCCCGGCGCCCCGCGCCCCACCCGTGGGCTCGGAGGTTGCAGTCCCCACCTTTCCTCCCCAGGCCTCTCCCACTTCCTTCTCCACCGGCCCCCGCACGGCCGCCCGTCCCGGGCCCCACCCAGTCCTCCCTCGGGACCGACCCCTTCCCCGGGGAATAAGGAGGTGGATTCCTGCGCGTCCCAGGGGTGCCAAGAGTGCGCAGCTAGACGGGAAATTGCAAAAGTCTTACGCCCTCCGCCCTCCCCACGGCTTTCCCGTAACTCCCGCCCCTCGGCGCCCGTCCCGGCTGATTCATAGCCCGGGAGCCCGGCAGCCTCCCGGGTGTCCGTACCCGCCGCCCGCGCCGCGGAGGACGCGTCCGGCTCCAGCAGGCCCGGCCCGCGCGGTGAGTACCGGCCCCGCTGCCTGCTCCCCCCCGCGCCCCGAGGCCTCGGTGGATCTCCCGACCGCGGACGGGGTGCGGTGCTGGGGAGACTCGGACAGCCTCGCCGCCCCTGCCCCGCGTTCGCTTTGATGTACCGGGAGACGGGTCTTGGAAGGTCCGCGCCGCCGGCCGACTCACCTGGGCGTCGCACTGAAGGACTGGCTTTCTCCGGAGCGCACGGCCTCCAGGCGTCCTGCCCGAGTTTCCGTCCCCGTCCCACTCCTGCTGCCTCCAGTGGTCGGAACATTTCCGAACTTCCCAGGGTTCACTAACTCCTCCCACCCGACACACCGCACGGGCTCGTCACCGTCCCCAGACGTCCCCCGACCCAGCAGGGACTGCGCGGACAGCCGCTCTGCGCCGCACTGGGTCCGAGTTTACACCTGGCGGTGGGAGGTGCTCCGCGCAAGTGGAGCGAGCGCTTCCCGGGGAGGCCGGCGCCTGGGACGCGCCGCCTGGTTCCCCTCTTCTGCCGCGCGCGGAGGCAGCTCCGCGTTGGCGGGCCCGGCAGCAGGGGCCTCGCATTTGTGCGCGCCCCTTCCCCGTTTTATAGACAGTCCGGGGTGGGGGGTGGGGGTCCAGTGACTTGTCCAGGGCCGTGCAGCCGGCTGTGGCGGCCCTGAAATCTCCGAGTCCAGGGTTTCCTTTTGCTCCTGAATCAGAGATGCATTTCCTGAGAGTCCTTTATCCGCCCGCGCATCCGCCCATCCTGCCGCAGGGAGAAAGGCACGGTGCCACCGGGACAGGCCGCTGGAGAAGGGACGAGCTTGAGGGCCCTCTGTGGGCAGCCGCATTCTCCTGCTCAAGCAGGAGTAGAGGCAGGGGCGACGCGAGCCCTGGACAGGCAGGAACCGAACGTGGTGTGTGCTTACGAGGCCACAGGGAAAGAGCTGTAGGTCTTGCTCCGGAGCCTAAAACTGACCTTGGGACTTGGGTCAAGTTATGCATGGCCTCAGCCTCAGTTTCCTTGTCTGCAAAATAGTAATGGTTCATACTTGCTGCAGGCCAGCGACTGTGGGAAGTATTTTGCATATGCTTGCTCACTTAGTCTCCACCCATGAGGTAGGTGCTGGTTTTGTTTAGCTCGTTTTATCCACGAGGAAGCGGAGTGGATAGTGACTTACTTGTGTGCGCCCACGCAGCTAGCAGGTGGCCGAGTCGAGGTCGGACTCTGGAGCTTGCTGATCAGCGCTACGCTGTCCTCAAAGTTAGGACCGTTTGCGATGGTCCTGGGGTTGGGGACTCATTGTCGCCCAGCTTCGTCTCTCTCCCAGATTGCGTTTAAATGGGCTGAGACGCCCTTGAGGCTGTAGGGCTTCCAATGGTCCTAGTAGCCAGGGGTTCGCAGATGTAGCAGTGCCTCCGAATCATTTCTGGAACTTTCCAAGCCCTGGACTCCAGCCTAGGCTGCCCATGGGGGACCTGCAGGGCGCGCCCCGTCGGTGTCTCCGCTGGCAGCTGGGCTGCGGCATCCGGAGCGGTCAGAACGCGGCCGCGGGGAGCCCACCCCCGTCGCGCTGTGGCTCGCCTCCTCTTGACTTTGGTCTGGGTCCCCGTTCCGCCCCCGTTGTCTCAGCAAAGGGTCTGAGAACACTCCCTCACACACCGGGTCCCTTCTCTGTAACCCGAAAGGGCGGGCTGCGCGGACGCGCCCCGGAGTCTCCGATGCCCTCGGGACCCTCCTGTCCTGACATGGAACCAGAGCAGGAAAAGATGCGTTGCGGTTGTGAAGAAGGGCCGAGCGGCCGCGGGACCGAGGAGAGGAAGCAGCGAGCTCTCCTCGCGTGAACCGGGGCAAATCTTCGCGAGTGCAGTCTGGCCCCTCTACCGGAGCCCGGCCCTCCTTCTAGGTGGGGGACGGGGCGGGGGAGGGGGCCTCCTCGACTGTGAAAAGAAGTAAACGAAACGGGAAACATAAACAAATAGAACCCGGTGAGCAGGGCCCGGCCTTTGAGCAGGCCTCCTGGTAGCTGCAGAAAGCCCGCCGTCCTTCCCCAGAGCTGCGTCTTGGGCCTCACAGCTTCCCTCCTTTCTCACTTTAGTTCAGTCGGTTTTCAGCATTTGTTTACTCCAAGGCCTCTGTTTTGTTTTCATAGTTTTAAAATCGTACAAGTAATAACCGCGCACACTCTCGATCGACAGAAAGGCACGTGGGCTGAGTTGCGACAGTGCGGTCATCTTTCCTACTCGCAGGCAGAAGAGGGCGGCCAGGTTTGGTGAAATCATTCCGAGACTCTTGTCTCTTCTATACATTGGCGTAACAGTATAGATACATGCGTTGTAACATATGTAAATGAGATGCTGCTATACATTGTGCAGCTTACTTTGTCATTCCCAAGGCTTAGAGATTTTCCCGGTCTGTAAGGGCCTCTTTTTGGTAATGGCTACCTTTCATTCTAAAATAGAAGTGCGCTCGACCCATCCTTTCCCTTACTAATGGACGCTTGGGGCATTTTAAGTTATTCTGCATTAGCAACAGGGCTTCAGGGAAGATTGTGCGTTCACCTTCGTGCCTGAGTATTTCTGGAGAATAGATTCCTAAGATGTTCTTGCATCAAAGGGTTTGTTTGTTTTTCAACTTAATAGATACAACCCTTCAAATTGCACCACTGCCCCCCCCAGCAGGTGCTAATTCACAGTCGGTGCAGGAGAAGCTGTCTTCTTTGTTCTTCCTGATATCAGCTGCTATTTTTTCAATTTAACATTTCAAATCTGGTCAACTAGGGCTGTGCGGCCTTCACCACCACCCTTTCCCAGAATCCTTTTCACCTTGCCAAACTGAGTCTCTGGGCCCATCAAACAGCGACCCCCCAACACCACCCCGGCCCCCGCGACAACCATTTTATTTCCTGCCTCTATGAACCCGGCTACTCCTCCCTCATGCACGAATTAGTCTTTCCTGTGACTGATTTGTTTCACTTAGCAAAATGTCCTGAAGGCTCATCCAGGTATCAGAATTTTCTTGTGTGTAATATGCTACATTCTGCTCACCTATTCATGACACTTTTATTTCTAATTACCTTTTGCTGCACAGAAAATGTCTATGTCATCCACTCTGCAATCTCATGATTTCTGTTCTTTATTTGTTTGGTTTAGAAAGGTCTTTTTTTTTTTAACCTAAAAATCATTTAAAAATTATCTTGTTTCCCTCATACAGAATTTGTTTTTTACATTTGGTTCTTTAAAATATCATACTATTGCGTAAGGTGAAAAACAAGGATTAACATTTTTTCTAGAGTTAACCTGACAGTTTTATTTAATCATCCATTTTTTTCCCCACTCACTTGAAATCCTGTTTTTATAGTAAAATAAATTTCTACTTATACAAGGGCCTGTTTCAGAACTTTATTCTGTTTCACTGAGCATTTTTGTCTCTTTTTATGCCAGTACCTCCCTGTGTTAAATGCTATAGCTTTATAGTATTTTTGTATCTATTAGCAAGTATTTGTATTTTAATAAAATTTAGAAATGATTCTTGTACTATTTCTCTTTCATGCAAACTTCATAAATAGCTTGCCAAGTGTAATAAAATCCCGTTGAAATGTTTCTGAAGATTTCCTTGGGTCTATCGCTGTTAGCAATCTTTTTATCCTTAACGTGCATTCCAGTACTTGCTCCAACCAGGCAGGAAGTGGTGCGAGGTGGGGGCCGGCGCTGTCCTTGGGGGAGCGGCTTTCCTGGTTTCAAGTTCCACGTTAATTATGCCAACCTCTGCCAAAATTCCTTTTAACCTTTGTTAGCCTTGATTTCCTTGACTGTGTGTGGAGATAAAGATAGAATCTCCTTAATAGTGCAATTGTGAGAATAAATGCATGTAAATCACTCAGCCAAGCGCCTGACAGGAGGTTGGCCTCTGATCTGTGCCAGCTGCCATGATCACCACAGAAGGCAGGAGTAAACACTTGTCATTATATGGGAGGTTGACCGTGTCCTAGGAGACAAACACATGTCTAAATACTGAATGTAGATAGCAGTGTTTCTCAGACTTCAGTGTGCATGTGAGTCACTTTGGGGAGCTTGTTTAAATGCAGACTTTTATCCAGGAGGCCTGAGATGTGACCTGATGTTTCGCATTTCTCATAGGCTCATGGGAAATGTCAGTGCCATTGGTCTTTTGTCCACTCTTTGAGTTTATAGTCTTTCATTGATATTTAAAATTATTCTGGTGGCCATAGAATAATTCCCTATGAGGATAAATGTGATTGACAGGAATTGAAATTGCTTTCTTTTAATATTATATGGTAAAGAATTATGATTGTTTTCTTTCTCTCTTTCTCTCTTTTAAGGAAAGAGAGTTAGTGAGAGCACTGAGTGTAATACCAAGTTCTAATCTTAGACCTGAAATCTTTGGTCAGAGGTCACCGGTCAGAGGAGTCGCATGTTGGGCAGAACAGACTTGGCTGGACTGGAAGCATCTGGTGGAAGCAGGTGGTGGGACTGTGGGCGTGGCTGTGAAAGTGCAGGTAGCCCAGCCATGCGGCCTGGGGGCCGAGTCAGTGAGGCTCCCGCAGGCGGTTCCCACGAAGGACGACCTCGGGAGCAGCAGCAATGTCCCCACACTTCTCTCCCAGAGGTGGCTTTCTGTGCACACTGTTCTGAAATGTGCTTTTCCATTCAATATGTTTCGGACTCTTCCATGTCAGTTCATACATTATCTCATTCTTTTTAACCGTTGCGTAGTACTCCTTTGTAAAAATGCAGCATAGTTATATTTTCTAGTTTTTTTGGCATAGATACTTAGGTCTTTTTTTTTTTTTTTTGCTTTTTTCTCAACCTAAACATCACAATGTCCATTCTTTAAAAATGTATTTTTTTATATACACATGAAGACCACACACACACATGACCTGTAGGACAAAATTCCAGCAATAATATTTCTGAATCAGTGGTCGTAAATACTGAAGTGTTAATAGTGCCAAATCAGTGATTTGAAGTTTGTACTTTTTGACCACCCGTGAGTAACAAGGCCTTCTTCTTCAAACTCGTACCAACGCTGGATCTGAAGACCTTTTTAGGCTTTGCAATAGGACACCACACAGACACACAGGGGGACTTGCACAATTACTGTTTTAACTTGCATTATTTAATTATCAGTGACAGCATCCAGGTGTTAGTTCTTCTCTTTTGGCTGTTACTATTTCCTTCTTTTTTATGCATTACATATTCATGTTACTGGCAAGCCTGTCTGCAGGGTTGCTTGTGTTTTTCTTACTGGTTTCTAAGGGCTCCTTACACGGTAGGAATGGTAACCCTTTGCCCTGAATATGGAAACTGTTGCTATTTGTTGTTGGTCCAGTTACAGCATTAAACATTTAAAGTACGTAATCAGGGCGGCAGTCTCTGTTACTATTGCTCTGGCTCTCACACCGCGCTCAGACACACTGCACAGGTGGCCGCTGTGGCTTCTCTCTCCAGGCACACGTTCCAGCACCTCGTCCTGTGTGAACAGCCTCTTTCTTCCAAAGGCTGTCTGCCCACGCCATTCTCAGGCACGCAGCCAGTTTGGAGAGCTCAGCAACACGCCCACGTTCTCAGGAAGCAAACCACTGATCACACTGCTCCTCACAGCGATTATTTGCAGTGGGGTAACTTCCCAGGAATAAAGATTTCAGTAAAGACAGAACAAGAAGTGCTGGTAAGGAAGGGCAGACTGACACCCTTTTCAAAAGCAGTGTTTTATCACACACGCGGTATTTACACTCGTAGTCAAAGGCCTCTTCATTCTGCAGACAAGAGTTGAAGGAGTTCTTTCTACAAAATGGGTGCGTAGTTTTTCTTTTCTTCCCTCCCTGTTTCCCCCTAGAGAGGGGGTGTCAACAAAAGACTATGAATTAGGCAACAGTGGGTCACAGGAAAAGCAGAGGGGCCTAAAAAAGAATCTGCTTTCATTAAAATTGAAAGCAAAGAGAGAAAACTGCTACACCTTCCTATTTATTTGCCAGATATTTACTGGGTAGCAAATATGTTCTGGGCCTATGACAGACCGTGGGGGACAAGATCCAAGCCACTCATAGTCTAGTTGGGGCTGATGGAGATCTGAAGAATAGAGTGAAACAAAGAACAGATTGGGGGAAAGGACTAAGGAGTGAGGATCCGGCAGGAAAGTGTTTTTCCTTTCTGAATTCTGCTACTTTGCGCTTCCCCTGACTTTCTTCCCTTACTGGACATCAGAAGTGGCAGCACTGCTCACTGACAGCTGCGGGGAGACAGGAAGGGCCTGTGGAAGGACCGAGAGGGCTGGGGGCCTTTCCATTCCAGACGCTGGGCTTTGGAGACCTGCCTGCCAGGCATACGGGGGTGGGGGGCAGGTGGGGAGCAGGTGTCACCCTGACGCCTGAAGGGGCCCTCCAGCCACCCCAACACGCAGTCCTTGCCCTTGAGCTGGCGCAGGAAAGCCAGGCCTGCTTCTGTTTTCTGGTTTCCCCGCTGCCTGAGGAGGGTAGAGCAGGGTGGGGGGAGCCCGGGAGCCCTGTGCTGGGTTCCCTCTTCTCTGTCTGTCCTCCTCCTCTCGACACTAGGCCGCGGCTGAATTCACGCCCAGGCCAGGACCCCTCCCACGAACTCCCTACCATGTATCCGGCTTGTTCCTCGATATCTTCACCTTAGTTTTAACACAAGGCAAATCGAGCCCTGATACAGCCCACTTCCTCTGTGCTCCGGCTTCTCTGTCGAAGGCAATTCCAGTCCTCAGTGGGAGGGCTCAGCCGAAACTCAGAGCCGTCCACACGTCTTGCTTTGCCACGACTCCCCGCCCTGCCAGACTGTCTGTGAGTCCCCCTGGAAGGTCCCCGCTCCTGGCACCGCCCTGGTCTGAGCCGCCATCATGATCCCTGCAGCCTCTTCTCATTCCTGGGTCCTCCCTATTCCCGCTCCTCTGCTCCACGTTAAGTGTGGCTGCCTCCTTTCCCAGGTAGAAGCCACACTTCAGAACCCTGCCTCCCGTTTGCGCCCCCCTCCCCCTGCGTGCACCGCCCCCCCCCCCCCCCAGTCCCTCGCCTCCTTGCTCACACCAGGCCCCGGGCTCTTCCTCCTCGACTCCCCACCCCCCCCAGCCTTCTCTCACCCCAGGATCTTTGCACGGGTTGCTCGCTCACCTCCAGGCTTTGCACTGTGTGAGTCAGGGTCGCACCCCAGAGCGCTCGGACTCCAGAACTCAGGGGTTCATGTGTGAGGTGTGGCGGGGGGACCACGTGGGTCGCGCAGTCAGTCCCGTGGGGCTGACCAGCAGCCCAGCTCTGGGCTTCCCCTGCACAGCGCGAGCCAACGAGCTGTCCGGGAACCTGCTCCTGTGGCGTTTCCCGGAGGGGGCTCCACGCGTGTCCCCGGCTGCTGAGGCTCACTCTGCATGTTCTGGGTGAACTTTATTGATTTCACCAGAAGGTTTCCAGGCAACAGCTGGACATGGCGGTCCTTCTACGAGGCACACCGTGGGAAAGAACACCCACTTTGCGGGGGTGCAGGCAGGGCCCATTGTGTCCCGGTGGCCACCTGCCCCGCATGAGTGAAATGGGGCGCGTCAGAACCCACGGAAATACAAGCAGTAAATCCACACACACGGGCTGCGAGCCCGGCTGACGCTGACCTCAGGCTCGAAGCCAATGTGTGTGAGTGAGTGGGGCGGAGCAGGCCTCCGGAAGGACTGTCCCAGTGGCTCCCCTTGGCTTTCCTGTGACGCCCGGATCAGGGAAGCGCGCCCTGCGTCGTACTCAGCACAACTCAGCTGTGCTGCGTGACGACCTTCCTCTTTAATTTCTGGTTACCCAGAGCGGTAGGTGGCTCCTGACGTTCAGTTTTACCCCTGCGACTTACTTTGTGCACCACGAAAAACATTTGATTTGCTATGAGTCCAAATTTTTAGGAACATTTTAAATGGGCTTTTAAATAAAGAGCGCATAAGGCTGCATGCCTGCGTCACCTCCGGAATGACCCACTTTTAAATTTGCGGCCTGACATTTCCTCACCATGGTGGCACCCTGCCTGCCTCAGGTGAGGAAGTTAGACCAGGACTGGACAGGTGTTTTCGCTGCACGGTGAGCTCCAGACCCTTCCCTGCGGCAGTCTTCCTTTGCTTCTCCTTTGGTTCCCAGCAGAAAGTAGATTTTTTTTCTTTTCTTTCTTTTTTTTTGAATTAGTGCCCCTCCATCCCCCACCACCACAGGGATGTCTAGTTGTCATGGAACTAGTGTGAAGTTGTAAGTAAAGATTTTAGAGAGGTGTGACTGGGCTGTTGGCCAAATACAAGTGGGAGAAAGCAGAGCTTAAAGAATATGAACAAAAGTTGTCGTTTGCACACTTCCGCATCCGTTGCACTTGGGCTCAACTCACCTGCAGGCAGGCGGGGCCACGGCAGAGTGAGTGATGGTTTGGATCACCCCCTTCCTGTCTCCGAGGTTGTTCTCTCTGACCTGCACAGACCATGAAAACGCAGACAGTGTGGGCAGTGTGAAGTGGTAGTCAGGTTCACTGACTTCCAGGATACAGATGAGAGCCAGGTGGCTAGACAGAGGCCAATTCTGACCTTGAATTGTTTGATTGCTTCTCTCTCTGATGAGCCAGAATTTGAAGCAAAACAGTGAAGCTTCCCCTGTCTAACACATCGATTGTTGAATTAGGAACTCGTTGACCTTCTTGAGGTCATCCAGGCTCACTCTGCTGCCCTCAGACTGTCCCATGGTCAAAGGACTTGACGAATCAGGGATCCTCTTGGTCTTGCAGTTTAAAACCCTCTCTGAAGGCAAGGAGAACGAGAAATTATTTCAAACAATGAAGCACCGTATTTGTAGGTAGAGGTGCTCCCTCTTCCCAGCTGTGATTTTAATGAGGGAGACAGGGGAGAGGGGATGAGTCCCCCCACCCCCATAAGTCAGTAGGTCATTAATTCAGATTTAGCCCTTTTGAGACTGGCCTCTGTTCTCTTGCTAATCAATATGTTTTTAATATTTAAATTTAGCTGCATGCTTCGCCTTTCTTTACCCACCTTTGCCTGATTTGAAGACACTGGAAGGTCAGGCATCTCTTGCCACACACCCCGAGAGGCAGGAACAGCTTGACCGCGTGCTCCCCTGTGATCAGCTGGTCCTGGCTGGGGTGCGGCGGAGCGGGGTGCCCCAGCCGGGTGACTCAGCCCCACCTTCCTCGTGGCTCACTCTCCTCGGGGCTCCAGTGGCGCAGCCCAGAAATGTTCTTTTCGTGCCAAAGGCGGAAACACGAAAGAGCAAGCGAAAACACACAAGGTCTCCTTAGGTGTCGGCTCCAAGCCAGCAGGCCATCACTTCGGCCTCATGGTGGCCAAAGCCAGTCACGCAGAGTGGGGGACACGTGCAGTTCCTATTGGGTTGGCACTCCAGAGTCACAGGACAAGGGGTGGGGATACAGGGGACAGAGAATGGGCAGCTTCAATGCCATTATCTACCACGGGTGGCTCAAAGAAACCCTCGCAGAGCTAAAACTCAGTGAGGTGTCCCTTCTGGGCCATTTACCTTTTTCAGGAAACGGAACTATGGCTCCCTTGGCAGCCCTCCAAGCGACATTCCTCCTGGCACTGGTGTCCTTGAGAACTGGCGGCGGCAAAGGTGAGTCGTGGAAAGAGCAATAAGGAAAAAATCACAGAAAGGAAACAAATGAGGTCAGTGATGGCTCTGAAGAAAAGTTGCACAATCCTTTTTTTCTCCTGAAATTACACAGAATTGATGAGCAGCAGCGGTTCCCTCAGTCCTGGCCCCCTGGAGCTGGACGGCCCATCTGAATAAGCTGCCCTAGGGCTCCAGCTTCCCGGGACTGGGGCGTTTGCGAGCAGACCTAACCCTGTAGGACCTCCAGGTCGATGTGTTGAAAATGACCTTGACTGGGAGAATCGCTTCTGCGTCTTGCTGGGGAGACGTGGGTGAAGCAGCCCAGGGCTGGCTGCTGAGTTAGAACAAGCTGTGATGTCCCTCAGCTGTGTTTACTGAGAGGCTGTTAGCTACAAGATGGTACTGCTAAGTGCTGCAATGCTGTGTATGGATTTCTTAAAAAGTACTTGTGGCTTAGCTACTCCCCCTGTGAGGGTGCTTTGAAGTAAATGAACTATATAAACAGAGTCAATAGGACTTCAATTCTTCTAAAGTGTTTACAGGTACTCTGTTCTTTGAACCAGAGAGTCTCTGTTGGTTTATAGAGTTTCTGTTGCTGTGTCCTGTCTGTTGCCCCGGTTTTGTGTTTGCTTTTCTCTGTGCTCTGTGGCGAGACGGAGCGAGCACAGGTGCGCGCTGTCTGTGGTTATCCACGCAGCCCCGGCTGTGCAGTCCTGAAACGACATTGGAGAGGAACATCCACAGCCTTTTCCAGCGTTGCCTTACAACTCTGTGAAAAGATATTTGGACATGAAAAAGGACATTTCGTTCTCATAATAGCTTAATTTCCCGTCTGATATCCTTTAGGTCTGGGTTGAGTTCTTTCAGCTTCAGAGTATGTGGAAAATGCTACTTTAATGGTTTCTTTAAAAGGATGGTTTGATTGTTGGTGTCTCTCCTAATCTGGAGCTGAACGGTGGGAATTTCTCACCAGTAGCATGTATTTCCTCCTTCCAGCTACCGTACAGATATCTAAGCCTGACCCCGCTGGGCCCGTGGTCCCAGCTCCCGACCCCCCAGACAATCCCAGGCACTCACTGGGCCAGGCTTCGGGCAGCGCCCTTCCCCAGTGAAGTCTCACCGCCTGGCCTGCGGACTGTTTACTGTGTGCCTTCCCCTTGCCCAGGCTCTGTGCTCAGCCTGACCGCCACTCCCCTCTCAGCCCCTGGTGTTTAGATCCGACCCGCACTCACCTGTCTTCCTCTCACGGGTCTTTGTTTCTGCCTCCGGCTTTCTCAGCCTGCTTTGCTAAGTCTCCAGTGTGGGGCCTCACCTGCACTGCTTGGATTTCTTGTCTCAGTTTTCTGCGTCTGACAGGTGCCTACCAAACCTCCCCACGCAGACTGGTGGTCCTCCCACTGGACCACCAGCCAGGCTCAGTGGGAGACTCCATTCCAGGTGCCGAGCTCCTCCCGGCTGCTTCGGTGGCCCTGGGCTCGCATCTTCCTCAGCCAGAGGTCACGACTCCCTGCAGAGTCCGGGTGTGTTTCCCTCCCATCTCTTGTGTGTAGGTGCACATGGAGGTAAAGATGTGAGTGTGTAAACTTTTTTATAGAAGTGAACTTACACCATATATACTGGGAGAATTTATACCTAAGTGTGTGTGTATATATGTGTATATATATACTTGTTAAAGTATATACACTTCAGATAACTATATAGACTTATTAAAATGCATATAGTATAAAGTATACTTATTATCTATAGCATAAGTATATATACTGGGAAAATATACTATATATACTTAATAAAGTATATATACTTTAATATATACATGTTGATATACTTTAATATATACTTACTAAGAGGGTTAACACAACATACCGTGACAGTTTTTACCTTTGATGTGAAATGTTCTTCTGGAAATAATATAACGTTTAATGGCTGCACGGTGTCCCACCTTATGAACGGGCCATGGTTTATTTCCTCGGTGGTGCTGGGCTGGGAGCAGGGCCTGTGACGGAACCGGCCTGTTCCCGGCCTGATTCCCACCTGGCAGTGCTCCAAAGCCGCCTCATGCAGAGAGCACTGGGCCAAAGGCCAAGCACCCTGGGTTCTGGTCTAGTTATGTGGTTTTGGGAAAGTCACTTCCTTCTTTCTAACCTCAACTTCCTCATTTGAAAAATAATGCAAATGGGCTTGATAGCCTCTAAGATCCCTTTGCTCTCTGGCTTTTTACCTTGGCCTTTCCCACTGTTGCCCAAGGAAGTCCTAGGTTGCTTCTAACAAGATTATTCCAACTGACTGATGCCTCTCCAGTACCTGAGTCAGTGCACAGTCACCAACACTGCTTGTCAGTGTGCAGAGCTCACCATTCGTCTAATGCATCAGACAGTAGCTCTCTAGAGTTTCCAGAATAAAGTTGATACTGGTAGGTAACTCATTCATTCAGTGACCAGTCACTGAGTGTCTGAGCTGTGACAGGTGTGTTACTGGTCCTGGTTTCACTGAGATGAGTAAGTCTTAGTCTCACCCTGGTTTAGCTCACAGTCTATGCGAGACAGACACACAACGGAGGAGTATAGTCATCTGTGATCAGTGCTCGCACTGGGGCTTCGGAAAGCAGCCACAGGGAGCAGCAGCCACAGGGAGCAGCCACCCAGAAGGACACATCAAGGTGTTTGTGAGGAGTTGCTTGTCGGGCACTTAAGACCTCATGGAGATCCTGGATCTCTGTAGTCTGAGATCATCCTGTGCCATGGATAAGATGTTGTGCCAAGTGCTGGGGACAAGAGTCCATTCAAAGATGTATAAGCATTAACCTCTGTCCTTCTGGAAAACTGAACGTAGAGTGAGACCAACAGCAGCAAACCACCATACAGGCAAAGTGAAGGAGGGCTAGGAAAGGTGGGGTGATGTTGCATGCACCCCGCTTTCTCTGGTGCCACCGGCTCCACAATGATGAAAAATATGCCCGCCATACCATGGCCATCGGGCACCAGCTGACTTCAGCAGTCTTCGTCCTAATCCTTTCAATACCTTGGCACCATTCGCAGTTTCTTCCGACCCCCTCAGACCAACGAGTAAAACCAGCGAGTCAGCAGCACACAGTTCCTTTCGACTCTGTGTGGCGTTTCTTCCACCTAAGTGGGAAGGGGTGCTTCTCTCCTCTCGAGGGACTAGCAGGGACTTAATCACCCCATCAGGGCCCGTCCACACTCTGGGCTGTTTCCCCAGCCCGCTGACCCCTGCGAGTCTGGTTCATGTTCGAATCTCTCCTCTTTCTCAGGCTCCGTCACACCACTAAACACTCTGAACTTGCAGTCTCTGCCCATTTCATGAGTCAGCTGTGTCTCTCCAACAGATGTCTCTGGAGCTAGGGACCTGTCATGATTATCTGACCTCACACTGAATGCCCAACACGTTGCTGGCGCTGATCTTATCCACAGAGTTCAGTGCCTTTTTGCTGAAGTTCTGTGCTCTGTTGCAGTGGGGTAATGCCCTACTATAGAACTATATACTAAACAAAAAATATTGACTTCCAAAAATAACTTTCAGTTTCGACTTCCAGAAGTATGAAATTTATAGCAAAAGTTCCTGCTTCTTTCTCCAGCTGTAAATTTCCAAACCAGTTGTATTGTCTCCTAGTGTTCTTTATTGCTTAGTTATTAAATTAATGTATGCCATTTAATTATTGTCTATTGTCTGTGTTGTTTGTTCACCTGCTAATGTCATTTCACTCATCTAGGCCTTAATTTCTTCATTCACCAAGTAAGTTCTAAGTTCCCTTCCAGCTTTTCAAGGTGTCTGGTTCTAGGCTGCTCATGTGAGCAGTGTTTTTCAAAGCTAAACGATGATGCTATTGAATAGTAATGATCTGTGGCTATTCAGCCTCACTCTATTGAGTGTTATTTGATATCTCATGTTGGTCTTGCAGCCCTGTCCGAACCTTCGCCCTTGACTCCCGAGTCACTGAAAGTTTCCATCGATTCTTCACAGCAGAGTTTGCTTTTGCAGTGGAGTGTCCACAGCCTCACGCATCATCAGGAATTAAAAATGGTTTTTCAGATAGAGATCAGTAGAATGACGACATCCAATGTCATCTGGGTGGTAAGTGTTTTTCTTTGATGGATCTGTATTTTAAAACTTCCTTTCTGGTGCCATGATTTGTATTCTAATAAAACATACAGAACGTCCCAGCATAGACATGCTTTAGCGACTCACAGGTTTTCCTGAGCAATTGTGTTTCTGTGTTTTCGGTGAAGAGGGTCTGCGACAAAGTAACGTGACGAGTCTGGTTTGGCAGGTTGGATGGGAGGCCTTAAGGAAACGCATCATTTCTTCAGTTCTGCTCGGCCCCCGAGGCCGCTGTCGGGTCTGTCCTAGTGAGTGCCGACTCCCCAAATCCGTGCAGATCAACCGTCTCACTCCTCTTCCTTCTTCCTTCCTGGTCCACCAGATGTTTCCCTAATAGGATGTACTAGTTTGGCAACAATTTTCTTGGCAGCGTGGCTTCCAGTCAGTGTCTTGCTTACACTGCCGTGAAAAGCCAGGAAAAGTGAGTTCTAGCACTTTGGGGCAGAGTGCCTGGCCGGAAAGAGCTTCTCCATGGAGCCTGCTGGAGAGTGACTCATGGTGACCCTCACTGCGTCACAGGTGGATTTCTTTATAGTGAATTAAATGAAGAAAACCCCGATGTCACACTCTTTTGCCTTTGAGATATTTGATGGAGTTTTCACGTGTCTCAGTTCAAGTCGCGGTGTTTTCCTGATGCTTCCTCAGCCAGCGCATCGGGACACGTTGGTGGCTCTTTCACTGCTCATTTATGGTCTGGGGAACCTTCGGGATCCCATGCTGTCCATTCATTGCCACGGGATGCTGAGGGACAGCGTGTTGCTTTCTCACTGAAGGGGGACGGCGGAGTTGCCCGGGGAACAGGCAGACGCGGCAACGTGTGCTTGCTGGGGACCCTCTGTTTGCCCGGTGGGGGCCGCCCTTCTCTCGGGCGGTGGGAGCAGGGGTCCGGGGGTCCAGAGGCGTAGCTCCTTGAGTTAACCATAAAGGCCACTGGTTTTAAAGCCTCCAGTCACTTTCCACATTCACTCTTGCGTTTGAGGTGTAGTGAATGGCCCCAGTCAAATATAATTCTGGCTCCGTCGACTTCGGGTGATAGCAGGTCTATAACTCCGCCCCTCAAAGGGCAGCTCCCCGCAATGAGAGCTGTTCAGTGTCCCGACACTGGACACCAGTGATGTCTACGGACAGCTGAGCACCTCCCAACGCCGGCACATCCTCCCAGCCATTCTGCCGCAGGCTGACAACGTCTGTCTTGTTATAACTTTTCTTTGTATTTTTGCTGGATACACTGGTTGTTGACTTGGACCTGGTGAAAGATCCAACAACAGTCTAAGAAAAAGAAATTTGAGGGAAGTGCTGGAGGAATTTATGGAAAACTAGCACTTTAACACCATTAGTGAAGGTGATATCAACCTCAGACCCTGGCGATCCCATTCTTTATTTTTCTAAAAGACACCTCTTTCTGTTATCATGTTAGAGAAAATAATGACAGCCTAGACCAAGCCAATTCCATTCTTTATTTCTCTAACAGGTGGCTGTTTATATCTGTTTTCATCTTTGAGTCATGTACCAGTTCTCTTTTCAAGGTAAAGAACTTACTTCTGGGGACTTCCACCAAGATGGAGGCGTAGGTGAATCCACCTTGCTTCCGTGCACAACCAAATCTAAGAACAGCTATTTTTAACAATGATAAACACAACCAGACCACACAGAAAATTGACAATACAGAGTCTGAAAAAGGACGAAATGCTCGGCTAAACTGGTAAGGGGGACAAAGCCAGCAGCAGAGCCGGTTGACCAAAAAGATCCCTGACCTGGTGGTGCGCAAGCAGCCGAAGGCGCGGATCGCGGGCTGGCTACAGGCACACACAGGGAAGAGGTGCGGCTGGCTGTCTGCGGTAGGTTGCGCATCTGCGTGCAGACAGACCCGTGAAGAGGCGAACATTGAGACCACACAGCGCGGGGCAGCAGGCTCGCACAGTTCTGCTCGGATAAACATGCTGGGGCGAGTGGTGGGACTGGACGGACTGGGCTAGCGGAGAGGACCGCCATTGCTCCCTCTCTGACCACGCCCCCACACACAGCGTCACAAACCAGCGACCTGAGTAGCCCCGCCCTGGTAGACAACTAAGGCTTCCCTCCTCTTACTTATCGGCGGGAACAGACCAAAAATGGCTCAAGAACAACTCAGAGCCCCAGAGCCGATAAATGTAAGTGATGAAGAAATAGCCAAACTTTCAGATGCACAGTTCAAAACACTGGTGATCAGGATCCTCACAGAACTGATTGATTTTAGTCACAAATTAGAGAAATATATGAAAGCTAAACTAATTAAAATGAATGGTAATGCAAAGGAAACCAATAGTAATGGAAAGGACTCTGGGACTCAAATCAATGGAGTGGACCAGAAGGAAGAAAAAAATGATCAAACAGAAAAGAATGAAGAAACAAGAATTCAAAAAAAATGAGGAGAGGCTTAGGAACCTCCAGGACATCTTTAAACATTCCAACATTCGAATTATAGGGGTACCAGAAGGGGAAGAGTCACAAGTGTAAACCTTATTTGAACAAATAATAAAAGAAAACTTCCCCATTCTGGCAGAGGAAATAGACTTCCAGGAAATCCAGGAAGCTCAGAGAGTCCCAAAGAAGTTGGACCCAAGAAGAAACACACTGATGCACATCATCATTACATTAGCCAAGATTAAAATGAAGGAGAGAATCCTAGAAGCAGCAAGAGATAAGGGGACAGTCACCTACAAAGGAGTTCCCATCAGATTGTCAGCGGATTTCTCAAAAGAGACCTTACAGGCAAGAAGGGGCTGGAAAGAGGTATTCCAAGTCATGAAAACCAAAGACCTACAACCAAGATTGATCTATCCAGCAAAGTTTTCATTTAGAATGGAAGGGCAGATAAAGTGCTTCTCAGATAAGGCCAAATTCAAGGAGTTCATCATCACCAACCCCTTATTATATGAAATGTTAAAGGGACTTACCTAAGAAAAAGAAGATAAAAAAGTTGAACAGTGAAAGGACAGCAAACTCACAGTTAACAACAACCACACCTAAAACAAAAGCAAATTAAGAGGACAGCTGGATCAGGAGTGAATCATAGAAATGAAGATCACGTGGAGGATTAGCAACAAGGGAGTGAGAGAAGGGGAAGGGGGGAGAAGGTACAGAAAATAAGTAGCATAGATGGTAGATAAAAAATAGATGGGGGAGGGCAAGAATAGTATGGGAAATATAGAATCTAAAGAATTTGAGACACGTGTTCATGGACTAAAGGGGGAAATGGTGGGGGAGGGGTGTGCAGGGTGGAGGGGAACGGAGGGGGGGAATAGAACAAATGTAATGGCATAATCAATAAAAAAGTTAAAAAAAAAAACCCTACTTCTGTAACCTACCAAGGCTCGAGGTCTTTGGGAGTAGAGCATTGCCTCATCTGTGGAATTGTCCCCATAACTCCCAGCCCTGCCCGACTGCTCTCTCATCTGAACCTCTCATATCTGAAGCCGGGAAGGACATCAGGGCCCCTCCAGGGAGAAGCAGCCAGCAGAGAGGGGTCGCTTCCGTCTAGAGCCAGGGGTGTCCAACCTTTCGGCGTCTCTGGGCCACACTGGAAGAAGAAGAGTTGTCTTGGGCTACACATTAAATACACTATGACATGTAATCATAAAAAAATCTCATACTACTTTAAATAAGTTTACAATTTTGTGTTGGGCCGCATTCAGAGCCATCCTGGGCTGCGTGTTGCTCGCCCCTGGGAGACCATAAGCTCCCTCCTGTGGGGCAGCAACCGCGTACCGCAAGCCTGACAGGGCCTCCCCTCGTGCGGAGAAGGAGCAGCTCTGTACCCTCACATCTCAGGTGACTGTGCTCCCAAAGGAAGATCCGGACGCTGCAGAGGGACAGGGACCCTGAGCCACCTCCTGGATGCTGCTGCCACCAAGGTCCCCCACTGACAGCTGCTCTGGGCTGGTTCACCCTCCGCCTCTCTGGCCAGGGAGAGGCAGGAGAAGGCGGGGGAGGTGATCAATCCACGGCAGAGGAAGGCAGAGTCCAGGGACAGCTGAACGTGGAGGGGCGCCTGCCATGTGAGCCAGCCAGGCCTGAGCTCTCGACAGCAGACCCACTCAGCGACCTTGGTGTAAATCTGTGTCTGTCGGTGCCAGTTAAACTTGCCACTTAGCAGCCCAAACACAGCTCAGCACATTTTTTTGAAATCACTGAGTTGATGTGTTCAGGAAAGTTTTATCTCCCCCACTGCAAGGCCATACACACCGCAAGCGCGAGCTGTGGTTAGACCGAATGTACACGGACTGTGTCTGGGAGAGATGGAGCCCGCTGCTGTGAGTGCGCGGAGGAAGTCACTCAGGGTCCAGGTGTTGCTCAAGGTGTGGGTCTGTGAAGGGACAAGCGCACAAGCAGGGGCGTCCTAACCCTCCGAGGGGCGGCGCAGGGTGCTGGCAAGGTGCTGAGTGGTTAGGGCTTGGCCTGACCTCCAGCCACTGGGGGGAGGGCTATTTGAGCCCAAATATGTTTTTATCCTGAGAGCAGTCAAAGATGGGGAGGACAGGATCTGATCGGGAGTTTTGGAAAGGCGTACTCCACCTGCACAGAGGAGGGCAGGTGGGCGAACAGGAGAAGGTGACGAGTGGCCAGTGAGAAGCGGGCTGTGGGTCAGTCCAGAGGAGAGGTGTCTGGAGTGGGTGGGGACAGCAGGGACAGAAGTGGCCACATTTGAGAGAGACGTCGAAGGTGAGGTTCAGTTTGTGGCTTGTTGATATTATAGAAAGGTCATCATTATTGATATTGTTCGTTTTCTTTTTTGTATTAGCTCTTAAATCAAACAATATGTAAGCAAAGTTGTGCTTGAAATCGCCAGATTAAATAGTGGAAGTGGCATGGATCGGGACCCCAAAACTTGTAGTTAACAAAATATGTTTTATACTCTGGAAATAAAGTAACCCAATGCATGGAAATGAAATAGAAATGATTTAGAAACCAGAGGTCCGCGTAGAGGACTTGCAAGATCAGGCTCCACTCAGGTGCCTGCGGTGTTCTCACTCCAAAGCTGTATTTGAAGTTAGCACCCTGGGCAGGAAGGGGCGGTCAGTGGGGGGACGGCCGCCAAGCCTGCTGCCTCCAAATTGCGTTAGACACGCACGCTGCCTCCAAATTGTGTTAGATGTACGCTGCCTCATCCTCTTCACTGTAGGAGGCGCCAGCAGTCCTTCGACATGTGGATGGAGGCTCAGTTTCCCCAGGGAGTGCAAGGTGTTAGTTGCCACTGTCTCCCAGCTGTGGGGCCAGAGAGCAGGCGTCCTGGTGGTCCCACTGGGGCACACGGGTGGCTGGAGCTGTGGGGATGGATGTGAAGAAGAGGGAAGCTCAGTCCCTGCTCTCTTGGGGCCATGCTTGAGTTTGGAACACACCTATCAATGAAATGCCAGCAACTGCACCCAGATACCAGACGGCTCCAGGAGAGGTAGGGGTGGGAGGAGACCAGAGCAAAGAGTGAGAAAGGCATCAGGAAGGAGAAGGGGTGTGACCTGGGCTTGAAGGATGGGACTGATTCCCCATGCAGAGGGAGAGTGGGGGACACTGTGTGAGCAAACACAGAGGTGGAAAAACACCAGTTATTCCAGAAGCGTGGGGTGGAATACTGTGTCCAGAAGAATTTCCTGAAGGGAGCGGTGGGTTGGAGTCAGACTGTAGGTGGCCCTGAATGACAGGGCGAGCTGCAGAAGAGTTACCGTAGCCCACTGAATTACAGCACAGAAGTTCTAGTGTCTTAGATGAAGACTAAGAGCCGTGCCAAAGGACCAGATCCAATCAGCTCTCGATTCTTGCTTCTCTGAAATTTTCTTACCAGGTCCTACGTGACCAGTGCTGTGAGCACCTTCCATCTCCGATCTCGTCCCCTGAGACTTGAGTTGCTTCTCGTTACTTGCTCCCCTGGAACCCGCTGGAGTTGGAGGGCCAGAGTGGGTGGGGGCCGCATTTTTGAGAAGCATGAGGCTCTGGCTGGTTTCTTGCTGGGACGTCAGAGTGTGGAGAGCTGCCTAGGTAGCAAGGGCCAGTCTTGCTTATATTATGGAGTTGCAATGGGTATGTGCATTGGGATGATCTGGGCAAACCATTTTCCAGGACAGCATGGCTATGTTCTCAAGTCTTTCTTTTATTTCTAGGAGAATTACAGCACCACTGTGGAGTGGAAGCAGGTGCTGCACTGGAGATGGGTCTCTGAACTTCCTTTGGAGTGTGCGACGCACTTCGTAAGACTGAGGGGGAAGGTGGAGGAAGCTGGGATCCCCAGGCCGAGTTCCTGGGGCAACTGGAGCTCGTGGGAGGAAGTAGATGGTAAGAAGTGAGATGCTGAGAGAGTGAAAGGGTGTAACAGGTGATACTATTTGGGGACCAGTAGTGCAGTTGTGGGGGCCCTTTTGGGGGATGCGGTGAACACCAGCGCTCATTTCCTTTGGCTCCCACTGAAACTAAAAAGTGTGGGAGTGAGACTCGGCACCAGAAGGTACACTTCCGAGGTGTATCCTCTGAATTTATTAATTAAAATAATTATGCAAATCCAGATGATTTTTATCTGTTTTCCAAATGTGCGAAGTGCGTTTATTACAGAACGCTAAGTGCACCAAGTAGAACACAAATTCAACATATGTTTTTCTTAGAATAACCCACAAAATGTGTACGCAGATAGAACACAGGCTGCAATCTCTGTTATGACTATGCAACTCTGACCTCGTATTCTTGAAGCAGTGGTAAATGAATGCCAGTGGTTGTGTTCCAATAAAACTTTATTGACAAAAAACAGATGGTGGGCTGGCACTCGCCCCTTGCTTAGCTTGTCTACATCCCTAATGTAGACAGAGGGGGGTGAACATATGGAAAAATGAAGGTTTAGTTTGAGTAATGAGATTGTGGATAAATACATGATAAATCCATCAATTTTGATGATTTAATTTTGTTGCAATTAAAATTGAGAGTAGGTATGCCACCATTTCTTACCCTCCAGCTAAGCGGAGGCCAGTTCTCAAGCAGGAGGAGTTGCTTCTCTCACTACGTACCCCGCCGGGTTACCTGGAACTCCCGCCAACAGAAGCATGCCTTCGTCAAGTGTTCATGCCAGTTTATGAACTCAACCGATAACACATTTACTCACGAGTGGCCTTGGGAATTGGTTTAATACTAGATAATAGAATTAAATCTACGTTCTAGTTACTCTTTTAAACCCTATGCATCTTAACTTAGTCCTCACACCTGCCCAGTGAAATATGTGGTATTCTTATCCCCACTTCGCAGACGAGGAAACTGAGTCACAGATAGGTTACAGAACCCAGGCAGGTTATCAGCCCACTAATGCTTTGGCAGGTCAGAATGTCCCAAGCCTCTGCTGCTAACGGTGCTTCCTACTGCTGAAGAAGGGACACGCTTGCCGACAAAGCAGAGATTGAAAAGAAACATTAATGAGCCCTGGCTGGTGTAGCTCAATGGGTTGATCTCGGGACTGCGAACCAAAGGATTGTGGTTTGGTTCCCAGTCAGGACACATGCCTGGGTTGCAGGCCAGTTCCCTGCAGGGGATGCACCAGAAGCAACCATACATTGACATTTTCCCCTCTCTCCTTCCCTTCCCCTCTAAAGATAAATAAATAAAATCTCTAAAAAAAGACAGTAATGAGGAAAGAGCAGCTTTGTTAGCCACATGTCAATTTTGATAAAGTAGACCACACTTCTCAAAACCATGCTCTCCAGAGCAACTCAGGAGTAAATGGGAAACCTGATTCTTCCAGACCCGCACAGCACTGGTTGTCTCAACCACGGCCACACGTTAGAATCACACAGGGAACTTAAACAACGATCCCGGCCCCAGCCACACTGCGGTGGGCTGGCTGAGGGGGCCGCGGGGAGTGGAGCGGCCCCGCAGGGAGGCTGGCTGTGAGGGCAGGCGGAACGGGGGCAGGACACGTGCCTGGGGAGGACGGTGGCGTTGCTTGAAGTGGCAGAGACATGAGGCCTGTACCTGCTGGCGGGCCGCACAGCGGGAGAGGCTGAAGCGCGGGGAGATACCAGAGTGACTGGCGTGTCTGAGAAGGGGGAGGCGCTGTGACTCACAGGACAATTTAGAGATTATGCAGGACGTGGGGCTTTGGAGCTGGCCAGACCTAGCCTGAGTGACCGTGGCTTTGCCACCTGAGTGAACATGGGCTTGGTGCTCCCTGTCCTGTGGTTGTGAGGGGTAAAGATGCCATGAGATAGTGGACATGCCACTTAAGAGAGGGTCTCCCCCACATGGCTTCCGCTGTCAGATCCCCTAACGCCAGCCCTCAGGGGCCACAGTGCTGGAAACCAGTTCCGAGGTGGCAGTTTTAGCAGAACCACAGGGCAGAGGTGCATCAGCGCTTATAGGTGTGCTGTAGAAATCTGGGCTCCCCTCGTCTCCAGAAGGTCAGAGAAGCTGAGGTTACCTGTTGAGAGTGAGGAGGGTGGGGGCTGGTTTGGATTTTGAGCGACTTTCTAACCGAGACGTCTTGTCTTCTTTTGTAGCACAGGAGTCGCTTGGACCTGGCTCATTGTTCGTTTTCCCCGAAGAGAAGCTGGTGGAGGAAGGCTCCAATGTCACCATTTGTTACATTTCCAGGAGCCATGACAATAACGTGTCCTGTTATCTGGAAGGTGTACGGATACACGGCGAACAGCTTGGTCCAAATGTATCTGTGCTCACGTTGGGTAACGTCCCTTTCGTTAGGAACACGGGCACAAACTTCTTTTGTAAGATGAACCAGACACGTGACATAGACGGCTTCGTTCTCTTTGTCTTCAGTGAGTATGCGCCTTCTCTGGGCCCTCTGTCCCATTTCCTGAGGAATTGGTGGAGTCTTCTTGGCCAAAAGACAAACGTTTCCACCCACGGCCTCGGTTTTCTTTGCTTTCCTAAGTCTTGCAGCAGAGACTCGGGAAAAGATGCGCTGGAGCGGGATTTCCTGTTGTTCTCTTGTCCTTGCTGACCGTTTCGTTCCTAGAAACCAGGAGTGTTCAAGGGGAGAAAGTTCAGGGCAGGGGCCTGAAATGCCCCTCTGTGCCTTGGCCCTGCTGCTGTGGGCAGTGGCTGGCAGGGGAGGGCGGGGCTGCCGGCAGAGGGTGGTGGCCGGGGAGCATTTGCTGCCCACCCCGTGCTGGGCATGCTGTCTCGGCCAAGCTTCCCAGCCTCTCTGAGCTGGTTTCTGCCTCTGGGAGAGGGGGACGGTGACATTTGTCGTAAGGATTAATGAACGTGGACCGGCCTGGCCCTGCTCAGATGGCTGCAGGTGGCAGACAGTTCCAAAGCCCTGCTGGTGGCCGCGGTGGAGTGGGGGCACTTTCCGCTTTAGGTAGGTCTGTGGGCACATGCAGGTGGCCCTTCCCTGCACATTAGAGCGGAATCTGCAGTTCCGCCCTCACTGCTTCCCTGGCAAAGGGCGTCTGCAGGCATCGGGACACTCAGTTTAGTTGTGCGCCTCAGAATGGCCTCCGAGGACGAGGACGGCAGTGACTGCGAGGAGTCGGAGGTCCGCCCCACTCCTTGGACCTCTCGGCATCGGGCTGCTGAATTTGGCAGGTTCCCCAAATCTGGCCGACTGCTGGCATTGCAAGCAGGACCCCCGGGTTCTCCTCGAGCCACAGCGCCCGACGTGAGACACTGGGCGACCCTGACTTTGTTCTTTCCTTCTTTCGTGCACTGGGTCTGTTCTGAGCCGTGTTTGCTGAGTGCCTTCCAGCAGGTGCTGGGGTACAACCCCCACCCAGAACTCGCAGTGCTGACCACGTGCAGAACACTGCCCCCCCGCCCCTGGGACACCCAGAAAAGCACAAGGGCAGGAAGCACAGGGGCTGCCAGTGATGACGCATCTGAAACGTGACCGTCTGGGACCGATAACCTGTACCGGGAAAGGATCTACTGAACGGTCCTTTTGTTATTCGGACTCACTCTGTGGCTCCAGACCCCGCAGACAGCTTCCCATTTTATTTGCTTTTGATTTAACGAGGTCTTTCATTTCTTGTTTTCTTTTTATGGACAGAAGTACTTGAGGAGCCCAAGGGCTTTTCTTGTGAAACTCAGGACTTCAAGACTTTGAACTGCACTTGGGAGCCTGGGACTGACACGGACCTGCCTAAGTATCGCTCCCAAAGCTACACTTTATCTGAAGCGTAAGTCAGCTCTGGTTCCATCGCCGACAGATTCTTCCTTGAGTTGCACGTGACAACCCAACAAAGGCCACGTTCAGAGGTTGCATGAAACGCGAACAAATATTTTAAAGCCACCCTGACAGTGCCAGGACCTGCTCAGCAGGTCACGAGTGTACAACTCGTCCTGGCTGAGTCTCACTGAAGGGAAATGTAGCATGAAAATGGTGAGACCATTAATGGTTCGTCCTGATGAATATGTTTTCACCTTTTAAATGATAGTTCCATCTGAGTCTTTAGTTCCTAACTTTTTCAGGCTACCCAAAGTAAGTTAAGGAGAGCTCTCACCACCTGCGAGGGGGAGTCGGTGAGTCATCATTGCGCATTTAACCTGTAAACCAAGCTCACTCGGAGCAGTGCCTTCGTTGCTGGTGCTGGCTGGGTCTAAAGTCCCCAAGCGTCCCCGAGGGAGACACGAATGCACACCTACACATCTGTGCTGCCAAAAGTGTTAACCCTGAAATTTTTTTGTGTTTTTTAAGATTTTCTGGGGAAAAGAAATCGTGTGAACACAAAAACTGGTGTGTTTGGCAAGTGGCTGCAGACTCCCAGGAAATGTACAACTTCACACTCGTGGCTGAAAACTCCTTCAGGAAGAGGAGCGTCAATGCTCTTTTCGACCTGGTTCATCGAGGTGAGACTCGGCATTCGGACCCCAGAGGGACAGTGCACCTGGTGGGGTTCCAGCAGCACAGGTCAACCCGCTTTTTGCCGGCTGTGGTTTCAAGGCCAGTTCTGTTTTGAAAGCCTCTGCAGCACTTTTCGGATCTGTCCCAGTGCCTCCAGGGGACGGGCTGGCCCTGGGCAGTGATGTGTGAGCTGGTCCTCGAGGCCTGGGTGCTGTGACTAACTTCCACGCACGCGCAGCTGGGAGGTGAGCACAGGAGTTCACCGAGAGCGCGGTGGATTCGCTGTCCCAGGCTCCCGCTTCTCCATGATCTGCCCGGTGCTTTCTGCTCTTCTGCAGCTCTACATTTTTCCCTCGGGCCAGAGCTATGGGACTCCCTTAGTCACCCCTTTCTGACACTCACTTCCACTACGGTGCCAGTTATTGGGAGGGAAAAGAAAAAGGTCACTTCAGAATAGCTGCTCATTCTCGTCTCTTCCTTGGTTATACTCTGGGTCCTGTTGTCTTCTCCCTGGGGGCAGCTTCTCCAAGTGCAGGCGTCCCTCCACACCCTGCCTGATGTATTTCATTGTAAGGGTCCTCCGGGGCTTCTTTTTGTATTCCGTTCGGAGTTTCTAATGTAATCAGGGAGAGAGAAAGGCTGTAGTTGGCTTCCTCCATCCTGGCCCTAAGTCTGGTTTTGTAGGCCATTTTCTCAAAGATAAACAAAAACATACTTACTGAATAAATAAATGAAGAAATGAACTGCTGACTTACCAATGTCTTTTGGATCTGTGCTTGAATTTTTTTTTATTTTGTCTCCTCCTTCCTCTTCCCCTTTTGGCAGTTCGCCCAATGACCCCCTTGACTATGCGCCTAAAAAGCATAAGTGCCACAAGTGCCACCGTGACCTGGAAGGTGCGCTCCATCCGGCATAATCTCATGTATTTGTGTCAGGTTGAACTCCACGGTGAAGGAAAAGTCATGCAAGTAAGGAGACTGCTTAATATTCTGTCCTCAAACATCCCTCTGTGTCCTAAACAGAAAGACTAAGGGATAAAATCCCTCCAAACTCTTACTTCTGTGTGGCTTCAGCTGGTGTGGGTTTTAAGCAGGGCACATCCTAGACTTTCCGAGTTGGGAAGGGGGCCTCAGAGGCATTTCCTTGCAAAGAAGTCGTCTTACCCCGAATCGGGACGTGCCGTGCTGTGACCGACTCTGCGGTAGAGGGTGCTCACCGGCGCTTCTGTCTTTCTTGTTGATCAGCACAATGTTTCCGTGGAGGAGGACGGTCAGCACTCCTTCGGCGCGCTGGAGCCTGCCACGGAGTACGTGGCCCGAGTCCGCTGCGCCGCGGCGGAGCACTTCTGGAAGTGGAGTGAATGGACGGGCCGGAACTTCAGCACACTCCCAGCTGGTGCGTGCGGGGCCCTGCCGCTTCACTAAGGGACCTCGGCTGCCGCTGGGAGGCCGGCCGGAGTCCCTGAGAATGCCTGGTGGTACCAACAGCTGAGGGGAAACGATCACAAAGGGGGCTGGGGGCTATCCTGAAATGTTTTTAAATTTTTAAAAAATGGAGTAAAATGATTAATGAGATGTGAGTGGGAAGGCATCCACTTCAGACATTTGCCATCAATGTGATTTCTACTCTGTTATCATCTCTCTGATCTTGGGTTTTGCCAAAGTGGTTTCTAAGCTTGGGGATCGCTGGATTCCTGCTCGGTCTACGACTGTGCAAATCAGCGCAGAGTTTTAATTTTGATTCGGGCCTGGGGGACAGGCAGAGGGTCCGAGCCAAGCAAAGCACTGGTCTCAGGCCAGACGACCTTGGGCCAGGTTTGGGAAGGCAGTGGTATTTGGAACCCCAGTCGGTATTGGCAGGTCCCTTGTTCAGCAACAGTGAGCTGCGAGCCCTTTCTATTGTGCTCCAAGGGGTCGCTTTTTCCTCAGTGTGGACAGAACAGAGAGCTTTTCTCCCAAATATCTATGTCTCAGAGCTCAAACGGGCCTCAGCGGATTAGGAGGCCCAGCCCTCCTGCAAGGCAATGAAGCATTACCATGGCCCAGTTTACTGATGAAGCAACTTGGGCCCACAGACACTTGCCTTGTTTGCCAAGTTAATGAGTGGAAGAGAAATATTAATATTAATAATAATAATAATTGATAATAATGGGTACAAAAGTCACAAAGAGTGTAAAAGTGAGAAGCCAGCTGCGAGGACATTCACCGTCACTCGTTGGCTGAACTGGAAGCAGGAATGCGTTGTTCTGCTCCTGCACCGTGACCCAGGAACTTGCCTTGGTTGCTTTCAGCTCCCTCCGAGGCCCCTGACGTCTGGAGAGACGTGAAGCCGGCACTGGGATCTTGTAACGTAACTTTATTCTGGAAGGTAAGGTGCACAGATTCGGAAAGGTGGGCTTGCGTGGTCCTGTCTTCCACTGTGAATCGAGGGGGTCTTAGGTGCTGTCTTCCAACCTGGGGCTCTTAGAGAGGGACCTCACCACAAAGCTGGAGAATGGCTCCCCCAGGGGAGGGCCCCACTGCACACCTGTGCAGCGAATGCTTCCCCTGCTCGTTCCTGGCGGCCCACTGCTCGGGCGGCCAGTCCTTTGTTAGAACCTGCATCTCTCTACCTGCACTCGAGCCTCCTTGGGACTGTCCAGAGCCCAGGGCACAGGGGAACCAGGCCTTGAACTCCAGGTTGTTGGGCCTCCATGGCAGAGAAGCGAACGCTGAACTCAGCGCCAGATCAAGCGGCTAGTGACGTCTGAAAGGGGCTTGTGCACCAGGAGTCCGCCGGCACAGAGAAGTGGGCTCCTCGAGGGACCTGGGGTATGGATGGGGTCAGCTGTCCCATCAGTGTCATTGGGCGGCAGGGGGTCCTGGGTGGCTACAAGATGTTTCCCACGGTGTGTGGACCACCCAAAGGGGCCTGTAAAATAAAGTGTGCGCAGATATATGCTAGTTAGCATTTCATTGAGAAAACAACTATTTTGCAGAACATGATGTTAAGAAAGGATGTTATTGTGTCCGTTGCTTTGAGGATGTGGTTAGGTCATTTCCACTGTGGGATTTTGCTGAAAGCCAGGCGTCACAGTCAGGCCTCCATGGAGTGCTTTTGGCCAAGTTGGAGTCCAGGGTTGCCCCTCCACTGTCTCACGGGTGTAACTGGAGAAGCACTTATTTAAAAGTATGGTTATTTGAACAGTCATGTATTTGTGATGAAAAATCAGGAGTCAAGCTAAGAAACCATAATGTAAACCACATGGCGTCCTTTGACCTTGAGGGATGTGCCTTCATGGCCCCCTGGGGGCCAGCTTTGGTACAGAGCTGTGAAGTCCTCAGCGTTTGACACCACAACGTGTCACACTGTGGGAGCTGGCCCCCAGCCCCCACTCACCTCATTTCCTTCCCACCTGCACTCTGGCTCTTGCAAGAAGCGCCTTGCGCACGCGTGTGGACATGACAGTCTGTATGCCTGTCTTCTGTGCACACCTGAGCGAACAGTCATTCCCAGCCCCATCTCGTGGCTGGGGGGGACCCCCTCTGTCCTTGGGTGGGTAGGCCTGAGGGAAAGGCCCTGGGAGTGGGCTGAGTCTGTGTGAGCAGGACATTCTCCGGAACCGGGAGAACCCTCTAGCAGCAGGGCCGTGGGCTCTGGGTAGGGGGGTTCATGGTTGGAGGGGGTGGGAACAGGGGGTTGGCCCTCAGCTAGGGGTCATGCTTGGCCAGAGAGCCCCGTTCTCTCCATTCTTGACTCGGTGACTCTTCTGTGACAGACTAGGAGGGGCGCATCCCGTAGCAGCCTGCTCTTTACTCCGTTTTACAGAAGATGGCCCAAGGTCATGCTTGGCTTAGCAGGTTATTTTCTCCAGTAAACGATTTTAATGTGCTGTGTGTGTGCATGCGTTTGAGGGACAGAGAAGATGGCCAAGTAATTGTGCAAACTGTTTTCAGAGGAAAGCCCATTTTGAAATGCCTATCAATGTTTTTTCAGCCACTCTCAAAATCGCAGGCCCGCGGGGAGATTCTGTTCCATAATGTGCTTGTAGAAAACCTGCACAGACCGTCCGGTTCGCAGCTCTTTTCCATCCCTGCTCCGGCCAGCGGCACAGAAGTAGCCCTTGATGGCTGTTCTCACCGAATCCTCGTCACAGCTAACAACAGCGCGGGCACTTCTCCTGCCGCTGTGATTGTCATTTCCGGGGACCCTGTAGACAGTGAGTTATGTCTTGCTTTGCTTTTATTCTCTAGGAAAGCGCTGTTGATGTTATTAAGTACATTGGAAGGACAAGGGCTTGGAGAGACAACATGTCTAGCCAGCAAGCAGTATCAAGCATTTTCCTTTGGTCCAGGCGTGTCGGTGGGTTTCCGAGGACAGTCCTCCTCCGTGTGGGGAGAATGAGATGTCAGCCGCCGCTTTCTGCCCTGGCGACTCTTCCAGACTCGAGACATTATGGCATATTTACCCAAATCCGAGCAACACCAACGAACCGTCTTAACAGAGACTGGTAGTTGGTGACACTGTGCTTTGTGGCTTAGGAAGTATGAGTTGCGTGTATTATACTATACAATGTTTGGTCGCCTATAGAGAGCCTGTGAACATTTCCAAAGATTCCAGGGAGAACCAGTCTCATCTTTCAAGAGGGGCTTTGCCAGAGCTGTAGAATAGAACATGGGACTGGCTAATCCCTTTGCCTGTAAACAGAGCAAATGGGGTGGAAATGACCTTGCATGTCAAATCAGTAGTGATTTAACTCCTCCTTGTGAGAGCCATGTAAGCTCCTGGGGGAGCTGGCTACACTAAGTCTCACTGTTGGACATGCACACCCAAACACACTACAGCTGACACCGTAAGGCCATTCATGAACCTCACAAGAATGCCACCCTTCGGTCACTGCTATTAAACTTCTCAGCCCCTGCTTAAGGGATTATGTCACGTGGTATGTAACCTGTTCATGTTTGCCTTACATTTGAGTAAGTGGATGAGATTAGAAGGTGTCGGTGTTTTAATTTTAAGAACGATGCATTATGTCGAGTGAGAAAAAAATGGGGATCGTGGCACAGAAGCAAAACTAACGAGTTATTTAATACAGCCTCGGCCTGTCAAGAGCAGCATCAGAGGAGGGAACGAGTGTTCTGTCCTCAGTAGGACCAGCCCAGAAAGAGGGGGCCCGTCATGCTCCCGGGGGCAGCTGGGAGGGGAAGGAAAGGCGGCCTTGTGTGAGGCTCGGCCGGAACACTGCGGGCACTCTCGTGTGTTTGGGGGTCCCGACCGTGCCCTCCACTGCCGTGCTCTGCCTTCAGACCCCTCCCTTCCTGTGTGAGTCTCCCCATACGTGAGCCCCTACTGTGGACAAAGACACAGATGTGTGGAGACAGACCTCCACTCTGCAAACACTTTCTTGCGATTTTAAAGCAGCGGCTCGGCAAGAGCTAGGATCCTCAGTTTGGGGTGAAACTGCAGTGGGAATAAGTGACGTGAACGGCGTCACTTACACGCGAGGCGATTTGGTCCTCTGATGCGGGAAGAGTGTGCAGCTGTGGGGGCAGGCCGCACAGAGGCCTTCTCGTGGACCCTTTGCCTCACAGCCGGGCTGCACCTCCCTTTGGGTGCCCCGGCTGGGCAGTCACTTGGTGCCCTGGCACATTTAATAGCACCACCCTTTCCCACCGATGGTCTGCCAGACAGAGTGCGGGAGGCCCAGGGAAATGGGGGCTGCAGGTTAACGGTGAGCGAGTTGTTAGTGAGAGACTGCATGGTGCACTGGTTCGTCCCCAGTGCCTGTTTGCGGAGCAGCTGCTGTGGGCCCGCTCTCCGATCGGGCGGGCCAGCTCTCGCTCCCTCGAGGGACCGGCGGAGCCCCTGGCCCTGTGAGCGTGGCAGGCTGTGGTTGGCCTTCGGAAGGAGGTGACTCCCTCCCCGGGCAAGGTCCGGGGGGCCTGCTCTAAGTCGGTAGGACTAGCAGTCCACAGAGACCGTGTCACCTGGTTTCCAACCGGCAGACCTCACGGAAACCACCCTGGTGTATCAAATACACCAGGTGCAGCCTGGGGCGCAAGTAGTGTGTACATCCCTGTGTAACGCGACAGCACGCACCTGAATTAGGTTTGGGTTTGGTTTTTGTCCTCACTTCAGTTTCTACACCTAACATCTGAGAAGCAGGAGTTAGTTCAGGAGCAGCCAGGGTTAAATGGGGGAATTGAGCCGAATTATTCGTTCATCCCACAGATGGCTTTTTTGAAGCAGGTCAAGCACCAGATAAGGTTCTAGGTCAAGGGTCAGCAAATTTTTCAGTAAAAGGACAGATAGGAAGTATTTTAGGCTTTGCAGGTCCTACTCTTTTTGTTATATACTCAGTATTTTTTCCCTTTTTTTTCTTTACAAGTCTTTAAAAATCTCTAAATTATTCTTAGCTCAGGGCCATAAAAACAAGTCTCAGAGTCTAGATTTGTCCTGCAGATGGCAGTTTGCTGGGCTGTTTTAGGTGTGGGAGTCTGGTTGGGTGTCAGGGGGTCAGGACGAGGGGCATCTGAAGGGCAGGTGTGAGTATTTGCTTGGACATGAGAGGCAGGAAAACACCTGTGAAAATTCCCGAAGTCCCTGTAGCGACTGAAGTCCTGGGGCTCTTGCCTGGCAGTGAACTGCATGTTCAAGTTTATTTTCTCCTTCAGATGCTTTTACAAAATGTCTGCTTAATTAAATCTGAAACATTGCCCTGTTTGTGACACACAGAAGAGGTTGAAGAAGAAAGAGTTGAACACACAGAGCCGGGATTCTCTCTGTCTTGGAAGCCCCCACCGGAAGACGTCATAGACTACGTTGTGGACTGGTGCGACCGTCCCTGGGACACACCCTGTGGCCTCCAGTGGAGACACCTGGGCCCCAACAGCACGAGCACAGTCATTAGCTCGGGTAAGCAGAGCCTTCCACGGTACCATCTGGTCCCGTCCACCTCACGGCACCATCACCTCAGATGTCCGCACCGTCTCGAAGATGCTCTGTGATAAACTCGGAATTTTGAAGTCACCAGTCCAGCAGGGGTGTTAGGATTTCAGATTCTGCAAATGATGCAGCCTGAGACTTGACTTAAATCTACTTTGACAGAGAATATCTGGACCTAAGGCTGAGATAGGGTTTCTTGATTTTCACGAATTCGTTCCTCTAAATTAGTGCTCTCAAGTGAATGGCCTCAGGATATTCTAACAGCTGTCCTGAGAGCTTTTACAAAGCAAAGACATATATGGATTTGGTAGGCGTTTAGGACGGCATTGATGGGAGTCCATCATCTGTTCCTTCAATTTTAGTGGATTATATAGAATTGGTCTCATATCTTCCACATTGGATTTGTAATTTCAAGATTGCTGTATTTGCAAAATCCAAGGAGCCATGCTTTGTGGCTTGGGTGGGGGGGTGTTCGTGGTGCCATCTGCTGGTCAAGAGAAAGGTGTGGGAATGGTCTGGGTTTGGAGGGTGGCAGAGCCCCCTGGAGGGCTTTCTTCAGCCCTGGGGGAGTGAGGAGGTGAGGTCCCCCTTGGCTAGAGCAGCAGCCCTGGCCTGGCAGGTGCTGCAGGGGAATTGCAGAGGTGCGCTCACGAGCCAGGGGAAGTGAGGAAGAGGAAGCAAGGCCTTCCGGACACGGCCTTTGGCTTTGGTGGGCAGAGAGAAGGGGTGTTGGAGTCTAAGACTTGCTTCCGGTTTTCTGTCTGGTCGAATTGTGCCCCTGGTGTCATGCACAGGGCTAAGGGCACGTTTAAGAGCTTTTCTACTGGGGGATGATGGAGAGAACCGTCCCCGCGGCCTCGCGGGGAGCAACGGAGGCTCCGAGACTCAGCGGAAGGAGGATGGACTGTGCCGGTGAAGGGCAGCAGCTCCGAGAAGGAAGTTAATAAAGGGACCAGTTCAGTTTTCCTTCCCAGAAGTACAAAGAATGTTCTTTTGTGTCATTATTGAAAATCTGTTGATTTTTCTCTGTAGGTGCTTTTAAACCAGGGGTCCGATACCACTTCAGGATTTATGGAATTTCCCCGGAAAGGATGGCTTATTTGCTGGAGAGAAAAACAGGGTACTCCCAGGAAAAGGGTAAGCTGACCACGGGCAACGTGTCCACGGAGACTTCCCGAGAACAATGCAGAGAGGCTCTCAGCTTTGGGTTTAGAAAGATTTCGACACCATTCCTAATTTTCCGTGTCTGGTTTATTTTGGTAATTGGGTATTTAAGGAATTATTTTTCAATCGTACTAATGCAAACCAATTTCAATGAAGACAACCTGTAAATCTTATGCAAAAGAAGACAAACTCCTTGCCAATTTTACCCCACAAAGGCAAATACCCAGAGCTAATGATTTATATCTGCACAGGCAGTTCCTTCCCTGCAGACAGACTGTTTCCGGTGAGCATGGGGCCTGACTCTCTGCAGCTGGACTTTGGTCACTTAATGTCATTTCACTGTATCATTTTTATGACTGCAAAGCACCTCATTGTCTGGATACATCAGACAAAACATTGTCTGTTTTGGACATTTAGGATGATTACAGTGTTCTTTGATTAAGAACTATGAAATCCACCTTCAGGTCCTGCGTAATCCCAAACACTGCATGTCTCCTGTTTGTTTGCACCAGTCCCTTTGTGCCTTGTCCGAAATCACCATCATTTTAGACACATCTTTGCCCATATTCACAGTAACCATTTTAAATTAAGGCCTAGAGCGAGACCTTTCCATCAAAAGGTTTGGGCTTCTTAGTTTTTCATCTCCTTTACAATGCTTAGGACTTTTGATGCATCTTGTGCAATCACCCCAGAAATTTCACTGCGACCCCACCTGCCGTGGAAGGGACTGGATCCTCCATGTGGTGTTCTCAGCCACTTCTTGGCACCCAGGGTCTCACACCCACTGAAAACCAGGAGCCTGGGCCCTCGAATGCCTGGCACTTGCCAGACCGGCCCCTGATGGGGGGCTCTCTGTTTGGAGGAGGCTGTCTAAGGCAGGGGCTGCGTGTCGGGGAACCCAGGCTGAGCGTCCGCATGTACGAGATGGGACAGGCCCAGAACAAGGCTCCTGGGCTGTTGCAGTGGCCTGCGGATAACTTTGTGGGACGTCAGCCTGGGAACCAGCGTTCTGCAGGTCTGCACTGGCCTCTTTGAACATGACCCTTCCTTCTGCTGCCCTTACCTCCACCGTGGTCCATTCTCTGGTCAGGTCTCCTCTCAAACACGACAGCTGACCCTTGAACAACACAAGTGCTGGGGGTGCCAACCCCCACACAGTCCAAAATCCACATATAACCTGGACTCCCCCAACACTTAAGTACAGCGGTCCCTCCAAGTCCTCAGGAGACGGGTTCCAGGACGCCTGCAGATACAAAGCCCGTGGCAGCTCGAGTCCCGGTACATAACGTGGTGTAGAGCCGTGTGTGTCGTTGGCACCCCACATCCGTGGATTCAACCAACCACGGAGAGAAAGCAGTCTTTTCTGATTTTTACTTGGGGATCTGCAGATGGGAAACCCAAGCCAAGGATCCAGGAGGCCTGTGTATTTATTGAAAAAAATCCTCATGTAAGTTTACTGTGCAGTTCAACCCCATGCTGTTAAAGCGTCCACTGTATTTAGCACTTAGGAACAGAAGGAATTCTAAGGAAGCCTTTATTCTTTTTTTGTGCTGCTGAGTCTCTCTGGCCTTCCATTCAACATATGTGAAAGGTGAGGCCTGAACAAGAAGACTGCTCACCCTGCCGTGTGGCTCGGAGGGTTGGAGCATCATCCCACACACCAAATGTTTTCCGGTTCGATCCCTGGTCAGGGCACATACCTAGGTTGCAGGTTCAAATCCAGGTGTGTAGGGAAGGCAACTGATCAATGTTTTTCTCTCACGTCGATATTTCTCTTTTTTTCTCCCTCCCTTTCTCTCTCTCTAAATCAACCAAAAAACGTATCTTCGGGTGAGAATTAAAAATAATAATAATAAAAAAATAAAAGAAGGTTGCGCACCTTCTTCCCAGCCCTCCTACATGATGTCAAAGCCCGAATCTTCTTGAGAAAAAGATAAAATTCCCTCCCTTGTCCCAAGCCCCGCCCCCCTTCCCGGTTTCCTGACTTGGCTGTGGTTGTAGTTTACGTGAACGCTCAGAGACGATTTCCAAATCGTGACCCTCTTCTCACCCCGACCTCCTTTCCCAGCCCCTTCAGACGCCCCCCAGGTGCTCGTGTATAACCTGACATCACACGCCTTCACGCTGAGCTGGAAAGACTACTCCACGGACTCCCAGCCTGGTTTCATCTGCGGCTACTACGTCTACCTGAGGTCCAAGGCAGAGCAGTGCCACCCAGAATTCCAAAAGACGGTCCTTCCAGGTAGCGTGTTTGTCTGTTTCCCCCTTTAAGATCTCATTGCTCGCACTCATGGCAAAGGCTCCCGCCTGGGGCTGTGTCCAGGCTGAAGTCTGTCCTTGCGCGCTCTCGTGGCCACACGGCATCCTTACACAAATCAGTAGGTGGGCAGTGTGGCGGGTGGGTATTTTAACTTAAAAAGCCAGGAGGCCTGGTTTTTCAGAAGCATCTGAAGTCCCATCACCTCCTTCAGAGAACCTGCCACTTAGAACTTTCTTGCTAACTCCTTTTTCTGTTTCCCTTTGACCTTATTCAAAGTTATCGCAATGATTCCTTGTTCAATGACAGATGTTTAGTATTATTTTATATTGGTGTATGGTGTGCAGCCTCGTGGTCGGACATTTATATAATTTCTGAAGTGGTCCCCTGATAATTCGAGTGCTCCCTGACCCCACACAGAGTTATCACAGCGTCTCTGACTATAATCGTGTTCCCCACGTTGGACGTTATGTCCCTGTGATGATGTTGCAACTTCCGGTCTGTCCTTCTCAGCCCCTCCCCAAGTCCACTGGCCCCTCCCCTCTGGCAACCATCACTTCTTTCCCTGCGGCCGCGGAAAGTGTTTTAAAGTCTCTCCCATGCTCTGGCCGCCTCTTGTGGAACCACCTGCTTTCCCAGGACCCCCAACATCTCTTGCTTAGTGGATGTTTCACTTTTCTTGCCATCTTCTGAAAACATCGCCCAGGTTCCCGGTGTGATGAAATGACGATCTAATTTCTGGTTGGCTTAAACATGTTGATAGTACTGAGCCAACAAGAGGGGTAATAACCAACTCACAAGTCTCTCTCACACTCTTAATACTTTTTCCTTCTTGTAAAAAACAAATTTTTATTTTTTTAAATGACAGATGGTTCAGTAGGCTGCCGATATGAAATCAACAACCCGGAACAGAAGATGCTGGTTGTGGGAAACCTACAGCCGGAATCCTCCTACGAGTTCTCGGTCATCCCGTACACCAGGGCTGGCGAAGGCCAGATCGGCGCCTTCACCAAGGTCACCATGCCGGACGAGCACTGTGAGTTTCCCCAAGTCAAAACTGCCCCTTAGGCATTCCCTGCACACTGACAAATGGCACACACGTTGCTGTGAACTTTGTCTAGATCAGGAATTTTTAAACGTTTCTTCTCTGTCTGTCCCTGTCTGTCTCTCTAGATGAAAATCTGTTTCACAAAAAATGTTGCACAGACTTGCACTCCAGAAAGCAGATACGAGTGCGGCTAATCTGCCCGATGGGTGGCCTGGAACCTTCCTCCCACCTCCCTCCGGTCCCAGGGGCACTTCTCTGGCACTCAGTCCGGGACAGTTTGAAAGTCATAGACTGGGAAAGTTAGTGTTGGCTTCAGAAGAGCCCTGTGGCTCTGTCCAGAGAAGGCAGGGCCGGCGCCCTGTCTGTCTGCCTGCAGGTGGCCTCCTGGCTGGTTCTCTGGCGGGGGGGGGGGGGGCAAACGAATTGCTTCCTGACTGCCTCTCGGGGGTACAGTTGGGCAAGAACTATTTGTTCACAAACCTGGTTTGCAGGTTTGGTGGGGAAAGGGTGAGATAAAGAGATCTGTATTTTCAAAATGCTTTTGGCCTGAAAGATGAAGAAAGAAAAGGAAGGAAGAAGAGAGGTAGGAACTGGTTCAGGGTAAATAAGATTCTCCTAGTGAACTCTGACCTGCAACAAACCGGAAGGTGGGGGAGGAAACAGATTCAGTTGGAGGAAAGAGAAAAGTAGGCGTCATCGGGGAGCACAGAGGCCCACCCTGGAAGCTGTCTCTGAAGACAGTCCTCGGTGAAAAACGAGTCCCTGCCTGAGATGTCTGCTGGAAGATCCAGGCTGTCCTGGAGCGGGGGCGCTTTGCTGCAGGGGGGGGCTCTGGGGGCAGAACAGGTTCATCAGGTACAACTGCTGCCCCTGAGGGCCCTGACCAGTGACAGGACTGTGGCAGCTTGGGGCACTCACTACTGTTCACTGAAACTCCGCCCAGTTCCCTAAGCCAACGGCCAGAACGCACACAGTCAGGTGAGGATTTCAGTCAGAGGTACACGTTATTTGAGGGCTTATTTCCAGGTTATTTTTCTTCTATCTTTGGTATCTACGTGGCTGGTAGAGGAGTGTGTCTGTGCACGGACACACATATATAGTACATAACATTATCTCAAATATATTTTCTGATTTCATTTATCTCCCTGATTTGTGCTAAACCTCCTTAGCCTTGGCTACATTGATTATTCTTAAAATGGAAATAAATTGCTGCCTAATTGCAGCAATGAGAGTGACATTGCACAGTCACAAAAAGGGTCTGGAGGAATCACAAATGTGATGCTGAGTCAAGACACAATGTGTCTTGTATCAAGACAGACCTGCCTCTTGCTGTCTGATTCCATCTGTAGGGGACAGAAAGAGGCAAGTACCATTTGTCATTAGAAGACAAGACAGTGGTTAGCTTGGGAGGGGAGATGACTGCAGGGGTCCCCAGGGGCTTTCTGGGGAGCTGGCACCGTTTGTTTTCTCTACCGGGGTACAGGTTACGGGGAAACGTTCAGTTTGCAAAAATCCACCCAGCTGCACACTTATGGGCACCTTTCTGTGCGCATGATCATACTTCACTAAAAAGTTCAGCAAACCGCTCTGAAGTTCAGAAACTCCTATGGCTTGGTCTCCAGGCTTATTCTCGATTACATTTTGAAAGCCCGAATTTGACCACGTTTTAAAACTAACTGTAGTAGTCAAAGGTACTGACTTGGAGAGCAAGGTGTTTCCTAGTGGTGTCCTGACAGAGGTTTCTTTCCCCTCCCTGGGCACCAGGGTTCAATGGGGGCCAGTTGTCAGGGTGCTGAGCTCCCTCCCCCACCAGGTCCTTCTCTCCAGAGCCCTGTGCTGCCCGATAACCCGGCTTGGGCATCTTCCCAGGCCTGCCCTCCCTTACAAAACCCCAGCAGTGCCCCCTGCCCTGCACCCCTCCAATCAAACCCCACTTCTTCCAGGACAGCAAGGGTTGTGGCCAGGGCGTAGGTGGGGGGTGGGCACGTGGATCTAACAGAATCTCCGGCCTGCGAGTGAGTGACTGTCAGCCTCTAACTCCCTGTGCAGTTTGCCTTTGTAGAAGAGCAGCCCCGCTGTGTTAGTATTGGCGGAGCTCGCTCCGTGCGGACAGGAAGACAGGCATCTGAGAAGATGGGCTGGACCAGAGCCTGCATCAGAGACTAACTAGAAGACTGTATCAGAGGCTTAACTAGAAGGAGGGCATCAGTCAATTTTTGATGTGTAACAAAATACCTCAAAATCTCAGGGGTGCACAAAAAAGTTTTTTCTGCTCCTGGCTTGGCTGGGCCAGGCAGGGCTTGGGTGAAGTTCACGTTTGTCTCATGCAGCTTCCGTCTGGGGCTCAGGCTGAGTGGGCAGCGGTGCAGAGGGGTAAAGTCTTTTTTTTCCTCCATTTTTATTGATTGATTTGAGAGAGAGAAACATTGACTCATTGTCCCACTTATTTATGAATTCATTGGTTGGTTCTTGTATGTGCCCTGACCAGGGATCGAACCTGCAACCTTGGCGTATTGGACGATGCTCTAACCAATTGAGCTACCGGCCAGGGCACAGGGCAGTCTTGTCATGGCGAATTCCAGGCACACAAGAGAGCAAGCGAAACTCTGCGAATACAGCAATGACAGCTACTGACATTAACTACTCACGTCCCATCAGCCAAACCAAGCCACCTGGCTGAGCCGCAAGTGGGGGGAGAGGAACACACCCCACCTGCCATGACGCGGTAGCCAGAGTGCAGGGTGGAATTCCAACACGGGGGTTGGGCGGGGGACCAACTGGGAACGATGACCACCCATCAGAAGAGGCGGCAGGGCTGGTCACGTGTGTCACGGGCAAGCAGTTGCCTGTGCTGGCCGATCAGATGCCCTGCCTTCTCCGGCAGGCAGATCCCTTATTGAATCTTGCACATTCAATGCAAGACTTTTGAGAAATAACGAACATGTAAGGTTACACTTGTCTTTAAACTTATTTTCTTCCTTTGAGGAAGAAAGAGCATTCCCTTGAAAAACCCTTTCCTTTCCGTCTGCAGCCCACGTACTGATACGTATCATGATCCCGATGACGGCCTGCCTCCTGCTCATCGTGATCCTGTGCTACTTGAAGAGTCAGTGGTAAGCGTGTGGGGAGTGTCATCCAAGAAGAGAGTCAGAGAAGAGTCTAGAAAGGAGTTTGACAAAACAGAAACCACACTGCACAAGATGAGGACTAGGGTTGGGAAGGAAAGGGACCGAGGAGGCTTCGAGGAACACTCGAGGAAGTTTTAAACAATTTTGCTTTTTGGATAGATATGTAAGAAAAACAATGACCATTCAAAAAGAATAAAGACTTGTTCAAAGGCAGCAGCTAGTACCTGATTCCCCATCCTGTGTGCTCGGCGCTGTTCTAAGTGCCATCGGTGCGGCAGCTCATCCGGCCTCACAGCACTGCCCTGAGCACCGCTGCCGTGTCCAGCGAATCAGCAAGGACCCCAAAGCCTCCAAGGGTCACGCGGCTGGCACATGGCCCACCACAGAGCAAGGGCGGTGACCCAGGGGTCCGACCTGGGACTTCTCCGCCTTTCCTGTTCTGATATACTTCAAGTTTGGTCTCACTGTCTCTGCTGCTCTAGGGTGAAGGAGATGTGTTATTCTGACATCCCAGATCCTCGAGAGAGCAGGGTCCTGTCGTTCCTGAAACTCAAGGTAACTGTGGTGAAGCTGTATGGATCCCATATACCTGTCCCCTTCGAATCCAGGGGCGGGCAGTACTAATCATGCCTCTGTAGACCTTCCTCGTCTGGCAGGTGTAACAGGGAGCAGAGCCACCTCTCCTCCCACAGCCATGAGACGGGTGGACAGAGCTTGGTTTCTTCTGTCAGGGGAAATCCTCTTACCCTCCATTAACACATGACTGGGTTGCAACGGGAGACACTGAAGCTCCGCGTGCCCCCCCCCACCGTACCCGACACGCGAGTCACATTGTGCATTTCCTGTTTCTGTCCCAGGAGACCGCTCCCCTGACAATAATGAATGTCAACGACTGCGTTCCAGATGCTCTTGAGGTTGTCAAGAAGCCCGAAGGGAGCAAGATCCAGTTCTCGGGCGCCAGGAAGCGCCCCCCAGAAACCGCGTGCACTAGGCCGGAGTACATTTACCTCCTCCCAACGGAGAACTCCCCAGGCTCCAGCGGCTTCATCTGCTTTGAGAACTTGACCTATAACCAAGCAGCTCCCAACTCCGGTTCCTGTGCCCATGTCCTGGGACCTCACAAAGCCCCACCAAGTCAGCTGGGACTACCGACTCCACCTGAAAATTTACTGAAGCCCCTAGAACAAAACTACATGAATACCCTGGCAGAAATCCCACCCGGAGAGACGACTTTGAATTACGTGTCCCAGTTGGCATTCCCCGTATCTGGGGACAAAGACCTTCTCCCAGCAAAGCCCCCTGAGCCGGAGCCGGCCCTCTGCTGCGAGTATAGAATGCAAATGGCCGTGCCCCTTGGCCTCGCCTCGCCCTCCCCGAATGAGAGCAGCAACTGCTCCCCAACTGCCCTCTTGGAGCAAGACCACCACGGCTAACCGTCCACTCGGTTGGAGCCTGTGTGCTCCAGAACACCGAGAGACTGCCGACCCCATTTCATCACCAGACCGGATGCTTACTGGCGTTTAAACCCCCGTGAGCTGCCACCACTGGCAGGCCCGATTTCTAGGAGGCCACGGCCATCTGGCTAGGTTTCCAAGTGCAAGAGCCAGGAGACTCACCGTCCTTCCTCGCAGCCGGCTTGCTGTAGAAATGCCGCATCGCCCATGAGCACAGGCTTACCTCGCCGCCGCACGTTCCAGGCCGCCTTCGCAACAGCCAGCCACCTCGGCACCTGACGTGGCGGTGAGCCCATCCGCTCGGTACCGGACAGGGCGGTTATGGTCCTAGAGGTTCAGCGAGAAAGGATTTCCATGACGTTTTACCCCCGCATTTACTATTGTGAGGGTGAAGGCACTACTAGACTGAAGGCTTAATAGAGGCCACAGGTTTGTTACCACAGCAGATGTTGTCAATGCTAATTTACTCTGGAGGTACTTAATGAACAAGTCACAGGTGTTTGAGACAGATTTCAGACTCGTCTTGCAGTGGTGAGAATTTACAGCTCATTGGCACAGTGCAGTGAGGTCTCCCCCCGGGGTGGGGGGCGCGCAGGCCTCTCTAACAGGTCAGACACCTGAATGAATGAGATCCCCACAGGCGTCCTGTCTTGCTCACCAGGTGGAGAGCAGGGCTGGCAAGAACCTCTCGACTTAGTGTCAGAGTAACGGCACTACTGCTGAGGACACACCATTCTGCCACAATTTTTGACGACTACCTCAGAGAGAAAAGGGACAGCACATTGAGTAACTCCAGGTGCTCCTTTTTATTTGTCCAAGAACTGTACTCTATGTGACCCGCTTTCATTTAGCATCCCTTAGACTCTACAATGGGTGATCGAGGCCCAAATACCACCCTCTCTCTCACTGGTATTCCTATTATGCTTACCTTGTCAACACAGTGAAACATGCTGCTGGACACTCCCCCACCCCGGGTGTGACTGAGAAGCTGCCTGGGGTGGGGCAGCTCCCTTTGGGTCAGCGTCAGCAGCTTTGCGTCCCTGAACCAAGGTGGGCAAAGCTCCACATCACAGGGGCTGCTCTCCTGGTGCCCGTCAGCCCGATGTTTACCGGTCGTGTTTCTAAACAAGCACAGACACAGGCTCCTTTTCGTTTGGCATGGTGGACGTGACACTGCCCGTGCCTCTCGTGCCACATGCCCTGCCTGGGCCACCACCACGAGGAGAGGGAGGGCAGGGCCCACACCTCAGAGGAAGGCGGCTGTCAGCTGGCCTGGACACGAGACACAGACCAGGACTTCTGTCCGGGCTTGTCAACAGCGTGCTCACATAAGTCTATGCCTTTTGCTAGGAAAACTGGTTACGAAGCCCTCATACAGTACACATGAGTATCTTGATTAGCATCACAGTGTTGAGAACACTGGGTCCAGATGGTCATCATTTACCCTCTTGGGTTGCTCTGTCATGAAGCAATTATAAGTCCACAGAAATGTCGATGACAGCGAGGACTGATGTAAACAGTATCTTTCATGTAGACTCTCTTTACAACAACAATGCATGAAACCTTGAAGTTCTTTTGGTTGCAACAGCCTTAATTAAAATACTTCACCACTGCATTATTTGGTTTTGTCTACTTCGGGGAAATGAAAATCTGAGTCAGTAATGCTGAGGTCACCGCATGAGCTAATGCAGATGCCGGGGAGCCGCTGCAGCCCGCCCAACCCCGACCTCCGCGGCACAGGCCTGGCGTCTGCGTGCTGTGCCCCACGTTCAGACCCAGGCTCAGCTCTGGAGGGGCCGGTCCAAGTGAAGCAGAGACCCTTCGGTAACGATAACAACGCACCAGTAGGAAACACGGGACTACGTAACTTTGTGCTCACAGTTACCTCTGTAACTATAGTTTTGGGCATAAACATCCCTCTCTCAAGTCCTTCTTCATCAAATAAATTAGTATTTAAAACCTTAATGTTCAATACTATGTGCTTACCAGCATTGCTTTAAGAAGTGTTACGCAGAAACTTTGAGGTTTGTATTCATGTGTCAGAATGACTAGGATGGACACTATTCACAGAGAATTTCCACTACACACAAAGGTAGAAGAGGTGAAGAAACCCCTACGTACTGCTTCAGCCCATCCAGAGACCTACCCACTCTCGGTCCCAGTATTATTTTGAAGCAAATCCTATGATTTCATGTGTAAATACTTGTGTTTCTCTACATGGGCTTTACTTTTACTAACAGAGCCATGATACCTTTATAAAATCGCACCTAAGCCCAACTTAGTAATAATTATCCCTGGAAACGTCAGGGCATTTGAACGGTGGGCAGGACTGGCGTCGGTGACCTGTACATACCGCGGCGGCCTGGGGACTGGTCCTTGGGTGCAGGGAGGGCGCCGCCCGGCCCTGCATGGGACAGGGGCTTGACCCCACCACAGCACGGGCTGCTGGGAGTCTCTGCCGACACGCGAAGGCCTGACTCCTACTCACTCTAGTGGAACAGAGTCTCCACTGGAAGGTGCACCATGAAGAAAATCAAGTTAGATCAGACAACATCTAAGGTGTGCTCTAAGAGCTCTGTGGAGAGATAAACTGGCTTTCATCTTAAAGAATTTACAAAACATATTAAACATTTTGCATAAAGTAGAACTTTAAAAAACCCTTGAGGAGATAAAAAGCCTTCGGAATTAGTAGTTAAAATATTTACACACAGTAACTAAGTATATTAAATCTGAAGGACTAATGTAGTTGTCTTAGTCTTTTATTGTATAAGCCTTAAAGAAACAAAGGTTTAGTACATTTTGGTTTCTTTTTTCGAGTTCAATACAATAGTAGTTGCTATAGTCTGAATGAATGCCCACCCCCCAAACTTGTATGCTAATTCTAACCTCCAAAGATGATGGTATTGGTAGGTGGGGCTTTGCGAAGTGATTAGGTCATGAGGGTGGAGCCTCCATGAGTCAGGTTAATGCTCTTCCCAGAACACATACGAAGCTGCCCAGTTTCTTCCACCCTGAGGACAGACACAGTAAGTCTGGGACTCGGAAGCGGGCCCTCACCTGACCACGCTGCCACTCTGCTCTCAGACTCTCAGCCTACATCTCTGTGAGGATACATTTCTATTGTGTATTAACTACCCCGGTCCGTGCTATTTTGTTATAGTAGGCCAAAGGGGCAAAGACAGTACTTTATTTTTTGGTATTTTTATATGAGGTCTGTCCAGAAGGTATCCAGCCATGTAATATGAAAAAAATAGAGGCATTTCTTAAAGCAGATACAAGAAACACAGGATGATGTGCATAGGACAATGCGTCAGTCCCCTCAAAGCAGGCACCTGGGGTCCTCACAGTTCTCCCCATTGCCATCACCTGCCTGGTCATGTTTTCCTGAATCTCATCAACCATCTGAAATCTCTTCCCTCTCAAAGGCGATTTTAGTTTTGGGAAAAGCCAGAAGTTGCAGGGCCCCAAATCTGGGCTGTCGTGGGGCTGAGTCACCTGGGTGATTTGACTTGCTAAACTCTGAACGAGATGTGATGCACGAACAGGCCTGTGGTCATGATAAAGCTGCCAACCACTCATTGCATTGTCCCAGAAGCCTTCCGAATCACCTGAATAGTTCCTTCAGAGGAATGTCCAAGCTTAAGGAAAAATTTAATGCAGATTCATTGTTCTACTCGTTCAGTCATTTTGAATGCAACAAACAGTACATGTGCTCACTCAACGGCGTCTACCTCCCCCCAATGTCACTGCCTAGTGCAGTGACACTGTCACTGTGCACACGGGCAGACTCCAGTCCACTCTCCTTGCCTGCCAGGGTACATGATGTAGCGCAACCCATTCTCGTTATATTAACAATGGCTGGACAGACCTCAGGTGGCAAGGAGTTTTTGGTGATTGAGGGGGCGAAGGGGTAGTTAAGGTGGAAGAGGGTATGGGGGGATAAATGGTAATGGAAAAAATACAACCAAAATGTTAACAAAAGAGCTTTGAAAAATAAAACAACTATCTGAAGTTCAGCTATAGTATCATGTTTTTCAAAGATCAGCTGTATGGTTATTAAGTATAATTTTTATAGTTTATTTGGGGGCTTACTGTGTTTGTTGAATGACATATGTAGTGAAAGGCAATGAAAAAAGTGATACACAGAAATGTGCTTAAAGACTAATACATCCGAGATAAATCTATTTCTAAAAGTGAAGACATACATTTCCCCCACATTTTAACTGTACCAGACCCCAGCTTTGACACCGAAGTCTGTTCTCCAGGCTGGATAATTTCCTCTGTGGAGCGCCCCTCTGCTCCTGGGTCTCTGGTTGTACATAACACCTTATCTGATCAGGTTGGTTTTTACATAAGAAATCAAACACCAACCCCAGGAGTCATCATTTTTATTGTACATTAATTCCTCAAAATAGTCAAAACTGTTCTGTCTAAAGACTGATCCATTTTTCCAAATCCTTGATAATGATTTGAAGTTAAAATAAAATTGTAAAGGTAAGTCTGACCAGATTATTAAGAATGTTTAAGAATATAAAAATAGCTATTTTAAAATATCTGAAACAAATCAAAATAGCATGGTACTGGCATAAAAATGGACACGCAGATCAACAGAAAATGAGAGACCAGAAATAAACCCACATCTTTATAGTCAATTAGTATTTGACAAGGGAGGCAAAATATACAACAAAATTAAGTCTATTCCGTAAGTGGTATTAGAAAAATTGGACAGCCTGGCTGGTATATCTCAGTGGATTGCACACAGGCTGTGAACCAAAGGATCACTGGTTTGATTCCCAGTCAGGGCACATGCCTGGGTTGCAGGCCAGGTCCCCAGTAGGGAGCATGTGAGAGGCAACCACACATTGATGTTTCTCTCCCTCTTTCTCCTTCTCCACTCTCTAAAAATAAATAAATAAAATCTTTTTAAAAGTTGGATCTATGCAAAAAATGAAATTAAACCACCTTCTTACACTATACGCAAGAATAAACCCAAAATGCATTAAAAATTTAAATGTTAGACTCGAAACCATAAAAATCCCCACAAGAAAACAAGGACAGTAAAATCTTGGACATTTCCTACAGCTGTATTTTTCCTGATGTACCCCCTTGGGCGAGGGAAACAAAAGAAAAAATAACTGGGATCACATCAATTCAAAACGTTTTTGCACAGCAATGGCAACCACCAACAAAATGAATAGAACGCACTGAATAAGACATATCTGCCAATATATCTGATAAGGGCTTAATATCCAAAACTTAGAAGGAACTTATAAAACTAAACACTGAAAAACCCTAAAACCCCCAAAGAATCCAATAAAGAAACTGGACAATGGACTTGAATAGACACTTCTCCAAAGAGGACATAAAGATGTCCAACAGACATAGGAAAAGATGCTCAATCATCAGAAAAAATACAAATTAAAACCACAATGAGGTATCACCTCATACCTGTCAGAATGGCTACCATTAATAAATCAACAAGCAACAAGTATTATCAAGAATGTGGAGAAAAAGGAACCCTAGTGCACTGTTGGTGGGATGCAGATTAGTGTAGCCACTGTGGAAAACAGTATGCAAATACCTCAAAAATTAAAAATGGAACTGCCTATGACCCGGTGATGCTACTTCTGGCAATGTATCTGAAGACACCTGGCACACTGATCAGAAAGAATACATGCACGCCTGTGTTCACTGCAGTGTTCTTTACAACGGCCAAGATTTGGAAGCAGCCCAACTGCCCATCAATAGTTGAGTGGATAAAAACCGCTGTGGTACATTTACACAATGGAATACTACTTGGCTATAAAAAAGAAGGAAATCTTACCTTTTATGATGGCACGGATGGAGAGCATTACGCTAAGTGAAATAAGCCAGTCACAGAAAGGCAAACACCATTATAATCTCACTTATATGTGGAATTTAATGAACGAACTAATGAAGTGGAGACAGACTCATGGATACAGAGAACAGACTGATGGATGGGAAGGGGTAGGGGCTGGGTGACAAGAGGGAAGGGATTAAGCAAAGAAAAGAGAGACTCAGACAGGGACAACAGTACGGTGACTGCCAGAGGGAAGGGGTGGGGGAGGTGGAAGATGGTAACAGGATAAATGGCGGTGGAAGGAGAGCTGACTTGGGATGGAGAACACCTGACACAGTGCACAGATGATGTGTTGCAGAGTTGTACACCTGAAACCCGTGTAATTTCATTAACCAATGTCACCCCAGTAAGCTCTGTTAAAAATAAATTACAAAATATTTGGAACAAGTCACAAATGTGTCACTGAAATAGATTCTCTGTGTTGCCTAGAAGTCACTTTTAGGGGGAAGCATCTATGTCAGCCTCAGGAGTAGAGAATTCAAATCAACACTGATTGTTTTAAAATTTCAAATAGAACAACACGAGTTTAAGAATTTTAAGTACTTTTTATTAAGAATGTATCCCTTTGATAAGATTATGTTTCAGGAGGCTTTTAATGCCCTTGACATAAACTGTACACATTATACAAAAACAAGAAAACCACACAAAAAAAAATCAAGGTTAAGCAAAACCATTTGGGGACAAACCTTATTTAAATTATACACAACTCAATGAAATATTCTTACAGAAAATATATAAATACTTTTTCTTTCTATGTTACAGTTATACAATATAAATCATATTTCAATGTCTGTTCAGTGACCTACAAACACCAGAACCTCCAAATATGTAGCAGCGTATTACTAAATAAAAAAAAAAAAAGAAAATCCTATGGTCAGGGAGTATTAATCTGAGATTTTTTCACAACCCCTTACCATTTTCAAAACTAATTTACACTATCTGTTTTACAATGCAGCTTCAGGGTTTCTGACAGGCCAGTAATGGAATATTTTTCAACTGTCATCTATGAAAAATTTTTATCCCCAACCCTCTCTGCCCCAAAACTTTCCATTTTGTGCTAAATCAACCTGTTCAGTGGCAAAATAACAAGGTATACTTTTTGGCATAAATTATGTATTTCAAATTAAATATTTTATAAAGAAAGTCAAAATGTGCAATTTATGCATGATGTGGCATAGCTATCCACCTACTTTACCAAAATACTCCAAAGGGGGAAAATCCACATTCTGTGTGAGTCATATAAACCTACTATGAATGAAAAATCCCCTGGGAACCTGGAACAAAAAGAAAAAACGAACATTCCTAGAAAGATTCTCCAATTTCAATATTGTTTGATAAGCACTGCTATGAATTTCACTGGCATGCTTTTATCATGAAACTTGCACTGGAACCAGTAATAATGTACTTCCTGAACGGGGAGACAAGGGAGAACTTCCCCAACTTACATTCTGGAAAATCTGATATACCCTTTTATTCCAATAGCTGTTCTTATAAAACTCTCGGCAATTCTACAATTTGTTTCCCCCATGTTTTAGTGGCGAATTTGAGACAACACTGGAAGCACAGGACAAGGGAAACCCCTCACTTCCAAAGGGCCTCTTCCAAGGCAGCTTCCAAAGTGCATGTCACACAGAATTAGCACCTTACTCTCACCATGCAACAACAACTGTGGTTATAATTTGGATGACAATTTGATTGGTTTTTATTGCTTAACTATCTGTGCTTTAATGTGGGAATAAAAGGCATCCTCTGAATGGAATGGAAATCCCTATCTGAACAGCAGTAGACACTTCCGAGTAAGCGCTGACACCTCACTGGTGGACACTCTGCCACTGGAACATGCCCTGAAAAATTCAGCTTCAATTATTTCAAGCTCTGGAGGAAAGACCTGAAAACTATTAAAGCCACCATTTCAAAGGACTGGTACACATGACATTAGAGTAACTAGTCTAATAATGTATATATCTAGCTCCAGAGAGCTTTTCTAATGTCACTTGTCTTACAGGATGTCCATATGCTACCAATCTTTATTAAAAACTTTTTTATTAGAGAGAAGAGACTTTCCCCCTCAAATATAGCTAAGCATAAACAGGAAATAAAAGTTTAGGAAATCTTAGATCATATTTAATTATGAATACTAATTTCTAATTTCCTTATTTATCAGTATTAACTTAGTATGTGAAGCTGAAATTTGTTCTTGAAAAAATTTCAGTTAGAAGTAACAATTCACTTTACAATGAGAAATTCACAGTTTACAACCAGCACAACTGTCCAAATTCCTCCAAATTATCAATAATTACCATTAGTACAAATTTATATGGACTAAGAATTCTAAAATCTTTAAAAACTATAGTATTGACATTATTTTGGTATTTTATAGTCTGGCATATATATTATTTATAGATGATTTTCTCAATTATTTCTATTACCAACAACACCTTTCCTAACCCTCTCTGCTATAATATTTTTAAACACCTAAGTTAATCACTTGGCACGCATGTGAGCTTTTTTCATCATTAATGTCTACCTTTATGCAAACAAGTACTCAAAGAAAACATATTAGACCTGTCAGTAAAATATGGATAAACCAAATAGCACTATACATTTAAGTACAGTTTTTCCTTAAATTACTGATAAGCACAAAGCTCTGAGTATCTCCCCCAAACTAAGTGCTACAGGCAAATATTATGATGTATACACGTAAGTCTTTCAAAGTAACTGTCAAAAACAAACTGTTCTGGTAACAGTAATGAAGACTTCATTTCAGGGCGGATGAGTGAGTTTGGGTGCAGGGATGGGGTAATGTGTGTGTGTGACAACGAAGAGTTACTGTTAACTTCTGAGGGATTAAACCCCAGATTATACTCTATATTAACTGAGGTAGTGTTGAAATGAATGTCTAAAATGTGTTAATCCCATTGTAAATAAGATTACTACATTACCTCCTTTGGAGTTTTTAACTACTATCTGGTCTAAGTTTCTCTAACGCTTGGTTCTCTGGAAGGCAATTTCATCATTCAAGACCAAAGACCAAGGTGACAGGCAATGTTCTTAAAAGTACTGTCAACATTTAAATAAACACTTGGGTTCAGTGATAAGTTGAAGTGTAAAAAAGTGTGTGTCTTATCTTCAACCAGGTTTATGAGAGAAAATCTGAAGAACCACTTTTTAACACAAGCAGCAGCGTCCAGCCCTTCTCTGCTCTGTTGAACGTGAGTTGCTACACAGTGCACGTAAGAACAAGTTGCCGAAGTGCAGTCGAGGAGGTGTTACACAGGGAGATGCAAGGCTTCATCTCAGCGGGAACTTTCAGTGCCAGCACATTTTCTACAAAGCATCTCTGTGAGTTATGTTTTCTAGTTCACAGGTTCTGTACAGAGATCTCAGAGAAGAAGCCCATTATCAGAGGGATTTATAACGTGGGAAAGTGTTAACCGATGCACGAGGACTGTGTCAAAGCTGATGTGTGACTAAGAATGGCATACACGGACGGATTAGAAAAGGGTCCTCATCAGTCCAGCTGGATTCTTCCTATTTACACACAGATCTAAAAAAAGATAATCCTTTCATTTACAATCATTCTAATGAAGATGGCCATGCTGTTTTATATACAAATTTGCATATATGTAATTCCTGTGAAGATGTCCAAGTATCTTTAGACATATACAAATTAAACACACAAACAAAACCTTGCCCTCACCAACTTAACCACTTCACAAATGTGATAAAGACAATTACTGTATGCATAAACTCACCTATCACTGCATTTAGTTTGTGCAAAAGAAGAACACTGATATGAAAATTAAATTACTGCTGCTTTAAAATCTGGTACATAAGGCTTTTCACTACAATTTTTAATTGTAATAACAGTGTCATTAATCATTTTTTTAAAAAAAATGTGGCTCTTCTTTTTCCGTGGAATGTACAGTAAACTGTAGGCAATCTTATCTTTCCCTTAAAGTATCATTTAATGCTTTCTGCTGCTTTACATCTAAATTAATAGTGCTCGTTCAAGTTCCTATTTAAAACGGTGATATGGGAAGGTGATGACAATGGAAGTCCACTGAACACATATGTGCATTTTGTAAGTGGGAAACAGCTGAACTGTAACATGATTTTCTGATTTTAATCAGGAACTGTAGTGAAAAACCTTAATCAGTTCAAATAGCCTATAACAACAACACATCAAGAGAAGGAAAACAAATACGAAACTTTATGTAAGTCTAATAACATAAAAATAACTTATAAGTCCCGGGTCGTTGAGGCTTCTCTCTCTTTGAGGTCACAACCCTTGAAGTAGTGTTACAACATTAAGAAAAGCTCCCGCTCACACCGGCAGTTACAGCACACCCCACTGTGGGGACAGGATGCGCCTCAGAGACGCTGAGTCCGGGTTTCCGTGACTTAGTTAACAAACAAGGCATCTTTTTATTTACCCTAAAAAAAGAATTCAGAAATAACTGTGTGAAGGGTGCTTCTGCGTATCCTGTTATTGTTCCTCTGAGTTTAACATGGAAAAACAGAAAACCTGTGTAGGTAATTCAGTGCTTGGCTCTTGTATATAATGGGAACTAAAACTTTTGAAACTGTGGTAATGAACAATGAACCCCTAACAGGGCTCAGCGGGGAGAGAGGACGTTGCTTGGTATGGAAGTCTGCAGTTTCAGCTGTCCGTGTGCCAAATCTGCTGGCGCAGAACACACGGACCCTCCTGTCCTTGCTGCCCAGTCCACCAGCCGTCTTCTGAGGCATGTATGAACTGCACACTGTGAATGTGCATATAGGATCCGTCTATACACACTGCAAATGTGAGGTCAGGACTCAGCCGATGGATCAACTATGGGCTGCCTTGGGGGTACTGCCAACACAGCCTCCGCTTCTTCGTGCATCTGGGGAAGAAGGGGTCTATTTTAGTAACCTTCTAGTGTATTAACAGGTATAACCTCTCTCTTAACACACACACACACAAATATCTTTGAAAAAAATTTCCAAAGCCTGGTGATGTATTAATGTTTCTCTCCCTCTCTCCTTCCCTTTCCTGAAAAAAGAAAAAAATTTCAGAAGAACAAATTCTACTTACTTGTAAAAACTGTACATCTTGAAATAGTTCTTGTATGAACCTCCGACATGGGAGTCTGAATGCGCAGTGCGCCAACAAGTGGGACACCTCCGAGTAGAGGCAGATGTCGTCAAAAGTTTGCGGGTACTTCTCCTTAATTCTACAACGAGAGGCAAGACTCTGGTGGGATAAAACTGTAACAGTAACTAGGTTTCCTCCAGACAATCGCTTTTTAAATATTCTTCTCCAGATAATGATTAGATATCAAATTTGGGGCGATGGTATAATATAAAATATTAAATATTCCTACCTCATACTTCAATCAGATATTTTACATTTCAGGCTATATCTTAAAATAATTGAAACCCAAATGTTTCTTGGAAAGTTAGAAATATCCTTTTTTCACTGGCATGAGAAATTGCAAAATTTATTAGTCTAGGATGACTCAAACATTTTCAAAATTAAGTTTTAAAATAGAAGTTTTCCAAACTGGACTGAAGTTGTTAATATCCTTAACTGAACTCTCTGTTTACATCTCTCAAACTTTAAACAGCGGCTCTGAGCTAGAACAGTTCCTGAACTGGCGGTGGGCTGGGCTGGGCTTGTGCAGAACACAGGTGAGGAGCCCCAGCTTCTGGGGCTTCTGGCCAGGCAGCCGCAGTGAGACCCTGGCATTGTGTTACTATTGGGCTGGCCAAAAAGCCTGTTTAGTTTTTTTCTGTAAAACAAAAGACACATTTTTCATTTTCGCCAATAACTTTACGAATTTGGATACTTTGAGTATGTCAGCTATCTTTAGTTGGCTAACTTTCTGGCAGAAAGTTCATTGTTCTCCATTAATGTCTCGACTTGATTGTTGCCAACGTGAACTGGTCTACCTGACTGTGGATCATCGTCCAGTGGGAAATCTCCAGCAAAAGTGTAATAAACTGAAAATGTCACTTATTATCTTCCACCTTCAGTATTAAAATGGCTACACAAAAAATCACCAATTTTGATGTTTTTTTAAAAAAAATGCACACTGACAAGGCATCTGTCATAATACAATCTAACAAAGTTGTTTCAAACAAAATGAAAGACAACTAAGCACTACTAGAGCCATCTTACAGAGACAAACAGCCTTTCTGGCCAACCCACTATTTTGTTTAAAGCCTCAAAGAAGACCCTGAAGTGCTTCTCTTGAGGACGGCTGCTTTAAATAGTACAGACCAAAAATGCTAAATATCCAGTCTGAATTTTCTTTTATCATGATGCTGTGATTTGGAAAAACAATAAAAATTCTACAACTTTTATTAAGAAAAATATGGAAAAATTAATCCAAGAAAATATCACTTGTTTTATGTAGGTCAGCTTTTCTCAAACCTGAAGAAAGAATTCCCTTACTTTAAAATTAATAAAGACCCCAAAAAGCTTATTTTTGTGGGTTATAGCTATAAATAATTACCCTATTAGAAACTGAAATAAAAATTTTCTCAAAATTTTTACAGATTCATTTAAAAATAAGCCAATTTCATGTTAACACACACACATATATGTGTATATATATATACACACACATATATATACATATTAACAAAAAATAGATTTTCCAACACTAAAAATGTAATAGCATTATTTTATACCTTTACATATCTCTTTATAGTCTTGCTTAATAAAGACAGCTGGGTTCACATACCTGCCTCTGCACTCAGTCTGTTACCGTATGTTATTTTGGTTGAAGTACATGAAGAAAATCTGGCCTCACACAGACATGTCATGTGTTGAGAACCACTGATGTAAGTTAATTAGTCTTTTGATTTCAAGCATCTTTTTCACCGTAAGAAGCACAACAAAGGATATTCATGCTTAGTATTAACTTACGTTAAAAGCCCAGTTTCATGACATTTAGTTGAAACTGAACTACTCAAATTAATGACTAATCTTAGAACTTCTTTGCGAAGGAGTATACGGCACATTGGTGTATCATCTGGAATTGTTTTAACACCTGAAAAGAAGATTAAAATATTTTATCTATAGCATAATAGAATATGATTATGTTATGGAACTTGTTGTTAAATTGACATAAAGATTTTTAAAGCTGAGACAAAGTGCACATGCTCTGCTGATCATTTGGGAACCAAATTCTCTCTAATGAAAGCAGACACTAAGATGGTACATGCAGGTGCTGATAAAAGTGTAATAGCTGGCTAAACATGCCTCACCAAAAGTGACGTCACAGCTCTGAGACAACTTTAATTAACACTGATTAGGAGCAACAACCACACTTAGGTTTAACAGTGCTTGGGTTTGAATCCAGAAACTTACCCAGCAGCAGTTCTGTGCTCTTGGTGCTGCTGGCTGAGCCTTCCTGAGACACTCCATCACTACAGCCAGAAATCCCCGAGAACTTAGAGGGAACCACTTCTAGGGGATTATGGATGCTCTGCTCACACCAATCAGAATATGGAATGTCTTGAAGGTCTGCAGGAAAAATTAGTTATTTCAGTGACAGCACTGCAATGGCTCGATGCCTATGTTTGCACTGCATGCCACGGAGATGGTCCTTGTAACTTCTGCCCAGTTTCCAACAATTATTTTTCGTGATGAAGATTTTCAAAATAAACTCAAGCTACTCAGATAATGAAATCTGCTAAATTCTGAAGACATTTATACATAAAATTGTATTTTCCTAAATTATAAAAGTTTTAAAATATGTTTAAAAATTCAAGTAAAGATGTATGTAGAAAAGTGAAGATACCTTATTTATCCCTCTTCTATTCTTTCCACCCCAAAACTAAATATCCCTCTCTGTAGAAAAATATGGTTTAAAGTCCGTATATAATTTCAAGTCTTCTGCTATTATAAATTTATCTTTTTTGCTCTTTGAGTGTAAAGTTGGATTATACTATATCCATTATTCTATGACTTAAACTTTTTTCCCCATTTAATCATTACCAACATATGAATCTATTTCCCTGGCTTACCGTATTATTCCTTAGAATTAAATTTACTATACTACCCATGCACGGCAAAGGTACTCCGAGATGGGATTTTAAAGTAACCAAGTATCTTAGCATTACTAAAATAACATCAATTTTTTTAACTTAAAAACTTTCTGGGCACTTAAATGACTAGAGGAAGTGAGAATCAGAAGTCTTTGGTTATCCTTTTAAGGGAGCAGCACTGGGCAACCCGTGCAACCACACGCCTCAGCGCCATACAGAGCACTGGACTCAGCTAAAGCTTCTATCTCAGGGCAGAAGGTCCAGAGAGGAGACGCACAGGGCAGGACGGAGAGGCCTCTGGACAGCAGTGCAGTGTTCTTCCACCACGGCACACCGTCGGAGTAGAGAAAAAGGTGCACACACAAACTTTAATCCTCACCCAAGGACCTGTTTCCTGACTTTAAAGAGGGGGAGAGAGAGACAGAAACACTGACCTGAGCAGCATGGGGCTGCTTTTCCGTAAGCCCCCGGGCTGGGGTCCAACCCACAACCTAGGTACGTTGTGCCCTGACAAGAAATCGAACCTGCAACCTTTTGGTGTACAGGATGACACTCCAACCACCTGGGCCAGCTGCCCAGGGCAAAAAGTGTATTTTTTACAGTCCAGGAAACTAGACCAGTGTTAATACGCACTACCTCTCCTATGTTGTTTTCCACAGAACAAAAACATCACCACCTCATCTCACCTAATCGCCTCCTAAGATTACTCATTATGTGATACTAAACATAAAGTACTTGGGTTCACTGGAAAATATCTATAAATTTAGCATAGTTTTACAATTCCAGTTATTAAGAAAATCATGTGTCTGTCAGTTAATGAAAAGTAAAACATGCTAAATTATGCATTGATTTGAAAAATAAACCTATTGCCAAAAGATCTGAGAACTGAGATATACTTAAAAACCAGTACCTCTGAATAACCAGGCAAGAGATGAATGTATCTTAGACTCAGCTGATGAGCCACCCAGGGAGGAAAATGAGAAAATGTTCCAGCACAAGTAACAGTAAGGAACTTGTACTTTCTTCTATGGATTTGTTTCTAAAAAGTTGTAAACTAACTTATTTAAGCTTCACTTTAAACCAATAACAACTGCTAATATTTCTTACTTGTTAGAATTGCATTCTATTTCTAAAGATGTCATTTATTCTAATTAAAAAATCATTTCTCTAGATAAGTCAGGTTCTAATACAGTAATCAGTTCATTCCTTTTTGAAAATGAGAAACAGCATTTTAAGTAAAATAATAACAAAAGGCATTTCTTATGTAGGATACATTTTTGCAAAAGTGAAACACATTAAGTCATATGAACTTTTTAAATGACATAATTAAGTGTTACATGGAAACTTCAGAGAACATGTGGGAAAAATGTGGACACTATTTATAAACTGGCAGGAGGAGAAGGAAAAACTCTGGGAAGCGGATAAAGGAACCCAGCTAGCTGACCCACTGTTTCTCTTGCATGGAAGATAATTTACTATCTGAGCCCCCTGAAGGTAAAACCACATATGCTCAGTTAATGCCATTCACCTTTAAGGACCTTTATTTTCCATCTTTTCTTAAGAAGCATTCAGTGCAATGAACCTTACACATACCTTTACTCAAGACATTTCAAGATTATTTTTAATGTGGATGAAACACTGTGTCCATAAACTGAATCATTTTATCTACATGATTGATGTTTAGCTTCTTAACTATAGTGGTTTGCTTTTATTGTTCCCTCTATTTTTAATTAATAATATTCTAGTTTAGCTTTATCTTTTAATTAAAAATGCAGTCATGAAGTGTGTGGCAAAAAATAAAAAGCTCTAAGCAAAAATAATATGAATCTATATGGTTAATTCAGAAAAAAAATCATAAGCTTGTTTTTTCCTACCAGAAAGTAGTAAATCCCAAATAGCTTATGGGAAATGCAGGAATACTTATTTAATAAAAAATTCAAAATTTCTGTGAGGAGCTCTACCTCTAAAAATATACCCACCTGGCAACCAATTCTCTCGGGCATCAGCAGATGTAAAAGAAAGTGAGCAACATTTTCCTTAGAAGCACATTAAGACTGAACCCTCAGCATTTCTGAGGGTATTATTTCTTTTCTTTTTTTTTTTTTTTAAGATATAAGGTGTTTTTATTAACTGCCATTTCTAATTAGATGGAGACATGCATATATGTTTTTTTTTTTTCCCAACCCCCCCTCCGCCCCGTCTCCCCACCTCCCTCCCATCTCCCCCCTCCCACAGACCTCATCCCTGTGTCTGAGGGTATTATTTCTAACATAAACAACTGAAGAGCCTAAGGCTTCTAGACACCAAAGCCCACTGTGCTGCCATGTCCACAGCAGGGGTCTGCAGTGTTTCCGGAAGCCCTAGCGCTTCCTGCCCCTCCCCCCACCCCTTGTCACTTGGGCCAGGCCAGACCGACAGGGATCCAGCTCATCATTTCCCTTCCTCCATCATCTGCACACCACTGGTCTTTTGTCAAGACTTTGATGGAAACATGAGTTCGCAACTGAAATCATTTTGAAAACCAACACTGCGTATTTATAAGGTCTCCTTCTCCCCAGTGTAGTTTCTACCTACTCCTTACAAATGGTCCATTTAATAAGCTGGACATTCAAACTCATCTTGCTGTTGTCTCTTAGAGTTGGCTCATTGTTTCTAATGCTTTCACTTTCACAGATGGCCTGGTCCAATATATGAGGGTTTCCCCCGCTTAGACACAAGGGCAAATGTGGTGATATATATAAAGTAGACCCAACAAAAACATAATACTGAATGTTCAAAGGCTGGCACTGCCTTGCACAGTAGAACCATGCAATGCATACACATCTGTGAAGGTGGAAGACAGAATAAAACATTACTAAGTACCACGGTGGAAGACAGAATAAGACATTACTAAGTACCACGGTCTAGTAGCCTTTCCTCGAGCTTCGGCATTTTTTGAATGACTGCCATCACTATCGCCACTGGGCTGAATGTTTTAGAGAATGAAATGTCTTATGTTCAGATCTTGACATCCCTTTAAAACGATCATTAAATAGTAGGGCTATTCTTTAAACTTTTATTATTTATTTATTTTTATTCTCCCACAACCAGTTAGCCCCCCACACCCTAGTGGGACTATTTTTTTGTCCTGCCGTGGATAAGGACATCATCTTCCCCACACACAAAACCCTTACTATGGCCTACAGCAGTGCTTCTCTGACGTTACTGTGTGCATGAGCCGTGCCAACAGTCTTGTTAAAGTGTGGATTCTGACTCTGCGTGTGGGTGGAGCTTGAGATTCTGCATTTCTAACAAGATCTTGGGTGATGCTAATACTGATGCTATGCTGTTGGTTCACTGACCACACTTTGGGTAGCAAGGGCTCTGCAGGGCCCATTTTCTACCTGTCTTTCTAGGCTGCTCTTGCACCTCCTTCTCTCCCTTGCTTTCTGAGTTCAATCCACACAAGTGTCAGTTTAGTTCCTTCTAGTACCGGTATCACTGTCATCAGAGAAGATGTTTGCTCAGGCTTTTCCCTGTCTTTTAAAATTCTCTCTACTCCAGCCTTCTCTAGTTAGCTTCTATTCATTAGTTACACCACAACTCAGTATTAACTTCTTCAGAAGTTTCTTCTTTGACCTATTTTGCTATATTCCTTTGCTAATACTTGTACCTACCCCAGACGGCACTTTTTACAAATGCAGAACTACATCTGCACAACTAACTCATTTGACAGATGGAAGAACCAATCACTTTCCCCACTGAACTAAAGCTCAAAGAGTACAAGAATAATGTCTTTACTTTTTTCTCTCCCAGTTGCGTTCCTGGCATCTAGTTTAACAGCTGACCCAGGGTAGTGGTGTGATGAACATTATGTCGAAAGCACGAATGAGTAAAAGTTCAGTGACTTTTTCATGATTAGCCTCCTTCCCTTCACACCCCTGAGATGGCTTCTGGCAGTAAACCGCAGTCCTTTCCCCATTAAGGCTCATCCCCCCCTCAAACACTTCACATCACTGGAACAGCAATCCATGGGCGCTGTGGAGAACGGAGAGACTCTGACTGCAGCAGGTTTTCCACAAGCCCCACATGCCATGATGCTGCGGAATGACTCTCCCAGCTACGCAGCTACAGACTATAGATGGACTAGTACTAGCTGTGACTGTGACTGGGTACACAGGGGCTGGTTTCCCTATTTCTTATTGGATAAATAAGTAGGAAGTATAGCAAAAATCCACAGTAAGTGCTTCGTAAGTACTACGGAATGAGTGATGAGAAGAGCAGAACCTGCAGAAGTGAAAACACTACAAATGATGTATGTACACCGCCAAGCGGTATACACCAGCATCTCCTCTACTGCACGCCACACTTCCGAACAACGCTGCTCAAACCTGTTCACTCACAGGGCTGTTCACAGTGGGAAGTGCCTCATCCAGGGGTTTGAAAAACTCAGGCCCTATTGGGGCCTGGAACCACGGAGGGCATGAATATCCCAGCACACCCCGATCCCTTCTGCAGCACATCAGCGTGCTGTAACCCATCAGCTGGGAAGCTCTGAATCAAAACACCAAGGAGGAAATAGGGAGGGTGGTCCAGAGGACTTGGGTCATCACTGTTTTTTTCTGAGGGTAGCTAAGTGATATCCACCAAGAAAAGGTATCTATGGTAATGTTTTAAACACCTATATACTAATGTGAAATTGCTAATATATGTCACTTGTTGAATCATATCAAAAAGCTAACTCTAGGTCTGCCTTATTTACTCCCTCACCAAAAACATACTGAGTGCCTACTATACACTATACAAAGTGCCTATACTGAGTGCCTACTATACAAAGCAGTTTGTAGTTAAGTATCAGCACTATAAAACTTAAAGAGATATAGTATCAGGCCATACTCTGAAGTGCAAGGGAAAAAAGAATCAAGCAGTAATTATCAAAAGTGATCTATGTACAAGGGCAGTGAGAGTGGAGAGGAAGAAATGTCGACCTGTGATCAGATAAAACCCCTCTGACATTTAGAACGGGGCAGACTTGCTAAACAGACAGTGTACTTGTGTGTGAACTGCCGTGTGTGTAAGGGAGGGGGAACGAGAAGAAACAGCAGGGAAAACACATATGCTGTGCCTAGAATCATGAAAAAGAACACAATTTGTTCAAAAACTTCAAGTCAATCAGTAACGGTACGTAAACTATGAGAGAGGAGAATGGTAAAAAAGACACCAGACAGATCACACACAGGTCTTGGGTGCTGGGCGTGAACAGATGGTAAAGAACTGTCAGGGAACTAATTCCAAGCAACAGCATGAAAGTAAACTGGAAGGAGCCAAACTGGAGACTGAAACACCATCACTCCAACAGGGAGATTCTAAGGTCATGAGAATGGAGTAAGAGGGATGACCGACAAATTCAAGTTAATTCAGGTGGGTTCATCCAGAAGGACACAATCACTCACCTGAATGACTACATATTGCACTTAGTTGGTTACTGGGCTGAAAACCCAGAATCTGAATACAGACACAATAAAGGCAGTTATCATCTGTGTGCTCCTGTAGTCCAGTGTCTTCTGTACTTTCTAAAAACAGAGAAGCGTCTGAATGGACTGAATTCATTATTTCCGTAAGACTCATCTGCTGTCGTAGCAAGTGAAAGGAATTTTTTACAAGACCTCCAGTTCCAGATGGAAGACCTGAATGTGAGTAAATATAAAACAATCTGATAAAGAAAATACCAATGACACTTCTTTCAAGGTGCCTTAAACTACTTGAAATTTTAAAGGAGGGAAGCTAGGGAAACCAGAACTCTTTTTTTATTGCTCAAAATGTAACCTTAACTGGGAAGAGAAAATAGTAATTTGCTTTAATTAGGAAAGTAATATAGTCAACAGATATTTAATATGAGGTTTTAGATTCAAAATGGAAAACTGTACAGTTAAGGCATCATTTCAATTATCTTCAGTATTTGTATAAAGAGAAGTAATAATTCTGAGTCTAAAGAAGTACTTATTTAAAAACAGTACTCAAGATCATAAAACTTTAAGCCTGTGGTTGAGATGCATATAGTCACTAAAATATTACAGTTGATAACAAAGAGAGTTCGTGTAATATGTAAGTACATTTTTACTTTCTCCTTTGCCCAAATGAATATTTCTTAGACCTATGAGGATTAGTGTCACAGATTTTTCATGTACTATTTTTTAAAAACACAAGTAACTGACCTAGTTTTTGTCTTCTTAGAGGATGGGTATTTAGTTGAAGAAACACTTTGTCTCTCTCTCTCTCTCTCTCTTACACACACACACACATTTGTGGTTTAATTTTAAATAAACTCAAATGATTATTTTGGTATAATTTTAAAGATGGTCCAAATGTAAGTATCCCTGTCTTTGTAGTATCATCCTACTGAAAAGAACATTCTTTTCAGTTTTAACTTTTTTTAATATAAAGAGAAGTCTGAGAACAAAACCACACATTACCTCCCACATCATGAGCAAACACTCTTGGACCTCGATCATCAGGTGGAGGTATATTTTTAGTCTGAAAATAGGGAATATCCTTTACCTGAAACAGATATAAATCATGGTAAATCCTGCTATAAAAATAAGTTCACTTTATGAATTATTAGCAAAATCAAATGAAATGCAACTTAAATAGAATTATTACAGCACATGAACCTATAACAAAAAATTTACTGAAGGTTAAATTACCAAAATTTGACAAAATAACAAATAATTCTTAAATCCTTATCTATTCTTGGTGGTTTAAATGGAAAGTAATTATTTTAGAATTATCCAAAATGTCTTTAAACCTTAGAGGAAATGTGTACTCTCTAGTACTGTGTACCATCTGGGGATTTGGGAGTGTCCTGCATGAGATAAATAGGACCAAGGGTTAAAAAAATGAGGGATACAATGCACATCTCAGACTTACACAATGCTACATATGTCAATTATTTTTCAATTTCAAAAAACCCAATAAGAAGTCAAATATGACTAAAAAGCAAGGTTAGGAATTCACTTAATTTCTATAGAGATGTACTGATAAAGAAATCTAACAAGATGCTCATTAACAATTAAGGCATCAGAAGGGAAGATAATGTTCTGTGGACTTGGAGACACTAAATAATAACATGTACCAGTTGAGAAAGGTAAAATAACTTCCATAAAATTTCTTTAAACAAAACTGCCTTTAAAATCACTTCCTCCAAATTAGTATTCACTCTATATTTTCTAGCAAGCAGTTACAGAACATGAAAAACCAGGAATCCAACTGGTAAGAAAACGACGGGATTAATGATACCTGGAATATATCGTTGATGTCTACTGGAAGAGCAAGACCAATATAGTCATCTGAGCTCCCGTATGTTGCACTGGACACCATAGACCTCACTGAGGAGGATCGCTGCAGGGTATTCTGATTAATAGGACTTAATAAATCTTCTTTATCTAACGAAGCATAACTTAAAGCTTTCATGAACCTATAACACCATAAAAAATCACTTGCATTAGTTTCTTGATTTGTAATATGTATTAATTACATATAGAAATTTTATTTTCATATCATAAAAGATAAACAGCTAGTGTCTAGCCAAGTATTAAACAGTGTCTTCTTACTAACTGAGAACATATAAACACTTGGATATATTCAGCTGCTATAGACTGATATACAAAAGGTCATCATTAATGTTGACTGTTACCAAAAACAACTGTACGGGTCACCCATATAAAACTTTTTATTATTTTTATGAAAAATGAGAAGAATTACTTATTCTCTGAATGGTTAATTACTTCAATGCTTCATCAACATTAGATTCACGTAATACAGAAGACAGATAACAAAATACAAAAATGGTATCATTTGTAATTACAAGGTAGTCTCACATGAAATACTGGTATTTCCTCTATGTACTCCTTACTAGTGATTCTCTAACAAATATGGCCTACTGGTATAAGATACACCTTTCTCAGACAGATTCTTGTTTATGCAATAGACATACTAAAATATTTACTAGACATCTGCTTTTAAGAGAATATACAAGGAACTACTCAAGGTTCCACAGTATATGCATATTGATATTTGGAAGCCCAAGTCATTTAAAGTGTAATAATGTAGCCTACTATTGAAGCAAAGAATTATTTGTGAAGCACATGAAATAAATGCTTCATAAACAATTACTATTAAGATTATCATAGCAAACACCACTCTTAATTTCTACTAATATCCACCTAAAAACACTAATAAATGAACTTTATGAATTTCAAAAAATAAGTTGGTGGTTTTTAAACTGTACTGTTACACCTCTCTCACTCCATAAAACTCAAGGTCTACTGGAGTGGACAGAAGGAATTATCAGGCTACTTGCCTCTTCAATCTACTCCAATCAGAGTAGCTCTATCTTTATCTATTCCACATACTATTGTATTTCCACAGAAATGTTTTTGTGAAGAATTTCTCTACTTGAAAAGCAACACTTAAAAAGCTTAAAACTTCTAGCCCTGGCTGGTGTAGCTCAGTGGATTGAGCACGGGCCTGTGAACCAAAAGATTTCGGTTCGATTCCCAGCCAGGGCACATGCCTGGGTTGCAGACCAGTTCCCTGCAGGCCAATTCCCAGCAGGGGACGCATGAAAGGCAACCATACATTGATGTTTCTCTCCCTCTCTCCTTCCCTTCCCCTCTAAAGATATATAAATAAAATCTTAAAAAAAAAAAGTAAAAAAAAAAAAGCTTAAAACTTCTGACCTAGTCCAGTCTCTGCTAGAAGAGGCACATGAAGTATAGATATTTATTATATAGATTTATAATGGGGAACAACTGAGAGGTTTGTCTGGCTTTGTTCTAGATTGCTGAGGTTTGCAAAGCTGTTGAATTCCAGGAATATGAGACATTACAGCATAATTTAGAACTTTGTCCAAGTTCCTTCACATACTGCCAGGATCAGAACTCAGGATTAAGGATTCCTACACTTCACTGTTTTTTTCTGCTATGCACCAAGGTACTCTCTCAGTGAGATAAGGCTTTTAGGGTTGTTGGATTCATTCCATCCATAACACCACAGGTATCAGCATGCCAACTCTTCTAATGTTATAAGAAAATGAACAAACAAAAAATCTTCTCAGCCCGGATTCAAAACCATTATTTAAAGCAAACTTGTAGTTATCATCCACTGTTTTATTTTCTCTGAACTAACCCGAGAACAGGAATAGAAAGACTAATGCCAGCACAGTTTCTTCCCCCATGGAACCCGGTGCAAAGTAAGAATCTGAAGAATGAGTGAAAGAGACTCCATGAACACGAAGTTCTGTTACGGTCTCACACCTCTGTACAAGCTGTTCCTTTTTCTCTTGACTGCTTTTTCTTATTTTTATTTTTTCTCTCCCAAGAAACTAAAAACACTTATCCACTCTTTATAACACCAGTGATATGGCATTTTACTCTAGGAATTTTCTGAATCTTCTTCTATTCTAACAGAGAATAGGGGAACTAAGATCCTAAAAACTCAGACTGGTTAGAGAATAAACAACTTGGGGTTAATGTCTTTGTAATTTATTCCTATGACTATTTAAGCACTAAAACTTTTTATCTGCGCTTTAATCAACGTGGACAAAAATGCCTGCTTCAGTGAGAGACAATGAACTTCACTGGAAAGTCTGGAATAAACAGCATGCTTGCCACTGTACTGCGCTGTAAGGCGGTGGCACTCTTACTTATTGAATTCCGTGTACTGCGTTCCTCAGTGCCCTGACTGAATGCTACCACCAGGCTGCTGTGGTCTTTCAGTTCTCAAATGCTTTTTTGTAGTACTCAAGTTTCCTCCTCTGCTACCAATTGATCAGCTGCCCCTTTGCTGTTACAGTGTGCCCACAGGAGAAACTTCTAATTGTTGCTTCTATGGGCCTGCAAACTAGTACCTAAACTGTTAGAATAAATGTTAATAACAAACTTTGAATTAAGTCAGAGGTACCTCCTTTGAATAAAATTCATGAACTTCACTGCACAGACTTATATTGGTGAGCTGATGAGAGGTTTGTCTGGCTTTGTTCTGAATTGATGAGGCTGCCAAAACTAGTGTGTTCCAGGTAGATGAGACATTATCGCATAATTTATAAAGTTATACAAAAGAGACATAATTATCTGCTACCAGGAACCCCATCTACTAAATATATTACCAATATTAAACAAAAGTTCTTAATGTGATTAAGATTTTGGTTATATAAGAGCCAAATGAATTACATTAAGAAAACATTACCAATCATGATGATGATGATGGTAATAATAGCTGACTTTTAGTGAATGCTTAATACATGCCAGGCATTATTCTTGATACTTGACAAGGAGTGAATACATATAAATGAACAATCTCAAAGTAAAAACATTTTTAGAACTATTTGGCCCAACAAGAAACAACAAAAATAGGTAAAGAAATTTTTGCAGCAAATACAACATTGCATATCTAAATAGTTTACTTTGACTAGTCTGCTACAATCCTTAGATATGACATAGAAATTCCCTAAATCAATGTTCCCCAACCTTTTTGGCCTCAGGGACCATTTTTTCCATGGCAGGCAGGGCAGGGGACACGAGGTGGAGCTCAGGCAAGGAGCTTCCCTTGCAGTTGGGTTCCTAACAGGTCCCAGCCTGGGGGCTGGGGACCTGGGCCCTAACAGTTCATGAGCACAGGCCCATCTCAGTATTGTTGAATCCTGAGGGCCAAGTAATTCATTTAATGTTCATTAGATTACTACTTAATAATAATGGCTACTTAAACTAAAAAAAATTTCACTGAAATTTACAGTTATTTTTTTTTAAAGAAGGTCAACTCTTGGAGCCTTAAATTGACCTACCTGAAAAGGTTGTTTGTTATTGTAGGTCTTAAGCTCCTGATTCCCCCGACATGCTTCCTTTTAAAATCAATCCTTGCAGAAGCGAGAAATAAATAAAAAAAAGCTTGTGACTCATCTGTCCTCGCAAAGCATATATGTTTACTCTCAGGGCCTAAAGGAGTTTCTTTTCCCCCCTCGCAGCTGCAAGAATCCATTTCAAATCATATCGGGTAACTAGGAGCTTATAGCCTACTATAGTAAACAATAGGTCAGTTCAGAGGCTTCTATGTAGATGTAAGACCTGGCTATCTATGCTTTACATTCAAGTCTGTTAAAATACAAACACTGTTGTTCAGTTTTAAATGTACATTTACTCACCTGCTTGGTGTTAACCTGGACTCGAAGCTGTTGGCCTTCATGGTGATGGTATCAGTAAAGAGCACATCCTTTGCTGGAGATGCCAAAGCTTCGGAATGAGATAGAGATGGATGCATTCTTTGTTGCTGTAACCTTTTCAGTGTAGCATAGCCAAAGGCATCTCTAGAACTTGTGTAACTAAAGTTACAATCTGCTAGACTTTTAATTGTAGCGATAGAGGGTGCTTTAAGGGACTGTGCTCTTCTAGGAAGTGTATGAGAAGAACCCGGAGGCACAAGGGACACTGAGTTCGACTTGGAGAGAGAAAGATGGTTAGACTGTGGTGTCAAGTAGTGGCTGGTCTTAACAGTTTTAGTACTTACCACAGTACTCATACTTCCACAGTCTGTGTCCACAGTCGTAGCATCTACTCCTACTGTCTCTCGGGAAGGACTTGAGCTCATTGAACTTATCCCACTTGTTGTAGTGTCTGTGTTAAAACTTTGGCTACGTATCTTCATATGTGAACTCGTTGAACTTTCCACAACTAACCTTTCCCGGCTCGTGTTTTCTCTGTGATTCTCTGAACCAAGACTCTTGGTAAATTTTAAGTCGTTCTCCCCAATACTTGGAGTACTACCAGTGTCTTCAATGTGCCTATGCCCAACAAATGAAGTTTCTAATTGTAATGATTTCTGTACTGCGGGTGTGAAATCATCACTATGATTAAAGTCAACACTGGGCTCCGTAAGTGTTCTGACCCGCCTGTTGCTTGTCTTATTTTCAGATGACATTTTCCCTCCTTTTGGGTCACTGCTACTACGATGTTTTTTGTTAGGCAATGTAAGTGAATTTAAGATACGATTCTTCACAAGTTTGCTAGAAGCAAAGAAAGGGAATGAATTTTTATCCTTTACAGGTCCCGGCCGATCATAAAAGGCTGGCTCTGCATCTTCACTGATGTCCAGGAAAAACGTGCTTGTGGAGCTGCTGCCAAACCGGTCATCCTCCATTACGAACATACCTGTGACCAAAGGACTGATTAATAAAAACACACAAAAATGGCCAGCATGACCACGGTACTTAGCAGTGACACATTTCCAGAAATTTTTAAGTCATATTAAGTAAACACTGTCAAAAATGAAGGGGTAGGTTGGTGAGCCACAGAGAAAGAGCGTCCTTGACAGGGCTGCTCCAGATGTCATCCGCTGAAACGAGGTCACTGGAGAAGGGTGGCCCTCCATCCAGTATGACTGGTGTCTTTGTAAGAGGAGGGAACGCTGTGGGGACAGACACACAGGGCGAATGCTATGCGATAACAAGGCAGGGACTTGAGTGAGGCAGCTGCAAGCTAAGAATGCCAAGCACTGCCAGCTACCACCAGAAGCTAGGAAGAGGTAAGGAACGATTCTACCCAGAATTTCAGAGGGTCCGTGGCCCCGCTGACACCTTACTTTCAGACTTCCCACCTGCAGAACCACAAGCATTAACTTCTGTTTGAAGCCACTCAGTGTGTGGTACTCTGTTACACTGTCCCTAGGGAACTAATATACTCACCTGCCTCAACCCCCAAAAGAATTTTGTTCTTTCCACTGTTACAAAAACATTGTGCTCAATTAAAAAAATATTGTTGGGGGAAAAACAGAGCCTCCTTGAGGCCCAGAGTTTGGGCTTAAATAAAATGTAAAAGTATGTCATTATGAGGTTCTCCTGTTAGTTCCAAAAGAAAATTATAGGATTACCCCTGTTAGAGCCTACATGAAGTTTCTTTTCATTATTCCACTGTTTCTAAAACCTCCAGATATTCAGGATAATATTAAAGAGGAAAAAAAAAAGCACTTGACCATGGATGTTCACTTAATTGGTACAGATTCTTATGGTTTCTTCTTTAAATCACAATAGGCAGGAGAAATTAATCTTATAATAAATTCCCAGTCTTAAAACAAAATACACTTAGAAAGAACCAAGTCAAAACACTGTAAATTCACATTTGAACCAATTATGTTTATTTCTCATTTGCCTTAGGCACTAAGACACTCATCTAGGTTTAGTGCTTAACTCTTTAAAGACTCCAACCCACAGGCTTAATGACATCTGTAGGATTTTATTCTACTTCTATGTTTAACTATTCTATGGAACAATTATAAAATATTTCAAATATATTTTGAAAGGCAAAAATGAAATCATAAACTTGCATACTGCACTATATTTCCATATTCTGTTCATTCTGATCTCCATTTTTCACACTTAATTATCTCTAAATCAGGATTCATCTTGCAATCAGGCATATGTCCTACTTTAATAGGCAGCATTTTTCCCCCTTCTTTTTTAGAGATATTAAAATACTGGTACACCTCATAATTCATGGCATCTTAGATCTGGTGAAATATGGTTTGATAAATGTTGTACTATCATCTTTAAAAAAAGTCTTAGCTTTTATAAACATAACAACATTTAGCATAGGGCTTAAAATCACAAACCGCTTTTTAAAAAAATAATTTTATTTATTATTTTAGAATTGTATTTATTTTTCTTTAGAAGGGAAGGGAAGGAGAGATGAAGAGAAATATCAATGTATGGTTGCTTCTCATGCAACCCCTGCTGGGAACTGGCCTGCAACCCAGGAATGTGCCCTGACTGGGAATCGAACCGCAATCTTTTGGTTTGCAGGCCCGTGCTCAATCCACTGAGCTACACCAGCCAGTGCACAAACCACTTTTTATTTAATTGATTTTGGACATTCCATTGTTTAAGTTTCACAGTTCAATTTTAAAATTTAGCTCTTTTCTCAAAAATGAACATGTGAATCTTTTAATAAACATATTCTGAGTTAACAATCTGTGTATCTGAAAAATAAATTAAGAAGATAGGCAAATAAACATTTATTTGTTACATTATATGACAAGCAAAAATGGGCAATGGTTCTTCTGGAGTATGACTTATTATTTAACTCTGAAAGTAGGATTTTTCAAAGGCTACTTAGAAAGCAAAGGGAGAGAAGAATGCAGATTGTGGCTACATATTCTATTGTGAAAAACTATGCATTTTCCAAGAGGCTATTATTGCCAAGTCATCTTAGAAAAGGTCAGTGAGGAATATGACAGACAGCTGTAAATCCTGGTGACACGAAGACAAATGCGAACCCTGGCTGACCTCATGTGACTCGGCCACAATACTCACTCGATGGTGCAGACTCACTCTCACTGTTATGTCTGGAGCTGGTCGACTCCGAGTTCAAACTTAAGGTGCTTGGTATGGATGAGAGCTCATTGCAGAGTTGCTCCACATCATCCGGAACCACTGGCCACAGGTGTTTGCGACTGTGCCGTACAGCATCCCAGCTGTGACATTTTAGAATGTCACAGCCTTGTTTGGTTTTGGCTATGAGCCCAAGAACATAGACACAGGTCCTGAACATAGAAGATGTAGTAATGACCATTTAAAACTCCAAAATGAGATTTCTTAAAGCAATAAAAATACTAGTTTGCTGGTATGCACATGTGATTTTTCTTCAAAGCTATTAAAATTGTTAAGCTCATGGGAAAATGTATTAAAACAAGTTAGGGGTAAATCAGAAGTAATATGTAACATAAAAACTTTCCTAATAAAAATATTAATAATGAAATAATTTAAAAGAACATAATGCAATCTTAGAACAAAACATATATTGCCTATTTTTCTTAAGGAATAAATTTGGAATATTTAGGTAAACAGTATAGTTTATTTATTTGTAAGGTAAACTTCAATATTATAATGAGAAAAATAGAATGATAACCTTAAACAAGGACGTCCCTGACATGCCTAATTTAAAGAACTAACAATTCTAACAGAAGACTCTGAATCATGAAATACTCGCCCCTCACACTCTTCTGTGAAGCAACAGTATGTCATACACTAGAAAGACTTCTGAGTCAAGTGACGTACCCTCTGATGGAAAGAACTTCACACTGTTTTGCAAGTTTGAGTATATCTGGAATTACATTTTCTTCCTGCAGCAAATTGAGACCCCAATTTGAGGAGCCAATATTTCCCTGAAAGAAAAGAAATCACTTTTATCCAACCTCACACAATAATAACTCTTTCAAGAGAGTTGGAAAGCTAGCCAAAGAAGGATAATTTTAATCCCATCTATGAGAAAAACAAAATGTGAAATAAATCTTAAATAAGAAACTTTAGGAATTAATGTTCCATTTGCCTTAGTGAGAAAACTAATAGTTTACTCATCTATTTTCCAGCTTAAAAATAATATTTAGCTCCGGCTGGTGTGGCTTAGTGGAATGAAGCACCAGCCTGTAAACTGAAAGACTGCCAGTTCAATTGCCAGTCAGGGCATGTGCCAGGGTCAAGGGCCAGGCCCCCAATTGGGGGCCTGCAAGAGGCAATGGATCAGAAGGATGTGTCTCTCACACATCAGTGCTTCTTTCCCTCTCTTTCTCCCTCCCTTCCCCTCTCTCTAAATAAATGAATAAAGTCTTTAAAAAATAATATTTAGACAATCTTAGTCTCTAAATATTAATCTAGAACAAGTTCCAAATAAAATGATTTTTATTTATTTAACATTAATAGGAAAACTAGAAAAACCAAAAAATAACAAAGATCTTATAGAAATGTTTATTACAAACCAAGGCCCAAAGAGATGCTTTCAGTTTTTTAATTTCTTCCCATTTATCCAAATCTGGTGTACGAACATTGTGACAGAGTTCTGTAATAATATTCTGGAGAAAGAAAGAAAAAAAAATATGAGGAACAACTGTTTTTAATGTATTTCCTTATTATATCTTAGGACCTTATTTAATAAGGTCTGCCTTTAGTAAAGTTTGCATATTTAAAATTCTAAAATAATTTTATGTAAAATATCTTGACAAGCACCATCAACTCTTAGCTAATATTCTAGAATCAGCACTTACTGGCTGTGTGGCCTTAAGAAGTTACTTAATCTCCCTGTACCTTGATTTCCCAACCTCTAAAATGTGAAGAGTAAGAGCACCTGTCTCATGAGGTTTGGTTTAATGAGTCATTACATATGAAGTGCTAAAAAAATGTATTTAATACTTAGTATTATAGAAATTAGTCAAAATTAGCATTATTTATTTTAAATATAAAATAATATATTAATGCCAAGATTTCATCGTACTACATAAGTAAAGACACACTGAGCAAATCATTTTAAGTTTTAGCAAACTTTTAAAAAACTGGTATAAAGATATGTACCCCAGTAATCTTTGTAACATAATACAGAAATACAAGGATGGGCAAAAATAGATTTACAGTTGTAGTACAAATAAATAATACAATAATTAATAATAATAATAATAATAATGAAATCTGTGTTTCATGTACTCACAAATGTAAACCTACTTTTTCCCACCCCATATATGAAACTATAGAGTATATTTATACAAAACTTTTGTACTGAGAACACCCACATGAGGAGAAAGTAAATGGCTATATTACACACAGATACTTCTATCACTATTTCTAACAGAAGAAAAAGGTGGTATGTATTGAAAACACCTAGATGTAAGACATATTCACAGCCACAAACCTGGCATGCATACTAGACTTGAAGAACTGCTGGCTTAAGCCTTTACATTCCATGAAGTGTAAGAGAACAGTGAGACACTAACAAAGGGCAACTTATACTGTGCTTGTCACTAAAGATAACTGGATTTGTATCAATTATTCAGGTAAACTTCCCAATAAGAGGAATGAAGAAACTCAGCTTTAGTCATGTTTTTACTAAGGAGGTGAACTATCCCCAATACACCCTAAAGGAAAAAACTCAGATCTTCACTGGGTTACAGGCTTTATGTAACAAATAAGCTTTAAAAAGGTGACACATATATCCAGGAAATGCATGCAAGCTAGTAATACATCTAAGAACTACCCACAAAGACTGCCAAAGTCAATTACAAGATGGATGCTTTAAAAGCAATCTGTCACTGACCTTAAGGTTTTTGAGAAGTTTTCACAAAAATATACTTCAATAATATTAAGATTTTTTCCCTACTATTGTAGCTACTTAAAATAAGCAAATTATGTTTTTTACCTGTACTTCCAACAAATGGCAGCCTGTTTTGTGGTGTACCAGTTGTCCATAAAGGTGTACAGGCAGGTAGACATGAGGACGCTGTAATCTAGTATAATAAAGTTGATTGATATACCTATTGGCTCAGTTTAAATATGTCAATTAATACAATTACTAGTAACATAGTACTAGGTAAAGAGAATGATTAGATCTAATCCCCCAGCATAAACAAAAATATGAAAGTGGAAAGACATGAGGATTTCTCTAGAAAGATAGTAGTTTATCTGGTCTCAGAGTTACAGCAAGAGAGCTGAGACTAGTAATAGCAGGGAGAATATCTGAATGCCATGGCTGTAAGGGTATTCTCAGTATGCTATGAATGCCACTGAATTTTTTAGCAATCTACTCTGTCCTTTAGGAAGAGTTTTCCTTTTTCACTATAAGAAAGAGAATATCCAGGTATTCAGAAAACTTTAGAAGTAGCTTATTACAAACTGGTTTTAAATTTTTTATTTGAGGACCAGCAGTAAGTTATTCCATTAACTGGATGGTACCTTTGGTTACTCCGACGAACATAGTTGTCACCATCAATTGGCTTCCGATAAGTAGTAAGTGCTTCATTAAGTTGTTCCTCAATTAAGTCAACATATTTTAAATTATATTCCTAGAAGATAATAAATACTGTTTCAATTGTACATGGTACTATAAATTCACTAACTTTATGTTAGGTACCTAGCAAATCTTAGAGCATAAATAAATACAAGAAAAATATCTCGTATTTTTCTAAAATACAAATATCTGAATTTTCTAAATATCTGTTTAGGAAATTTATGAAATTTCTGAAAAGAGTAGTAGACAAGGTACTATGAGCGCAAATGTTCTAGCACACCCAAAATATTTCTGCTTATACTCCCCACCCTCACTTTCAATGGAGTCCACAGAAGTTAATATTATTTTGTTTTTCATTTTACTTGAATCCCTTTTCCCATTAAAAAAACCCCCTAGCTTCTTAATATTAAGCACTGAAGATACTCATAGGAAATTTTAGAAAGTAAATCAACTGAGTTCTGTCACTTGAGTACCTCTGGTAAGAAATACCATCTTTCCCCACTGATGTAAATCAGGTCAATGTAAAAAATGTTTCCAACCAAAACATAGAAAACATTTGGTCAACCACACTGCCATCTTCACTGCAAACGATCTTCACTTCAGAGTGCTCAGAAGAGATTGGTAGAGCCTCTTCAGAAAGCTGTTTGGCAGCATTTATCAAAACTTTACACTCATGTATGCTTTGACCCCACAATTATACTTTTAGAAATTTATCAGTAGACATACTTGAGAAATATGGAAAGATATATATGCAAGAATATCCAGCAAACACGGTTTATAAAATTAAAAAGTTGGAAACAATATAAATACCCATCAATACAAGAGTACCTATAAAAATTAAGGTACATTCATACAATAACATACTGTGTAGGCATTAAAGAGAATGAGATGATCTAAATTTCCATAGAATATACACAAACTCATAGTTCACTATCAAATAACTGTAGTTTAAGAAAGAATAAATATAAATACAATTATGCAGAATTTAAGACTTCATATAAAATTTAAATATTTAACACCTGTAGTTTCAAAATATCGACAAATAAATCCTCCAAATTCACAAATCTCTCTCTCAAGATAATGTACAAATTTAACATTGTTCAACAGAAAGTTACCTTGTGCCACTTTTCCAATTGTTTTGCTACATAACCCCTCTCATTCAAATAGGTAAACCCTTTTGGAATGGAGAGAAATCTAAAAATAAAAACAATTAACAGTTTAACATTGGGAATGACAAAAAAATGTTAAATACTAACATATCTCAAATGAAAAACAAGTTTAAGGAGTGAAAAGACTTTAGGAATAGCTCCTTCCTAAAACAAAAAAGTCAACTATTATTTATCGTAACTTCAATTACAAATACATTTTCACAATCTTTCCAAAAAACACTTGAATCCAATCACAGTCAAGCAAACGCCCACAGAAATATACAGGAAACACTGAGTGTTCACAGGGTCCAAGGTTCTAACGTAGACCTCTTTCAGAACTTCACAGCTAAACTCCTGCGGGTGCTTCTTTTTCATACTGGAATCCAGCTTGACCATATGCTATAGAGACAGCACAATAGAAAACATAACCATAAAAAAAATTCCTGAAAATTTACCTCAGAAGGAGAAGCAAACCTTTGTCCCCAAGGTGGGATAAAGCTGGCTTCATTTGAATAAGAGCATGAAGATTGGCCTAAAATAAATAATTATTAGGTAAATTGACAATTGCACAAGGATAGTAAATTCTCTATTTTCAAAATTCCCATAACATGCACATTATAATTTCATACGGTTTTGTTAGAACTGAACACATAGTAACAACTGGTGCATGCACACTCTGTTAGAGAATTATGAACCCTCACCTTGTCTTCACATGCTTCATCGAGGACATCAAGAGCTTCAGAAGAGATTGTTTTGTTTTTATCATGTAGCTGGGTAACTAGTAATTCAATTCCCCAGTTATTGAAGAATTCAACATTGGCTCTCAATAATACTCTTAAGTGTTTTGTTGCATACAACCTGCAGGCCTATAAAGACAAATGAACATGTTTTAAAAAACCCCCCACAAACTTCATCAGCAATAGCCATTTTACTTTGTTTTGGGATAGTTTCACTACTTGAAAAGGGAGAAAAATTGGAATTGATAATGTAGCCCTTTATATAATACTTTTTTACTGATAGTAAAGTAAAATAAAATACTTCTGTTTCTATCTAGCTGTTTCTTCCCCTTTATATAAAAATATGAATTCTATATGGAGTTCTTTCGAGGAACTAAAATTTTACAGTAAGCTCGAAATCCATCCCATATTCTTATAATTTACAGTTAATTTTACTTGGCTGAAATCTATAAAATAAGGAATTACCCGGTTATAAAAAATACAGTATTATTACTGTTACACTCACATCAGTGGCTGCGGTGAGGACTTTGGAGAGGATGACTCTGGCCAACCCATCTCTGCTGTAGTCCAAGCTAGAAACAGTCAGTTTTAGCAGGTGATCTTGGTTTTTCAAGGAGCAAAGGTTAAGGAGACTAAAAAATCAGAAAGAAAATAATGAAGATTATTAGAAATTATTATATCAATGTGTTAATTCGCTAAATATTTTTAAATTCCTAATATAAAAAGGCATTTCTAAAAGAAAGCACTTAATGACGAAAATGGAAGCACCACTGCTGTCGGTGTCCACGAGCTCTTTCTCTTTTCTCTTCGTTTGCTGGATCCCTGCTTTCTCCCAAACGCCCCTCCAGAGCTGTCGGCCTGCTTTCTATCTAGGAGTCTCTTTCCGTTTGGCTTGTAGTTCGGCTCATTCATTAGATTCCACATATAAGTGAAATCATATGGCACCCGACTTTCTCTGGTTAATGTTCTCAGGGTCCAGCCATGTTGTTGCAAAAGACTCATGGACACGGAAAACAGTCTGGTGACTGCAGGGGGAAGGGGGAGGTACAAGAAAGTACAGGGAGGACAAATGGTACTGGAAAAATACAGAAAGAGGACTCATGGACATGGACAACAGTGTGGTGACTGTGGGAGGGCACAAGGGGGCTAAACGGTGATGGAAAAAATACAATAAAAAAAACCCCAAAACAAATAATGTAAAAGTAAATAAAATAAATAAATTGAATAAATACCCGATACTGACGCTAAAACTTTGGTTAAACACCCAAAATAATGTTTTTCACTAAGCCAGTCATTTTCTTTGATAATTACCACTTATTTGTTAACAGTCGTGTCCGTTATTAAATTACCTCTTTCGTTAAAAAACAAAACAATCCAGGGGTGCTCACCATTGAAATACACTGCATTTTTCCAGCATTTTGACTCCATGAGGGTGGCAAGAAAGTGTTCCAATAAATAAAAAGTAGTGCTGACTAAGAGTAGTCAATAAACCATTATTCTGAAGACTTCTTTCAGGTTTCATTCCAGATGAGGCATTGAGCCACTGAACAATATCCTTTACTAGATCCTCTAAGTATCCCTGCCCATCCTAAAAGCAAATACATTGCAATAGTATTAGAAAAGCACTCAGTACCTATAATCAGAAAAATTAACCTTAATCAAGTCCACAAAATGTAATAATGATGAAGTTACTAATGACAGATTCTGAGTCACTGAGCACCTGCTGTTTTCAGTCCCAGCAGACTCAATGCTGCATGGAGATGGCATTATTTTCCATTCAATAAGAAGAAAACCAGGTGTTCCAGAAGGCAAATTACTTGTCCAAAGTCGCAAAAGTAGCGGGATTCAAATCTAGGGTCTGCTCATTCCCTATGTTCCTAAACATAGTTTATGCATATTCAGAAATAAAAGGGAGAAAATTTAATGAAAAAGATTTGCTCTGGAAAATATTCAAAGTGCTTATTACCTCTTCAGACTCAAGAAGAAATTCAGTAAAGTGGCAGCCCACAACTGTCAGCTGCTTCGACTTGGCAAAATCCAGGTCCAGATTGGCATATAATTTACTGCTGGGCTTGTAAAAATAAAGCAGTCTTCGTACAAACCTAAGATCAAAATAAAATTAGAAGCCGATTACTTTAGAATCTTAACCATACTTGAAGGAATAATAGAATTTTGAATGTTTTAGGTCTAAACCACTGAGGTAAATGGCAAGAAATTTAACACACACACAAACAGAAAACAAAACAAAAATCCCCTCAAACCTCTTCATTTTAAAGAATATCTGTATAAAATAAGAATTTTACAGTGAGATGCCTGAAATAAATAGTGGAGAACAAAGGCACTAGCGGGAAAAATGCAGATATGAGATAGCTAGAGGATAAGGTTGGATAAATACAAGAAAGTCATCTGGATCATAAATTTTCTTCTATTATATTTTGTAAAAAACTTTGTATCACGACTCCATAAAACAATCTTATTCTAGATAATTGTAAGCATGTTATCACACTGTAACTGTCTTTTTTTCATAATTAGTCAAAAAAGCCAAGTATAAAAACTGCTGGTAAATTTTTGACAACTGAATTTATGAAGCAATGAACATAATTTGTGATATTTCAATGTTCTAGTTTTCAATACTATATTCTAAGCTTCCATTTAATTTAGTTCAACTTAGTTTCATTCACTATAATCCCATCTAATAAAGGTGCCGGTGAGAGAGAAGCTGGAGAAACATGGGCGAAGGAGACACTGTCTCTGCTCTCAGAGAGTGTACAAGTTAGTGCTGTGCTTCTTTAGTCCAGTGTAATTTATGTGATCTGTATATTTCTCTAATCTCAATACAGATATTAAATAAAATATCATGAGTCAATAAATACAATCAAAACCATGAAGTAGCCCTGGCTGGTGTGGCCGAGTGGACTGAGCCCTGGCCTGTGAACCAAAGGGTCATGGGTTCGATTCCCAACCAGGGCACATGCCTGGGTTGTGGCCAGGTCCCCAGGAGGGGGCGTGTGAGAGGCAACCACACACTGTTGTTTCTCTCCCTCTCTTTCTCCCTCCCTTCCTCTCAAATTAAATAAATAAAATCTTAAAAAAATAAAAAACACAAAAATCATGAAGTAAAGGCCCTCTTTACTTCTCTAAGGAGTTCAGTACTGGTGGTTGGTTACCTAACTCAGATGCAGTAAAATGCATAAAAGCTTGAAGTACTATATTTGCTATGAATATTAGCATGTTTTGTGGAAAGTGTGGAGCATTAACTTGATTAAGGGAAGTATAAAGAGGAGGAAGAATGGCTAATCCTTCCAAATCAGATGCAAATGAAAGTAGAAGTAGATTACTAATAATGGCGAACATTTGGGGAGGGAAACATTACGTCCTTACTATGCCATCCTCATACATTAGCGTAAGATTACTACAGGGTTGATATTACCCAATGAGAGAAACTTTTATCTCAGGTACTTCATTTGTCCCCAAACTAAGTAACTAGAAAGAGAATTAACTGATACTTTCTGGTTATAAAATAAGACTACACATAAAATTGTATAAAAAGATAGTCTCAGACTAACAATTTTTCAACTTCACAATGGTGCCTGTACTTTAAATTTTGAACTGTAAACTTTCCCAGGCTGCAGATATGCAGTACAATACTCTCCTGTGATGCTGGGGGTGGAAGCAAGCACAGCTCGCAGGCAGGTATGTGGTCACCGGGGTGAACAGCTGCCACTCCACAGTACGGTGCTGCCCGAGTTTCTGTATATTGTGCGAGCATGTCTGAGGTAGGCTAAGGTCTGATGTTCAGTAATTTAGGTACATGAAATGAATTTTCATCTTTCAACTTATGACTTTATGGGTTTACAGGGATGTAACCCCACCACAAGTTGAGGCACATCTGTATTTATGTGTAGAATACCAACTATTACAATGTATGTATCTTTAAAGCCCTGATTATTAACATATTAGGTATAATTCAAAGCTACGTCTTTACATTTAAAAAGCAAAATAGTCCTTACATACCTGTGTAACTGTTCATCTTTATAGTTCCTCAGATTTACATTTGGCCACTAGAAAAACATAATATTTATATTATAAATGTATTTATCAATGTCAAACAAAACTATGATGAATTAAAATGAATAATAAAATGAAGACAATCAAGTCATTACCAAGAAGCACCTTGTCATACCTTAAGAATGGTCCCTATAAGATTCCAATTCCATTCAAGATTCTCTTTATGTTGAAGGACTTGGCTATCTCTAAGGTTCATTAAAAGAGCTTCCTCTGTGTCCTAGAATCATCAGAAAGTAATAAGGAAAATTAAGGCAAATTGTCTCAAATCAGAAAACTATGCTTAAAATTTACGAACAAAACATTTTTTATTTAAGAATGGATTATTAAAATTTTAACTTTAAAAGTTACAAAGACACAGATGTAAACTGCCTAATCATTATGAAACTTGGAAGCCATCTGAAAATCCATATGCACAAATAAAATGAAAAGTCAAGTCAGTACATGCATACTAAATCCAAGCAGGTATGTGCATACTTAAGACACCAAGTTAAAAATCGCGATTTTCTGTCAGTACCTTAAGAACAAATATATCCTTCTGAACTCTGAGATACTGATCCCGTTTCTGGTGTGTTATAACTGCTTTCTGAATAATGTGGTCTAAATGAAGACTGTAAGGTTTAGGTCCTCTTTTCTTCATTTCATGGAAGCGTTTTAAACAGTTCAAGGCTGCACTGGCTCGCCTAATGAGAAAAAATTTCAGTTAATTACTGTAGTAAGCATAATTTTAAAGAGATCACTTTGGTAAACTACTCTATTAAAACTTAAATAAATTTAAGTATAGAGACTGTTACTAAAAAGTAATTTATGTAATCAAATTTGGAACCAAAGAAAAAGAAATTAAGAACACTGCAAAAATGTATGAAGAAATTCATGGCCATAAACAGACCCAGTAAATTTAAGTCTATCAGGCTTTGGGAAAGTGTATTTTTCCATTATGAAATTACTGAAATAAAAGCTGAAAGTTACCATCACTAATGTAAGCCTAGAATTAGGACTGAGATGGGCCCGTAAGATCCTCAGTTTATAATATTTCAGTTTGTTAAATAATAGTATTTCCACTGACAAAATTAAGTAAAATATTACTACAAATTATTAACAGAAATTCATAGTTCTAAACAGTTAATGAACTATATTTTACTATCATTATAAAAATATATGAGGTCCAGAAATACAGATTTTTAAAATCACACCTGAAAAACAGGTGCCCCTGGCCTAGACATAATCTTTACCACATGAAAAGACTCCTGCTAGCCCTTCCCAATCAAGCTCCTCTACCTTTACCCTATATATTTATATTTTGTTATTAGAACTGGAATTCCAGCAAAGCAATAGCTGTATTACCAAACTTTATTACCAAACTTTTGTTTTCAGATTCCGTATTTGCAATATTTCTTTCAGAGTTTAGCTTACTTCAATATCTATAGTGTGGGCTACAAAATTCCAACATTAATTTTAACCCCACATATAAAAGAAAACACTGTTAATCTTTGTGCTTTATTTATGTGAAATAATTTAAACATTAAAAACAAGCCTTAATGGCTGCTCGAAACATAAAATAGTCCCAAAACCTCACAACCAACATTTTTATTAATTTGGTAGAAAGTTGATGCCCCTGTCCAAAAAAATGCTAGAAAGAGCTTATTTTGCCAAGCTATAATACTTTGTAGCCTAAAATACAAATTACAAAAAAGAAAACTATTAATTCTCCTCTTATCTGTACAGTTTCCCTGGAAGAATTTCCAAGCATAGCCTATTCACACTACTTTTTAAATACAAGAGAGGGAGTGTATTCTAATTGGGTATTAAAGATACCAAGCAAAAACTTTCCTAGAGCTCTCATACTTACACTCTTTTCTCCTTGGGGATATCAAAGGATGCTGCCATATTCATTAGGGTTGGCAGGCAGTGCAAGTGATGGCTATGTGAATGAGGAAGAATTGTGTTTGCCTAAAATGAAACATAACATTTTTGAGAGCTGAGAAATATTTATGTTCTAGATTATTTATCTACAGATAAAATAAAAAGACTCTAAGGTTTTACTCATGAAATTAACAATGATTTATTTTTCAATACATATTTATAAGTTTATCTTATCTACTTTCAACAAAGATGTAACAAATATAGACTCACATTTATAAAACTAAATTTCACAGATAGTTCATGATAATAAATTGTAATTTTTAAGTGGTACATAATTAAACTCAGTCTTTAAATGATCTCAAAAAACAATACAACAGAACAGATACAGAGCTATAATTTACATTAAAAGTAATATTTAAAACACTAAATGCAAAATCTTATGAATTAAGTTTTAAAAAATACTTTCTCAAAACAAGTTTGTCTCATATTCTGATAATATTTAACATAAACTCATAACTCCTGCTTCCCAAACAAAATTCTACCACTCAATCTGCTTTTATCAATAAAGATAACTAAATTAATTACATGTGGAAGCCAGAAGAGGTAAGAGTAGTAAGTAATGAATTAACAAACACCACTGTACCACTCAAAAGCACTTTTATATTTCAAGATAATCATAGAATTCTGGTGTGTAGGTGAAAAGAAAAAAAGTGATTCATTCATATAAAAGCAACTAGCTCTAAATATTAATATGCTTATAGGAAATGATATCTTGAAAACAGAAATCAAAATAATCAAACCTGAGAACCTGCAATATTAATTAATTCCTCCATAGATGGGCTGAAGGAGAACAGAGCAAGTGGCTAAATAATTTATTGAAAAACAAGACAGTTATCATTAAACTCTGTTTAATTCTCTTTACTTCACTCACACAGCCCAGATGCTATGTAGGGAAAAAACAAAAAAAAACAACAACTGGGAAGGTAGGGTACTAAAACAGTAACTAAAACAAATACTCTGCCAATAACAGCAAGCCATAGTATAATTTTAAAAGACTTGCCATTGGGCTGCTTCTTCCTTACTGAGTTTAAAATAGTTCTTTTTACTTAGCATTTTATTAACTAAAAGGTAACCTACAAATATGAACTTCTATTTTACAAGCAAAGCTTCCTCACTGTTTGATTTACTGGGAGTAAGGAATGATCATCAGATCACTTTCCTGGCTCCTTCTTTCCAGACGTTACTGATGTCACAAAATCATAGTGCAAAAAAAAAAGATTCCTACACCACGAACCTAAACAGGTACATTTACAGACGAGACTGTGTTCTAACAAGGCAGGTGCAATTTGAACTCCAGCACAAAGTTCTCTAAAACTCACTGACTGCCATATTCCATTCCTAGCTGAGTGAAGTAGTACCTATAGTTTTATAGTTCCTTAGAAAGTCTTTCTAAGAGAGATTAAGATTTAAAGGACTGAAACTGTCAATACTGAAAGTTAGTGCAAAAATCCTTATTTGGTACTTTGTACTTTTTATATTTGTTTCATTTCTAAAACCAGCCAATATATATCAAGATATAAGACATCAAGGGTTCTTTGTAACAAAAATATTTATGTCCAAAAACATGAATTTATTCCTTGAGATAATACAAAGTAACATTGTTAAGATAACCTATTTCACAAGTTAAAATATTAATGACATCAGACGCAATCCGGAGTGGGTCAGCTCACCATGTGTAAAAGCTCCCCTAGAAGGATGGTGGCTCTCACTGAGATAAGGTCATCACTGTTTGTTATCACTTCAACCAAACCCTTTGAAAAGAAGGAAATGCCATAGTCACAAAATAGTATACATGAACACATTTATGCAAATGTCTGTTGCTCTAAAAGAATTCTGTTAGAGAAAATAAATAAAATAGAATAAAATGAGGTGTGTAAGTCTTACCTCTAAAAGTCCATTACGAATAAATGCAGAAAGTATCAATGCCAAATAATTATCCATGAGGTCTGGTCTGTAATAAATACCGCACAGAAACAACTTGAACAACATTCCACATATCATATAATTTAACATAAAAACAGTAATTGCAATAATTTGAATCATTTATGTGTCTAAATTCTACCTGGATCTGGCACGATGAGGAAGAATAGTTTTCGCCTCAGCTGCTACAAAGCCATCTGAAAGCCTCCAGCTGTCTTGGAATCTACCTGGATCTAAAACAGTTAAAATCAGATGGTTAGAAGATAGTTAGATGTTACCGAAACACTTTAGGTAAGTGTACATAACTACCAGCTAGCCAGGCTATAATTAATCTTTTTAAATACTAGTTAGAAAAAAATAGATTAAAAATGCATATAGAAAAAATGACTTATGTAAATGAATACAAATCTAACTTTATTTTGGGACTTTGGGGTCATTTGACTAAAATAAAATAAGCCAAGAATTAGATTATCTAATTTGAGAATTACACAATTTCTTATGGTCTCCTCTTCCTTCCTTGGTCCATCTTTCCATTAATTTCACTGCTTATTTGAAAGAGATAGGGTGATAAAGAATAAATTAAAAATTTATTTTTAGAAATCTATTGCAGTTTTTATTTCTATATTAATTTCATGCCACTATGATTAAAAAACAATAGAAAATCATTCAATACTTAGTTCATTATTTTTCCTTTAAGGGGTTGTATCTCAATTAGGTATGACATTTTAAAAATGACAACATTTGAAAAGATGCAAATATACTTCAATAACTTACCTACACTGAGCAGTGCTTCTATAAACTCTTCAGTCACAACAGGTACAGGAAGACGAAATATATCATAAAGCACTTCAAGAAGACCTCGCTACAAGTGCAAATAAATACAGTTCATTTACTTTTCTGGAAAAAATATCTGCTTAAAGATGTTATGAATATCTTATTCACAAAATTAAAAACTGAAAAAACAATATACATCTGAGCTATGCTCAATAAAAAATTAATTACAAAATGCTTATTACATACATGATTTAATCTTTTCAATAAATCTTCAGTAACCCCATTATACATGTGAAGAAACAGATTTAAAGGTTAAAAGTAATATGCCCAAGGTCACAGAACTATAAATAATAAAACTAGTCAAATCTTTGTTGGTCAGATTCCAAAGGCTATGTTATTTCATCATCTCCTGAGTAAGAAGTCAACTGAATTGTCTCAACCTCTAGTGGCTTCTAGCTGCCTCAATCTTTCTACCTGTAACCACATCCTTCCATTTCCATTGTCTAAATGTTTTTTAGTTTACACTTTAAGTGAGGCACCCCTGGCTAATATTTTCTAATACTACTGCTCAATTCCAAATTTAGTTTACATAAACAAGAAAGAAAGAAAGAAAGAAAGAAAGAAAGAAAGAAAGAAAGAAAGAAAGAAAGAGAAAAAAAATTTGTTTCTTTGAACAAAATTAAATACACTGAAGAGGAAATGAAAAAGTTAATGTTTCCCTCCAATTTTTATTTGGTAATTTGTTTTGACTGTATAACACAAATTCTTATGCATTAATAATTTATAAATACATCTAAAAAATGAGCATATATGTATAATACATATAGGCTGTCCAGAAAGTATCCATCCTTGTACTATGAAAAAGAGACATTTATTGAAGAAGATACAAGAAATATTATACATAGGACAATGATACTTCAGTCCCCTTCAAAAAGGTAGCGTGGGACCTCACACAGTTTTCCCAGTCACCATCAGGTGCCCAGTCATACATTCCTGAATTGATCAACAGTTTGAAACCTCTTCCCTCTCAAAGGTGATTTTAGTTTTGGGAAAAGCCAGAAGTTGCAGGGTACCAAATCTGGGCTATAAGGGGGACTGAGTCAATTGGGTGATTTGATGTTTCACCAAAAAAACTCTGTATAAGATGTGATGCATTATCAGGCACATTGTCTGTGATGAGGCTGCCAATCACCAGCTGCCCACACCTGCAGCCTTCTGAATCTTCCAAATAGTTTCCACAGAGGTATGTTCAAGCTTAAGGCAAAATCTGATGTGGATCTCTGTTGCTCTACTCGCTCAGTCATTTTGAATGCAATGGTCACACAGTGCACATGCTCACTCAACGGTGTCTACACCCCCACTGACTAGTGCAGTGAAGTTGCCATTGTTCTTCTGGGCCGTCAAGTTATGTAGATGTTGCGCAAATTGTTCTTGTTATATAACAATGGCTGGAATTTTTCTGGACTACACACACACACACACACACACACACACAATGTACATGTATATACACACACCCATGTATATACATATATACACAACCCAATTTTAATCAAACCCCCTTATATTATAAAATCATGTTAAAAGTCTGAAGATGCGTAAATATCAGTTACTTTTTCCTAAATATAATTCTGCATTGCTTGAACCTATTACAATGAGAATGCCTTTCTGTACTGTTTGCATATTTAATGAATAAAGCATAATTAACTTATTTTAAACCCAATTTTAGTACAGCCACAGTTCCTAACAGCAGTATGTCTAATGGTTCATATTATACTTAAGAGTCAACTAAGTTGTAAATATTTATTGATGTATTTTTTAAATGCTCTATGATACAGATTAACAATTCTTGAGGAAAAAGCATCCCTGAAATAAGCTTTTTATAATCAGCATAACTTTTACCTACCCTTATTTCCATATTTGGTATGCAAAGTACTCCAATTAAAGACTGAATGCCAGAGTTTCCAGGTTTACATAAATTAATAATACCTAAAGAAAATTAAAAAAAATCATTGACATAAAGTTCAAAAAAAATTTTAGTAATATATCCCTAATATAAAAATCTGTGATGTTTTTCCAAGCTCAACTATACTATTATATTATTTGGGTATCACAAGTGATAGCATATTTCAAACATTCTCTGAATTGCCTACTATAATTTTATTTTACTTCCTTCTTCTATCTGTTTTATACCCCCAAAAGTTTATAATAACTGACTTATGACTCCCATTTATTGATGAGTGATTATCAGGAAATAAAAATATTGGAGAGAGTAAGGTCTTTCTCCCTCATTTAATGCATCCTTAAACTAAAGTGAAAAACCCTGCTTGGCATTAGTCTTTTAAAAGTTTAGACAAGCAACCTATCAGATGCAGAGTTCAAAACACTGGTGATCAGAATGCACAAAGAACTCACGAACACAACAAAAACATAAGGGAAACAATGAAAGTTACACTAAATGAAATAAAGAAAAAGCGTTTTATTAGAACAGCAGATAGAAAAAAGAATTTTTTAAAAATGAGAGACTTAGGAACCTCTGGGGCAACTTTAAAACGTACCAACATCTGAATCACAGGAACAGCAGAAAGACAAGAGAAAGAACAAAAAATTTAAAACTTATTTAAAAAAAATAATGAAGGAAAACTTCCCTAATTTGGTGAAGGAAATAGATATCCAAGCCCAGGAAGCACAGAGTCCAAAACAATGTGGACCCAAAGACGACCACACCAAGACACATCACAATTAAAATACCAAAGGTTAAAGATAAAGAGATAATCTTGAAAGCAGCAAGAGAAGAGCAGAGGGTTACCTATAAAGGAGTGCCCATAAGACTATCAGCCAATTTCTCAGAAGAAACTTAGCAGGCTAGAAAGGACTGGGGCAAGAAGTATTCAAAGTGATGAAAAGCAAAGACCTACAACCAAGATTACTCTGCAAAGCTATCATTTTGAATGGAAGGGCAGATAAAGTACTTCCCAGACATTGTAAAGCTAAAGGAGTTCATCATCACCAAGCCATTATTACGTGAAATGTTAAAGAGACTTATTTTAAAGAAAAGATGATCAAAACTATGAATATTAAGAAGGCAACAAATTCACAACTATCAACAGCTGAATCTAAAAAAAGAAACTAAACAATCGTAACAGGAACAGAATCACAGATATGGAGATCATTTAGAGGGTTATCAGTGGGGAGGGGAAAAGGGGAGAATGGGGAAAAGGTACAAGGATTAAGAAATATAATTGGTAAGTACAAAATAGACAGGGGGGTGTCAAAAATACTACAGGAAATGAAAAAGCCAAAGAACTTATATGCCCAACTCACGGACATGAACTAAGGGGGGAGATGCTGGAGGAAAGAGGGATACTGGGTAGAGGGGACAAAGGGGCAAAACCAGGACAAGTATAAGAGCATAATCAATAAAATATATATTTTTAAAAGTTTATTAATCTTAAAATCTAACTTTTAGCATAGAAAAGTGAAACTGACAGACTTCAAATAAATTGTATGGATCAAAATTTTAAGTGAGAGAACTGAATCAAATAATTTTAACCATATTAATATCATGTTACAAAAGAAGATGTGTGAATAGTCAATAAAGCGTTCAATATCATTTGTCATTGGGGAAATGCAAATTCCATTCACAATTAGATACCACTACACACCCAGCAAAATGGCTAAAATTAAAGACCAATAACACCAAATGCTGACAAGGATGCAGATCAACTGGAACTCACATACACTGATTACAGCAGTATAAAACAGTGTAAGTATTTTAGGAAAAAGACTGACAATTTTTTGTAAAACTAAACATACATCTACCTTGTTACCCAGTAATTCCATTTGGGTATTTACCCAGGAGAAATGAAAGTTCACATCTGCAAAAAGAAGTGCATAAAACTGCTCATGGCACCCCTATTAACAATAGTCAAAGCTGGAAACAGATTAGGTGTTCACTAACAAGAGGCGAACTAAACACACTGTGATAAATTTACCCCAGGGAATACTACTCAGCAATAAAATGGAACACATTACTGGTATATGCAACAACATGAATGAATCTCAAAATCAAAGTGAGTGAAAGGAAAGCCTTACATTAAAGCAAAAATATACTATGATTCCACTTATATGACATTTCAGTCAGAACAGGCAAAGCTGACTGCTATGAAAATAAACAGAACAACGGTTACTTCTCATGGGTGTTGGCTTAGGGATTAACCAGGGAGGGGCATGAGAGAACCTTCTGGGGTGGTGGTAATGTTCTATATCCTATAAAGGGTTTGGGTACATGCATGTAAGCATTTGTGAAAACTCATTAAACAGACTCAAGATTTGTGATGTAAGGGGAAATTTTACCTAAAAACACAAAGCTACAGAAACAAACAAAAATAATCAGTGAGGGCCATAAACAAATATTGAATTCTAGGTAACAGTCTTCATACTCAAGTGTTTAGGAGTCAAGAGTATTAAAATATGCAACTTCCTGTGAAATGCATAAGAATAATGTAGGAGGACTGATGAATTCACGGCGGGATGGGCAGATGAACAAATAAGCAATGAAGTAAATAGAGCAAAATTTAGGTGGTGAAAGAATATGGGTGTTCACCGTACACTTTTGCAGTGCATTTGAAATTTCTGATAATAAAATGTTGGAGGAAATGTTTTTAAAAAGTCGTATAGAACTCTGCCCTGGCTGGTGTAGCTCAGTGGATTGAGCACCAGCTGCAAACCAAAGGGTCACCATTTAGATTCCCAGTCAGGGCACATGCCTGGGTTGCAGGCCAGGTCCCCAGTGGGGGCCATGTGAGAGGCAACCACACATTGACGCTTCTCTCCCTTTCTTTCTCCCTCTCTCCCTCTCCCTCTGAAAAATAAATCAATAAACTTGAAAAAGAAAAAAAGAAAAAAAAAGTCGTATAGAACTCTGAAGTTCTATTACTTTTAAGTACTTATATCAGTATTCTTCAAACTTTGATGTCTGATGTAATGTGAGAGGTTACAGATTAAGATACAGTCTTTACAGATCATACTCCATACTAATAGTTTTGGAAAGCAGGCAGTTCCAACTCCTGAAGAAACTGCGTTCCAGAGCTCATTTGTCAATCACTTATTTGGATTTTGAAATCTATTATATATAATAGAAATAACATCACGAGTATAAAGAAGCTCATCTACCTCATAAACAGTACCCGTTTCTAATGATGGATCAGTATGAAAGGCCACAGGACAGAGGCAAGAATGGTAGAAGGAACGTTTAAGAGAGGCAAGGAAGGAGAGTGGCAGAGATTAGCGACAGTGACAGGGAGAGCAGAGCCTGGAGGGAGAATGAGAAGACAGTAACCAGGCTGCCCTGGTGGTTAAAGCCAGAGAGAATTCATGGTTTGGTGACGCAGGCACAGCTCTAATGGCAAGGAAGGTAAAGGCCAGGAAAGGGTGACAGCCATAGCTACGGACAACAGAGTGAGTTCTGGAGCAAGGGCAGTGACACCTAAGCTTGGCAGGAGGGCTGTGCTGGTTCCACACTGAAATAGTGTGTGCAGGCTGGCTAAGTATAAGAAAGAATGTGTGACATTGGGCCCTTGTAAATGCTAGTTTATCCCGAGGGCGAGGGAAATCGGCAGCCATCAGGCACACATGGCATAAGTGGAATTTTCACCAAAGCTCAGAGAGGTCAGAGGAAGTCCCTATAAACACACTGGCCAGGGGCCAAAGGCTGGGAAAGTAATTTGCATGAAAAAGATATGTTTGTTAGAGTTATCTAGGTCTGTTGAAGTATTTAGGGAAATTTTCTAGTTCTGCTTACTGCTATACTCCTTTGTATGCTATTCCTTAAATTACTCTACAAAGAGGAAGAAGATAATTACTAATATAATTGGTGCCATTAAATTTTAAAAAAATGTTTGCTTTTTATTCCCCAGAAAGATAAAACATGCATAATCCATCTTCTAAAGAAATTTAAGAGTACTAATGACCTACCCTTGCTTATTTGGTATTAATGACATTTTGTATTATACTTTTAGGTAACAAAAGTATAGATCATATTTAACTTTCTTAATTGGCCAGGCAATTGTGAGTATATAGACTTACAAATAGTCAATTTTAATGATTTTGTACAAATTCCGTTAGCTCTAAAAATAACATAGAAGGTGAGACTAGAATAATATCTAAACTAGATTCTGCAATAATAATTTAACATTTGAAAGCATAGTGAAGTTTTTCTTACATAAGAGAGTGTTGTACGGCAGCACTGACTAACTTACCTGCCCATGACCGGAATGTTGCTATGATTCCCATTTTACTGGATAGAAACCTTGCTTCTCTGTCTTCTCTGGGTGCAGTAGGTGGACGGCAGCAGGGGTGAGGAGGTCAAAGAAAAGAATAAAACGTTAAAACAAAAAGTGAGTTTTTCCTGGTACTATAGCAGAATGAGCACTATTGTTAGTTAACATTTAAGTATTTACACAGGAAATTAAACATGTTAAAAAACAAAGATCAGAACTGTCTCAAAGTGAAAGACCCAATAACATAAGGACCCCCTTCCAATTTCAGATCCACAACAGTTTAAAGTTATACATTTTGACTTTTTAATTTAGTTCCATGTTTCCTGCTTTTAAAAAAAGTATTCTTAGATAGCTCATCACTTTTAATTGAGAATTAGACAGACAACACCAGTTGCTTAATAAGCATTTCTGCCCGAACTCTAAAATACCCGCATCACCTCAAGATGTCATGTCCTAACCTGTGGATCTTGCGTGTATGATTTTACTGTCGTGAGTGCGGTTCTGTTCATATTGTACAGCCCAGCAGACCATAAGTTAGGTTTGACCTGACTAAAGAGTTTTCTCAAGCTGGTAAGTCTGAGATTCAATTCAAGCACAAGGATTTGAGGGATTCCTCGAGTCTGAAGACGGAGGGAACCAGGTGACAAAGAAAGAGGCTGGCCTCTGGAAGCTGACAGCAGGCTCCAGCTGACAGCAAGGAATCGGAGTTCTAAATTGTGTAACAGCAAGAAAGTAAATGCTGACAGCAACCTGAATAAGGTTGAAAATGGATTTCTCCCCATGACCTCCAGACAATAGCCACATGGGACTTCTGAGCTACTGAACTGGGAGCTGATAAAAGGATGTTATTTTAACATGCTACGTTTGTGGTAACTTGTCATGCAGCAATAGAAAATATGTATGCTCTGCGTCAACAAAGAGAATGTCTAAGTAACATAAGAAAAAGCCAAGAAAGGGGTCTAAAAACCTTCAATTCATAACTTGGCAGAAAGAGGTTTGAGAAGTCTTAAATAGAGAACATCTATTTTGATTTCTTAGCTAGGTCATGATATGTTAGAATGTGAGGAGTCCATTGTGATGGAGGTGATTAAAGATATACAACCATTTTTTTTTTAATTCAAGGGAAAAATGAAAAACAACAAAAACATCCCTATTTCACAATGTTCCATAACTTAGTAATTTTAATATTTACTATCTATCAAAATAAGTATGCCTGCAACCAACAATCCTACCAGAAAAACACCTCATAGCATATTTACAGGAATTGTGTCATTTGCAAAATCTTCAGATAGTACATTATTTGATGCCTACTCAATTAAAAAGCTATCCCAGAATATCTAGTGAACTACGTGCTTTTTCTCTCCCAAACAACTCTGAAAATTATCCTGCCTCATTTTTAGAAAACAATCTTTACTCTATATCCTTTTACTTCCCTTTTAACCTTACTCTCAATATTCTACCTATGCTATCTTGCTGTTTACTCAACTTGTTAATAGGGCAGCACTTCATTCCATCCTTGTTATTTTATTCTTTTATTCTCTCAATGTAATTATACTAAAAAAAATATAAACAATAAAAAAAGACCTAGGTTTCTACTGCAGCCTAATTTATCTTTTTATATATAAAATTAGTCTTTAAATATCTCAAAGTTTACCTTTAATTTTTTAAACCACAGTTAATTACATTATCAGAGACTTACGACATAATTCCATGAAATACTAAACTAACTCAAACTCACACTGCCCTGACTCTACATGCAATCGGGCAAATTTAAAACTTGATTAGCAACATACACATCACCTTTTAAATGACTAGGAACAAACGATACTTACTTGAGCTGTCCTTCAGCTGTATCTGGACTATGTCTGTAGTGAAAATCAGTATAGGGTGCTAAAATGCGCTAATAAAAAAAGCAGAAAAAATTAGTGCCCTTATTGTAAAATGCATTCTATGTGTAACAAGTTAAAATTAATTCCACTTCCCTATATCTTTAATTGGGTAAACTGTTTGAGAGACTTATTTCTTTAAACTCGTCGTCAAGAAATATACAATTTTTTAAATATGGAAATTGAATTTTTAAAATTTTAAACTGAAGTGTAATACACATATACATATAAAAAATGCACAAATCATAAATGTACGACTTGACGGATGTTCTCAAACTAGGTACACTCTCCTGCAGCCAGCAGCAGGTGGAGAACACACCAGCAGCCTCAAAACCTCCTTACTTCCCCTCGGTACTAAGAAGTCACTACCAACTCTGGGATTACTATCCTGACCCGCAACACCATGACTTAGTTTTGTCCACTTCTGAACGTTATTGAAATGGTTTTGTTTTATAAATTACATTCTCCTCTGTTGCTATTATAAAGAAATCCAAGCTATTTTTTGTGTACTGCTCCTATATTCAGCAACCTTGCTACATTCACTTATTTTAGAGCTTTAACCACTCTAACTCATTTGCAATATGTCAGTGCCTACTGCATTATTGTGAATTTTAATTTTAAACTCAATTTAAATTATGAAAGATGTAACTAACTGCTTCTGACAATCAGTATTTTTCTAAATTTTTAGTTACATGTGTACTTTTTATGGCATTTTTCATTCCTTCCTACACTTGTTTAGATCACATTCCTTCTGACTGAGGACTCCCTCTAGCCTTTCTTTCTTTGTGCCTGCCTTATTTTATAAATAATAATAAATATTTATTATCTCACATGGTTTCTGTGACTCAGGAATCTGAGAGAGCTTAGCTCTGCAGTTACAACTCAGGGTCCTCCCATAAGCTTCAAAATGTTGATTGGGGCAGGAGCATTCTGAAGGCTTGATGGGAGCTGGAGGATCTGCTTCAGGACAGATTACTCACAAGGTGCTAGTTGTTGGCAACTGGGCTCAGTTCCTCCCCACAACGCACAGGAAGGCGATCCAAGAAGAGTAATGTTTCTTTATATTCCCTTGGGTCTATAGTCTGAAAAATCTTTATTTTACCTTTGTTTTGGAAAGTCATTTTCTCTGGGCATTATTTTAGCATTATTTTCTTTCAGCACTCTAGAGATTCAGTTCTACTTTCTGCTGGTTTCCATTAATTCTGTCATGGGAAATCAGCTATCGGACTTGCTCCTTTGAAAGTATTGTCTTTTTTTCTAAAGATGCTCTTCAGATTTTTATTGGTCTTGGTTTTCAACAATGTTACCATAATGTGCCTACATATTGTTTTCTTTGTATTATCTCATTTGGAATTTTCTGAACTTTGCAAACATGAAGTGAAGTTTCATTAGTTTTAGAAGCTAAAGTTTTGGTCATTGACTCTGGATATTTGCTTCTGACTATTTTGTGTCTCTTCTCCCAAGACAACAATTATGTTTTATCCCTTTTTGTTCTATCGCTTTCTTTTCCCAAATTATGCCTTACTCTGAATATTTTTTTCTGACTTTTCTTGCAGTTTATCAGTGGTATCTTCTTGCCCAAAATGAATTTTTAACTTCATTGAGCTCAGAATTTCAGAATTTCCATTTGACTCATTTTGTATATTATAATTATCTGGTGAAATTCTCCATTATCTCATCTATTTTCTTCCTCTTTTTCTCCATTTTTCTGAACAAATGAATCATAGTTGTTTTAAGTCCTTTCCCTCTAACTGCAACATTCTGGATCACCTTTGGGAGTACTTGTGCACAATATATTTTGTTTGGGTTTTCAGTTGCACAGACTTTATCTTTTTGTATGACATTCCGTCAAAGTCCTGATGGATTGTCAGACAGGTTGAATTTTATAATCCAAGTGATGTTATCACCATCAGATCGTTTATCTTTTCCACTGTTTGTCGGTAGGTTAAGGAGGCTGATTGTTTTTTCTGATCACCAAGTTAAATTGAGACTATGTTGCAATTTTGATAAGATAGAGTACATTTTGGGTTTCCTTTCCTAAAGTACAGCCCTCTAGTGCTTTCAATGGAGAGCTTAACAAGTATTTTTCTCCTTGGTGCTGACTGGATTTATTTTTTATTTCATAAAAATAAAAAATCTTAGTTTTGATCTAAGATCTTTAGCTATTCATCTATGATAGCTTCAGATTTTAGGGAATGTCACGCACGGAAAATCAGCTATGAAATACCCAGCTTTGTCACTTTAATATCACACACTACTGTTCAATGCTCCTCCAAGTTTTTCTGATGCCAGCAAAAGCCTATGTGGATTTTCAGATACTAATTATATCCTAATCAGTAAGTGGACCAAGGGGAAAAAGGCAATTGCATAATCAGCATGAATTCACTACTCCTTTAAAGACCTTTACCCTTCTGCCCATGGCCCCTTCTCCTGGGAGGCCTTTGCATCCTATGCTTGGAGACTACAGCATATTCCCCTGTGCTGTCCTCAGGGTTTGACATGGTAGCCTCTGTCCTGCAGAGGTGCTCATTTCATCAAACGTCTGGGGGGATAAGTCAGACTTGGTCTAGGGACTTTACATGTCTCTTGGCTTGTCATGCCTTGTTATGCCATAACCCCCCAGGACTACCAAATACTCTGGTCTTCTACCTAAGCCTCAGTCACATTCTCAGGCTCTGGCCTGTGCCCGAAATCTGCAAGTACCCCCAAGGGCATCTCTAGATCTTCAGGGAAACTCTCCAAGTACCTTCCTTCCTTACAACTTCACTCCCATCTGCAATAAAATAAATAAACACACAAACAAACTTCACTCCCTCTGGTCTTTCTTGGTTTAACAGCTCTACACCGCTCGAAATAGATGATTTCCATCATTATCCAGCTTTTCCAGTTTTCCACAGCAGATGTTATGAACTACCCTATCCCACTCTGAAGTGTAAGTTTAATAAGTGTTTTCTAAATTTACTATAAAATTATAATTATTGTACAACCTTTACAGAGTTTCTACTCTATTAACATTATTGTATTAAATCTTCATTTCTTTTTCTGTCTGAGATTAAAACATATTACATGTAATATAAATAGAAGCCAAGGTAAATTTTAAAAACCATTTCTAACAGGAAGGAGCTGTGGGCCCAATAACAGACAGTAGCACTGAAAATGGTTCCTGTGTATGTAGAAAAGGGAACCGATTATTAATTTAGAATGAAACTCATAAAATATAATTAATATAAATGAGGACAATATTCTCTTAAGAGCAGATTCTACAATGAAGAAGAGGATGATAAACTAGAAGATGATGATACTGAGTAATTTCCAAGGTAACCAGTATTTGAATATTTATTATGTGCTAGGTACTAAATAAGATATTTTACATATATCAGAATATATGAAAAGCACCAAGACATACTGCCCAGCTCATTTAAGGCTTTACATTAGTGTTAGCTGCTGCTATTACTGCTACTACTGCAGCTTCTACTAAATACTACTACTACTGTTATTATTATAGTACTCACTCTTCACAACTCTTCAGGACAAAAACCATGACCTTCATTTTACTGAGGGAAAAAATAGGTCCAAGAGAGGCTAAGCCCTGGCCAGTATGGCTCAGTTGGTTGGAGCGTCATCCTGTAACCAAAGGGTTGCAGGTTCGATTCCTGGTCAGACCATATATCTAGGCTGTGGGCTTGACCTCCTCGCCCCTCCCCACGGTCTAAGCACCTATGGGAGGCAACCAATCGATGCTTCTCTCTCACATTGATGTTTCCCTCTCTCCCATCTTCTCTAAGAAGCAACAAGAAAGTGTTCTTGGGTGAGGAAATACATACATACATACAGGCTAATAACTAGCCCCAAATCATAAAGTTAGCAAGTAATACAAAAAAGTCAAAACTAGATCTGCATATGCTCTCAATTGCTATGCTATTCTCGGGAGATCTGAGTAAAAACAAAAAGAACAAATTTTTGTGGTTTTAAAGTACAAGATATAAGCAAAGATACAATCATGTACTTAAACATCTAATACATTATTTGAAAAAGTTTCACTTACATAAAGGCTTTTTAATCTGCTATATAATTATACAGGAACAAAAAACCAGGCCTATACTTACTACCTTTCTTCATTGTAATCATCTCACCAATTTTAAGATTCTAGTTTTTCTACTTGATAAAATAAAACTTAAACCTAAACATACAGCAAAATACGAAAAATGCCAATTTATTCCCATTGAATTACCAAGAATAATGTATTTAAAAATCACATATTAAGAGGAATATTGTACTTAAATTTGTTAGTATGATACAGGCTGATATCAATGTTATAATCTCAAATATTTCTAATAGCCCCAATAAAGGCACAATTATAACATTTAAGACAAGTTTTACATAAAACAATTTAGAAAGGCAAACTACAGAAAATAAATCTTTTATACCTTGCATAATTTTAACCCAAATACAAACAAATTGAGTTCACAATTTGTAATGATTAACAATATGGTACCTGCACACGAATAAATGGTAAGAATATAGTTTGTGATAATTCTGTTCCAACTTTCACAGTGTACTTTTTAAAAGAGTATGTATTATTTTATATTAACTAGAAAAAACAATGAATTAGTAAAAAAATTTTTTTAAAGGATGTACATGTATCCTATTTCTTTCAAGTATACATGGTGATTATTTTCTAATAAGCAGTTCTAAATTCAAAGACTTTTAGCATGGTTTAATAAATAAACAGTATATAATTAGCAGGAGCTATTTACACACAACACACTAAAGTCTTTAAAAAGAAACAGTTTTCTTAAATAAATAGGTAAATGCCTATGTAACCTTGCTTGTGCTTTAATTTGCTTAGTAAAATTTTCATAGTTAAAAAAATAAACTTCACTTTATACAATGAGGAAATATTCTGAGAATTAATATTTTTCAATTCAGTCCAAAATGAATGAGCTATAAAATACTGCTGGGAATAAGTCAATCTTAGAAAATTTAGGTTTGATAATGCTGTACTGCATCTACTAACTTTAAAATTTCAAAGTAAGAGTTTGTATTTAAAGGTATATTTTAAAACTAAAAAAGAATATTAAAGTGCCTACCTCTAATTCTACGTCAGCTCGCACATATTTTCGGGTCTTTGGATGATTAAGGAGGTGCAAAATTGTAGTAATGAGGGCCTCATTTATTCGACTTAACTGGCAATCAATCACATTTTTCAAGATGGTGTTTAGTCCACCTCGAAGGGCCACCACCTCTGGATTCTGAAGTGCTAAAATAAAAAAGAAAAACTTAATATATTATATAGGGTATAATTAATAAAATATAATCAGAATCTGGGGTTTCATTTTAAAACAATTTTCTTTCTGACTTGAAAATCTTTCTAGTCAAGGACATTGAAAGGGGCATGTGGATAAAATGCACCTAAACAAGAGTCACCGAATATACTTCCCCAAACTCTTCTTTATGTCGCTGATTGTTTTTCCATATTCTTTATTCCTATTTTACTGAAACTGTTCTTCTTTCCCATGAATTGCAAGGACTTTTTATATGAGATTATAAGCACTCTATTTGTTTCAATTTTTTTATTGAATTTACAATTTTACTTTAGATTTTAAACTCAGATTTTAAGCTTAGGAACTCCTTTGTTTCGAAGATCAAGCACTTTGTTGTATGCGTGTACAAATGTATATGTTTTAGTGAGTTTGTGATGAACATTTCAGTTTTGAATTTGTCAGAAAATTCAGTTTGGCTTAATATGATAAACAAATTTATTTTAAAATGTTAATCAATTATCACAGCGTGCTTCATAAACTGATTTTTATACTTTTGATATACTAAAGTTTTCTAAATGTCAGGGTCTGCAAGCTCTTGATTCTTTTTTGTTTTTCTGTCTCTTCATAACTAGCAGAATAGTTTTTTTCTATCTCTTCATAATTAGAATAGTTTTCTTAAAATATATTAGAAAAAATATTCCTTTCCAATCCATTTAAATTTTTTCAAGAATGTTTTCATGGTCGAATCTCTCTTGTTAATTCTAGTTGAATTGTAGAATTAGGTTTCTCTTCTGATTTTCTCTAAAGTTTATAATAGCTAAATATAGTAAAATGAACATACCTTTATGATTACAGTTCGAAAACTTTTGAAAAATTGTCTACACCCTTGTAACCAATACCTCAATAAAGGTACAGAACCTTCACCAAACTACAGGTTCCCTCAGACCACTCTTTTATCTTTTCCCTCCACCACAAAGGTAACGAACGTTCTCACTTCTACACACAGATTACCTGTGTCTTCTTGATAATCAAGTGGACAAATTCAAAAAGTAAAAAGTACTCCCGAAACACAACACATAAGTCATATACATTTCTTACCAAGTTTATTTGTTGTACATAGTTTTATTTTCTACTTTGGAAATAGTACAATTGTTTTGTTAGATTTACCGATTATTGTTGAAACATGAAGTAAATCTATGAAAGCTGTATTTTCACTCTCAGTGTCCCAAATCCTTAGGTTTTGTTTCTCAGGTGATTCAGCGTGTCCAAGCTATACATTCTACAAGGTTAAGAGAGTCTTCTCTCCAGTATGTAAACTTCATTTATTACTTTGTCCTACTAAGCCTGCTAGAAATTTTTAAACATTAACTAATAGCTAAATAGTATAGTATTTGTTCAGATCCACAATTAAGTGCTGATTTCAGATAAATATTCTAGAATGTTATCCAAATAGCCTTCTAATGATTTACTTTATATTTCTGTATAGGTATGTGAGTATATGTGTATTTGTGGGTATATGCAGATAGATGCTAGTTCTATTAAAAATTGGTAATTTCCATATTTACTCTCTCAACTTACACTATATAGGACTTATCTGTTCCTTGAAAAAATTTCTTTTTAAGACAAAACTACCTAGATGAGTCTTCTTGGAGGCAATTATTTTATAAAGTACTTCAATGGCTTTTGATTATCATGTTTAATATCTTTTTGAGTCACCTGGATATTAAATTTTCTCTGAAAATCCATTCACTTTAGTAACATTTCCAAATATTTACAAAAACTACTCCATAATTTAAAAACTATTATGTTCTCTTTATTTCTAAATTAACCCTTTATTTCTCTAATCTTCTCAGTATTCAAATATTATGTATGTTTGCATAGCTATATATTTTTTCTTCTTCCAATGAACACTGATTAGATTAAATAATCTATCTTGTTCTCTAAGACTCAATTTCATTGTTCCTTTCCTCTGCTTCCTAGTAATTAATTTTTCCCTTCTCTTTCTATTTTGTGGGTACACTCAATTATATTCATTACTTTTTGCTTAATTATAAAAGCATTTTATTATAAATTAACTCTGAGTATAACTTTCTAAGAATCTCACAGATTGATATGTGGTCAAATTTTTATTTTCAAAACTTTCTTAATAAATTTTACTTAGGTTCTAAAGTTAACAGGTATTATAGACAGTATTTTTAAATCCTTGATGGACAGCTCTTTTGTTTCAGTTTAAAATTTTGTTATTAATTCTTTTTTTATATCAAGAGTCAAGGTAGCCTACACCGCTTCTACTTTTAGTGGCAAAAAATACTATCTTCTTATTTAAAATACGTATCTTTGGTTATAAGTGAGGTTGAAATTTTAAAATATGTTGACTTGCCATGCATTTGAGGATTATTTATTTTTCCTGTTGATCTGCATATAAATAAGTTATTTACTTATCACGTTTGTTACATTTATTTTTCCTTTGTTCTAGCACTACAGTATGTTTTCTTGCCTCCTTATAATATAATCTATAGCTGCTGAAATCTGATTTCCTTTGTAACTCAAAATTCCTCTTCCATTTTTTTCTGTTTTTCCCATTTAACTCTTTAATGTTTTGTATTTAGAATTCCCTTTTTTGTCAAAATATATAATGGACTGTTCATTGTTTTTAACCTACATCATGATATAGAATAGTTAGCTAATGTCTGAGAGCCAGAATTTAAGAAATTTCATTGCAATTACCAAAATTTGGACAATTCTGATACACTAAATTTCATGATGAAGAAAATGCTAAAATTTACAGTTTCAAGGTCATTTTGAAATTATTTGTTAAAAACAGCAAGTCCTCTACTCCCCTATGAAGAATGCCCTACCTTCTCATATCACTGTACCAACAACTCAAGAATTCATGTATTAAAGGCATTAAGAAAAATTGTATGTTTTCTAAAATACTGTATTTTCATTATTCAAAGAAAATTCTAACCTAGTTCACAGATAATAGCAATGCATGCTCGAACCATTCTGTCTCTTTCTTGAAGTCCATCATTTCCAACTGCTATTAATGAGTTGGCCAAGGAGCTAGGAAACAAGGAAGCATTCACAGTAATCATCTGTAACAGGGAGAAATGAGAAAAAGAAGTTACTTACTTCAAAATATATTTTTAAAACGTACTTTGTCTGAATTGACATTTTTAAGACCATAGAGCAGGGGGGTCAAAGTCATTTTCACTGGGGGCCATATCAGCCTTGTAGTTACCTTCAAAGGACTGAATGTAATTTCAGGATTGTGTAAATGTAACCACTCCTTAACAAGTGAGAGCTTGGTGCTGCTGCCAGGTAAGAACAAGGTGTAGGGCTGGATAAAACAAAGTGGAGGGCTAGATTCAACCTGCGGGCCTTGTGTTTGCCACCTATATCCTAGAGTATTTATAAGATTCAGGGATCAATTTTAATCATCAACTTCACATAAACGTTTCAAAGAATTAATATAAATAATAATTGATGTAACTGAGGTTAATACCATTACTATGCCAAAATGTTTTGGGTTTTCCCCCCTAATAGTACAGACCATAAATTAGTTGACCAACAAGATGTAACACTTCTGAAATTCTAAGCTCCTCTGGAAGAAAATCTAGTTTAAACAACTTCTCAATGCCTAGACAAAGTAAATTAGTAGGCACAACAGCTGTCAACATACTACTATACTATTACATTTCTGGCTCTCTTCCCAATATACCATATACTCATTTACTTCATTATGTCTACTCTCCCCCCATCAAACTCACTGATTTGTCCCCTCATCCTTTCTCACTTTGCTCTAATAAATGCCTAATCATCTCCCTATCTCTAACATCACTTACTGTTATACCAAAGGCAAACTTAATAATCTATAAACTCTTTAATATTTCAAAAAAAATCATGACAGAAATAGTATGCATCTGGTAATAAACTTTGGATAAATTTCACTTCAAATGGAAAGTTTAAATGGTAATAACATATTTGGAAAACTGAAAAAAGGTAACATACATTTATCTTCAGTTTGCAAAACACAAAGGAAACACATTGTGTAGTCAATGACTGTGTAATAAATAAAGACTATCTGATAGATGAAGTATTGCAAAATAAGCCCTTGAAGTGGAAAGTAGAAGAAAACATTTTCTTCTGTCTGGGTGGTGATAAAGTATTAGGGATAATTAACATCCTGTCCTGGATTTTATTACACTTACAATCCTATTCAAAAGTGAGACTTGTGCTATGAAACAATTAGAAGATATAATATAAATGAATTAAAGATACCCAGTTAATTCCTATTATAAAGGGCCAAAGGAACAACCTGTATTGGCTCGCGTACTTATAAATGGTTTATGTTGTTTAAGTAGCATTATATAATATTACAAAGTTCAAATAAAATAATAGAATAGACAACCACAAAATAGATTTCCAGTAACTATAGAATTGACAAAAGTTTTCACATTCATTTCTGAATCAGTATTTTCCATTAATCAAAAATGTTGGACAAAGAGAGAAAGAAAAGAAAAAGGAGGTATAAAAAACTGATCTTCCTGGATGAGGAAATTCTAACCCTTATGATATTAATTTATATTTTAATACTTATTATGCTTATTATTATTATTATGCTTATAAGGAACTGAGAAAACTTCTCCCCAAAATAAAACATAATGTACTCTGAAAAGAGCTAGCTAGGAAACCAGGTTGAGTGGCTTTCGGAGCTCAATCTCAATTAGTAAACTGTCATCTTGGCCAAATCAATCTTCTCAATGCTTTTGTTTCCTCATTTGTAAAAAAGGATGTGTATAACCCAATGCTTTCTAGAATTTAAAGTATAAAATCCTCCTCTATAAAGCTAAAGTGTTATAAAAAAGGATATTTATGAAAAGGATACCTGTAATTCATTTTTTTTACCAATGAAATCTCTGTTTTGTGGGAAATACATGCAAAAAAACTTAAATTCTATGCAAATGAGAAAATACTTTTCTCATAAATCATTGAATACTCAAAAATGTCATAGAATTTATTTCTACTGAAATAAAAGTTTACTCATCTTTTTGGGCATGACAGGAGAGATACACCTGGTTGGCCAAAAAGTTTGTTTTTCCGTAAGATGGATCTACTAGCACTTAGTTGTCTTTAACTTCATTTGAAATGATTTTGTTAGATTGTACTGTGACAGCTATCATATCAGTGAACATTAAAAAAAGCCTCATCAAACTGGTGAGTTTTTGTGCAGCCATTTTAATACTGATGATGGAAGAAAATATGCAACATTTTTGGCGTATTATGTTTTATTATTTCAAGAAAGGTAAAAACACAACTAAACTGCAAAAGGAAATTTGTGCAGTGTATGGAGAAGGTGCTGTGAGTGATTGAATGAATCAGAAGTGATTTGCACAGTTTTTTTGGTAGTACTGACATTTTAGCCAATAATTCTTTGCTGTGGGGCTGTCTTATGCATTGGAAGATGTTTAGCAGCACCCCTGGCCTCTACCCATAGAAACCAATAGTGGGAGACAACCAACACACTCAAAATACCCAAATCAATAAAGTTATTGGTGAAAATAAAAAATGTGTCTTTTGGCCAACCCAATAAATTAAAGATCATGAGTAGGTAATAGTTCATAAACTGCTATAAAGGAATTAGAAAGACAGAAGACCTGGAAGGGGAGTATCTGAAATCTGAGCTGAGACTGAAAAAAATACAGCGTAGAAAACATAAAAATGAAAGGGAGGGAGGGGGGATGGCTGGGATGGGGGGACTGGTGGGTGGTAGATGCAGACAACTGTAATTAAACAACAACAACACAATAAATAAATAAATAAAAATAATACAAAGTGAAAAGAATAAGAAAGCAATAATGGTAAGAGTGGCATAGGAAACTAGTCTACATGAATAATGGCACAATGAGACAGGTCCTACTTAGCTGGACCAGAAGTTGGCTCTGCATGCCAAGGTAAACAGATTGTGCTTAATAACAAAAACAACTGTGGGTCAATACAGGTTTGGAAATCCAAAGAACTAAGGTCTTGCATTGGATCTGGAAATGTCTTGCTATGAATCAAGGGCAAATAATTTCCTTAAATGAATCTTTTTTCAACTGTAAAAAAACAAATAAAAGAAACTGATATATTAACCTCTTGTTCCATGGATAAAGAAATGAGAGATGAGGAAAATGATGACTTAGAATTTAAATAGGATAATGAAAAGCAAGAGCTGAGCAGTGAAAAACTACATAGATAATTACAGAATTAAAAATCAGAAAGACTGCTTGGACTGGAAAGACAGGGAAAAAAGATATTTAAAAAGAAAGAAAAAAATAAAACAAAAATGTTCCAAATGATTGAAGTGAAAGAGAAAAGTAACAAGAGTATTCCTTAATTATTCATAGAACAAGTTAACCTAAAGCAACAAATATGTTTACTTTTCTTATAAAATATAGAAGAAAAAATTTACAGAAAAACTTTAAACTTCTTTGAATGCATACAAAAAACTGTCAGCGACCCAGCAGTTATATTATTATCATTAATTTCTATTAGCTCAGTTGCCAAGATGTTACTAAAAAAAAAATAAAGGTTTGCTTTGGTTGTTAAAAGTACTAATAAAATTATAGTTCTCTGGCCAATAGAGGACACTGTTTATTCAGCAAATGTGCTTTCCTTTTAACTTCTTTTATGTTTTTATCTTTTAAAAAATTGTTATCCTATTATAGTTGTCCCAATTTTTCCCCTTTGCCCTCCTCCCTCCTTTGACCCAGGGATTCCACTGCTGATAATACACCTTAAGAATCCCAAGTCACCAATTCAAAAGAACTTGCACCCTTATGTTGATACAATAGCTAAGTGCTGAAAACAGCCCTTTTAACTGCTATCAGTTAAACCAAGGAGGATCCCTGTGCCACAACTCTCCCTCTGACCTATATTCTACCACCAGGTATGAGTAATTTTCCTGTTCCTGGATTCACAAATAGTATCTGCCATAAGTTACTATGTACTTCAAAAGATAACACAATAGAGTGCATTTTTGTTATGGCATTAGTAAATTGTTTCCAAGAATCTGTTTACTTTGATTGGCTATTTTATAAACTGTAATGGGTACAAAACATATTACAAAATAAAAATAAAATATTCTCTAATTCAAATAGCTATATTTCATTGTTTCAATCCATTTGGAGTTGTAATTTCTTATGAATGCAATTTCTAGGGCAACAGTTGTCAAAGTGTGGTCCAGGAAACTGAGGATCTCTGGGACGTTTTCAGGCATTCTGCAAAGTTAAAACTATTTTCATTAATAAAACAAAAACATTACTCATATTTTTTTACTCTCATTCTTTTACAAGTATATACTAAAGTTTTCCAGAGGTCCCAATGCACGTGAAATCACAACAGACTGAATGCAAAAGCAAATATGATAATCCAGCTATCCTCTATCAAAACAAACATTACAGAGGTTTGCAAAAATCTAATATAATGTCACCCTACTCATTACTTTTCTTTTTAGCAAATAGTTATTTTATTAAAATGTTATTTATGTTTACGTGTAATGAATTTATAATTTTCATGTTAATATATTCTAATTTCTTAATTTATATCCTAGTATGATAAATATTGACGCATATAATGCCAATAACCACAAAGCCATTCTAGGTTCTTCAGAACCAATTTTGTTTTCTTGAATTCTCAAAATCATGGTGGTAGGAGAGACTGTATGAGTAAGTAAAAATCATAAATCTAATTTTTACACTTAAATTTAGAGTCATAGTCTCAATATAAGTTTACCTATAACAGATATTCACAATCTCCAATACCACTCATAACATAACTGCAAACATCTCTTAAGACGTCTCATCCATTTACTTTTTCCTTACTATGTTCACCATTGGATAATTACTAACCCCAAGCTAGACAACTGGAAGAAAAAGGAAAATGGAAACCTAGTTAATGTATAAACTCAACATTGTACCATTCTGGAGCATGCACTGAATTCCAAGGCGGGGAAGGAGCTAAAAAATTTAATTGCTAAATAATTTTAGATGTTTTTACATCAAAACATACATACACTTCATGAGTCTTAGGAATGTTTAGAATCAAACACAATACTTGAAATGAAACATGATAAAATTCTTACAGCATATCCTATCCGAGTTAACTACCTCTCAGTTCACTCTTCCTCTGCCCCTAGGAAGGGGCCCCTCATTACCTACTCATGATCTTTTACATCACATTCACATTAAACTACAACAAAAATTCCTTGAAGGCCTCGCATCAGAAGCACTATGATTACTCTTAACATATTCTCTTGAGGAGTTTAGATTTTGACCTTTTATCATGTACAAAGGCCTGGCCTGCTTATTACAACTGCCTACAGATTGTATCCTAATTCATGTTCAAAATGGCTGTAACTATCTGTGGCATTCATTTAACAGTATTAACTCCAAGAGTACACTTAAGAGAAAATCAGAGGAGAGAGCAAGTAGTCCTCTTTTCTCAATAACATATCAAAGCAATTTCATTTACTTGTCCACTAAAGGGAGAAATATTCTTCACAATGTACATTTAAAAAATATTATCCTAGCTATACCCAATCACATAGACTCATTACACAAAATGTTTATTCTTACCTTGAAGTTTAACAGAACTATTTAACCATATAATTTAAACAATGTTTAATGAGAATTTAGCCTTTAAATGTTAACAGAAAGATTTCACAAAACAGTGTAAATCTAAAAATGTGAAACACTTCACACGAACCCCACAAACCTGCCTTTACTCTCAGACACGGAGCTCACCTTTCTGACCAATCGAAGTGCCTGTGTCCTCTCCACCTCGTTGCTCTGCTGTATGTCAATGCACCTAAATAACATGCAGAATAATTACTGATAAAAGTCTTGTTAACAATTTCTTATAAAACGATACCACTAGATCAGACATCTTCATGACATCGATATGGTACCTAAAATTTTTATTGCATATGAATTTTTACTACCAGCAGATATTTATTTAGTTAGCTTATATCTCTCTAGTGATAAATACTTGTTACAATAAAACATTTCAAAACTATTTCATTTATAACTCTAGGAAAGTACACAGAATATAGTAAATAATTCACAGATTTATATATATCTATACAGAAATAATAAACACAAAGCAAAGTACCAAAAATCTACTGAAAGAAGCAGTCACCTGTTCTTGATAAAATTCAGGTATTTTATACAAACTATGAAAAAAATTATGACTAAATTATATTTTAAGCCTATAATTTATTTCATTGTGATTTTAACCAGGCCTAAATGTTACATACAGGGGTTGGCAAAATTAGGTTTACAGTTGTAAAACAGTTTATTCTTGCATTATTTATTATTGTATTATTTTTCCATATGAACAATTGTAAACCTACTTTTCCCAACCCTTATATAAGCTAAAAGTCTTATGTGCCAGCCACAATAATTCTATTTTACCAAAATATAATTCGAAATTTGAATGCACTTCAAAACTTAACGTTCTATCAAATATCACTTAATGAACACTTCTCTCTAAAATTTATTAAATTTTCCAGTTTCTCAAGTCTTTATGTTGCATGATAAGTCATTGTCACTTACATTTAGGCAGTTAATCTTTCTAATCAATATTTTATATATATAGTTTGCTATTCAAAAAGCATTTCTTCTCTCTGTGTGTAATAAAATACCCTTTCTGGCCACAACAGAGAGGCTTGGCTGAGACCAACACTCCTGCCATAAACAACCATAAAGGCTGAACAACATACTTTGTAAAGCCACTGTTAAAAGAACAGTGGATACTAATCCCTGGAAAGAGAAGCACAAACTCCACATCCACCCCAGGCTTTTCCATGGGGGCCTCTGTCAATACCACTTTTAGGGAAATTGTCTTAGCAGAAAGCAAAAGTCTTATTATACTAGAGAGACAGGATGAACTTTGGGGCAACCAAAGTGGCTGAGACTTGAGGAGAAAAAAACCCATAGGAAAAAAAGATAGGAAGGTGAGTACAAATCTGCATACAATCTCTTATTCAAGCTATATGCCAATTTCTGTGTTGCGCAAAAGCAGGGTTAAAATCCAAGAAAGCAAGCTAAAAGCTACTGCTGAGAAGCAGGTATTAGCAGGTACATAATATTCTAGGATAGAGGTCAGGCCTCAAGGCTGGTGAAGGTGAAGCGGTCTGGCCAAACATCAACACTTTTACTTGAGATCCCAAATAGCCACTTCCTAGAGCAAAGGCAAAGCTAAACCCAAATGTTAACAGAATCAGTGTTATACACCAACATTCTAGAATAAATCTTGATTCTCTGAAGGGGAGAATAACATGATCCATAGCCAAAAATTTTGAATATACAATGTTCACATCCAACTGGATAATAAGGTATGTTTTAAAACAAACAAAAGGCCAAGTAACAAAAAACTAAAAAAAGAAAATGACTAGAAACAGAACACAGGTGATTCACATACTGAAGTTGTTATTCAAGGCTCTATAAACAACTATGCATAATATGCTCAAGAAATCAGAAGATGGAGAAAACAGGTAGAGACCTAGAATCTGTAAGAGTAAAATAAATCATAGAAATAAAATTAATGTTATTCAAGAGACTGATTTACTAGTAAGATGAAGAAATTTAAAAAAATCATATTGAAGTGCAAAGATTAACAATGACAAAGAATGAAAATATAGTAAGGGCATTAGAGACATTTGGGACAGTGAACAGATTCAACTTATATAGTTGGAGTAACTATAAGTAGGAGAGAACATTACCAAAAACTTTAAAGGTAACCAGAGGAAAAAAAAATACACATCACTTACAAGGAACAAGAAAAAGTGAGCTACTTACTGTTCAAATGGTTAAAGAAAAAAATTCAGAACATTTACCTGAAGCACTGAACAATAGTAACTGGTCATAAGAACAGCCTTCAAATAGGAAGGCAAAATAGGGACATTTATAGGCAAATAGAAGATGAGAGAATTCATTCCCCATAGAGCTGTCCTACAAGAAACATTAAAGAAAGTTCATCAAACAGATTGGAAGAGATCTAAGATGAAAGTATGGAAATGCAAAAAAGGAAGAACACTGGAATGCATAAATGATATAAGTAAATATCAGTAGTTGCAGTTTAAGACAAAAACAGTACACTCCTGTGAGGTTAAAAATTTATGTAGAAATAAAAAACATAGCAATAACACAAAAGAAGGGAGAGAATATAGTTAAACTGTAAGAGGTTTCCTGCATTGTGCTGGTTTCAATAAAATAGACCTTGATATGTAAAGAATACCTGTTGTAATCTCTAGGGCAACTGCTAAAGAAACATTTATAGAAAAAAAATCTTGGTTATTCTAATAGGAATAGGAGAAACATGAGAATGAAGGGACATTTTTAG